TCTGTCTCTGTCTCTGTGTGTCCGTCCGTCCGTCCGTCCAAAATACGTCTCAAACATTATGGAATAGAAAGCTTTCTGAGCAGATTCAAAAAGTTATTCTTCAAGTAATTCCTTATTTTGCATACATTTATATGGATGCATCAAACCATTATCAGAAGTGCACTTGTATGCATTGTTGCAGACAGTGTTGTATGTCACTAAAACAGATAGATCGATAGATAGATGGATAAACAGAGATAGATGGATAGATACTTTATAGAACCCGCAGGAGAAATTCAGGTGTCCAGTAGCAGCAGAAACACATCCATTCATAAAAACAAAACACATAAATTCATCATTCTCAAAGTAGCTGACAATATTAGTAGAAAAAGCACGTATGTATGAACTTTTTGCTTTTTGATTGTGGTTATGGGATATGTACGTGCATGTAGGCTGCAGTCTGTAAACAGGGTCAAGTGCATTCTTGTGGCAGAAACAGAAATGAGTGAATGGGAATTGTTTGTGTGAAAGCAGAGAGTGAAAAGACGGCGCTGGAGGCATCTGAAGGAGTCCAGATGGAGAGGACACACACAGGCTACACTTATGCATGAGGTTCACACACTTAAACACACCAGATTTAGATGATGTTGCAGAATGTTCAAGGCAAGATGTGTGTATAGCACGGTTCACACACAAGGAAACTCAAAGAATCTCTCACACAAGGCATTTCATCATAAATAATCACAGTACATTAAAAAGAGTAAAGATACAATTGTAATTAAAGTAATGCACTCATTTAGAAGTATAACTATTGTACTTGTGTGAGAGGCTGCTCTTGTCATATCTCAGAGGCTAAGCAGAGCAGGGTGTGGTTAGTAAAGGGATGGGAGACCTCTGCGTACACCTGGTGCAGAGGTGTATGTGTATAGATGGACAATATGCTAACCCTGTATAGCTCAATGAAGCCAAATAGGAAAGCGCTCATGGACAAAGTCTTGCTCCAAGTCTTTCTGGCTCCTATTGACTTACATTGAAAAGTAAACTCCTCTGGCTCAGTAGCCGTTTGGATCACGTTCACTGTTTTTGGCATAAGAAATGTAGTGCTTTCAGTGATCCTGGTGTTTATGAGTCATATGATATTTTGTATAAACTGCACCTCCACCTAGTGGATAACCTGCAAAAGTGCACCACTTAATAGTTAATTCAAAGCAAGTCTTCATGTCACTGAAACTGTCTGTGTCTCAAAAGTCCTGACACCAGAGTTTATGAACAACACAGTTAAATGGCTCTGTCATGTTTTCATTGTGACACTTTACTCTCTCTGTGTTTTCCAAGACAGCACTATACTCTGTACAGCCATTTGAAAACTACAGTTTAGTTATTATTGTATTTAGTGAGATAACTGAGTACAAGACAGTGGGGCGGCTGCGGCTGTAAAGTGCCAAACTGCCGTTGTGTCCTTAGGCAAGACACTTCACCCCCATTGCCTAGAATGAGTCTGGTGTGTGTGTGAATGGTTGGTGGTGGTAGGAGGGGCAGATGGCACATACTGGTTGCCTCGCTTCTGTCAGTGTGCCCCAGGGCAGCTGTGGCTACAGTAGTAGTTTATCATCACCGTGTATGGCGTGAATGAATAATGACATGTGAAGTGTCTTGAGTGTCCAAAAAAGCGCTATATAAAATTGATGCATTATTATTATTATTATTAAGACAGCAATGAAATGAGGACTAATAGTTTTATAGGGAATGACTATTCAGTATCTTTCATTTTGATTGACAGGATAGAAGCAAACAATAGTGTGACAAAATACAGTATTGTATGAAAGTAACTGATACATGTCCAAAAGCATTTGACATTTGTTCAAAGGAGAAACTGCTGCGATGATGTCACACATGACTCAAAGTTGTGGAGGTTGAACTAAAGGCGACTGAGAAAAATTGTAATGCACTAAACTAAGAACCTTTACCTAATCAGAACATTTTTCAACAATATCTGGGTTCTGCGCGGTTAAGACACATGTTGTATACTTTTTCCCATAAAAACTTGTTCACTAAAAGTTTTGTACCGGAGCTTTGAGTAAGTCATTCTAATAAGATTAATTCCACCCATTTTCCAGCTCATTAGAATCTCACATCATGACGAGAGAACGGAGCTCACAGCCTCGCAGGGAGAGAACAGATGGAGACGACATATGACAAGAGAAAGTGGAGTTTTCAACAGAAAGTAAGATCAGAGAGACGTGAACAATGCCACTGCGACAACAAAAGGTTTCATCTCAGAATCAATCATGTCTTGCCCATGGACACAGCTGCAGAGCACACCAGGGCAGGGATTGGACTGAGCAACCCTGAGATATGACCATTACTGTTAGGAGTAGTATGTTGGACCCCAAAGCAAAGCAGCATGGGTTCACCTTCAAAATGTGATTTAAGTTACACAAACAAACAGAAAAGCAAGCTGGCAGTGGAGACAGAGAGCTTGTCTTCGTGTTCAGATCTGAAGGCATTACAAAAATGTATGAAAAAGTAAAAAATAAACAAGGTAAGCAGGACAGAGGTGAGGATCCCTGACACTCGACATTCAACAACATTTAAGGATATTTATACCATTAGACATCGGTCATCTGCCCCTTATGGACCAAAACCAATGTGTTTCAATTCAACAGTTTTGTGAAGTCTTCCAGGAAAACTATTGTTGTAATTTAGAGCTATACAAGAATACATTGAATTGTTCCTTTTGCCCACACAGAACTGGGGAAAAAAAGCACTTGTAAAAACTGCTCCTTCTACATGGAAAAAAGACTGGACATGATCTGAATTATCCTCATTGAAATTTAACTGTTTTTATAATCTGTCATTTGTAGGTAACTGTGTGAGATTTGTTCAGATGGTTCTTAATCTCAATGGGACTTTCCTGGTTAAATATAAAAAAACAAATATGGAGTTCTAATGCCCGTCCAGTCGTCCAAGCGCCCTCATATCGCTCCATACTGATGCCGAAGGACTCAAAGGAGGAGCAGGACTTTACAGAAGTTTTAAACAAGTTTTAACCACATCGCTGCCTGTAGAACCATGTGTCCGCTGTCACCTTACTTTGTCACTTTATCCCGTCCCCTAACGCTGCTAACATGTTTACATCTGTACAACTATGTCTGGCACTAGAATGTATGGGATTTTATGCTATATATAGAAGGTCCTGGGTTCGAATCCCGGTCGGACCAGGGCCAGTCTGCGTATGTTTCCTCCGGGTTCTCCGGTTTCCCCTACCACAAAAAATATGTACAATAGGTCTGGCATGCGCCTCCTGTTCGGTGACCCCACTCCCATCTCTGTGTGGAGTGAGAGACAAATGCCCAAAATATAACAATTGTAAACCGCTTTGTGACTGGTCTGTGAAAGGCGGTATATAAATAAAGATTACTAACTTACTATTATGCTAAAGATAGAGACTTTAGGCCTCAATTATCATAAGTCAAGAAATTTACTTCATTCTTGTTTCTTCATTATGTTAAAGATGGAGATTTTGGATTTGCGTCTTGATTATGTTAGTTAGAAATGTTATTTTATTTTAGCATAAAGTTGTTGTTAAATGTTCTTGTCTTCACTCAGGGACGAATAAATCTTAATCTTAACTGCAGAGACGTTATAGTGTGTGTGTGAAAAGAGAAATAAGTTTTTCAGTAAAGAATCTTTTATTATTCACACAGAAAAAAAATACAAAAAACGTTTTCAAATGTAATCATTAAAGCACATAGCATGTAACAACTTTGTTACTAAAAATATTATTTACAGTCTATAGAAACAATCCTTCTGACTCATTACAGTCTGTGATACAGTTAGCATCACGAGGGGCTGACATTGTTAGTCAGATTGCAGTTTTCACATGTCAGAATCATATTTCTATTACCATTGTGAGAAACAGGAAGTAACAAACCAGGAAATGTATTTGGCTCTCGTGCAAACAAGTTATAAAAGTAAAAATATAAGAAAAAAATGCATAAAAAACAAATAAAAATCTACAAAACATGTCTTAAAAGTACTACTGTATATGCAAGTGCCCAAAATACACGCAATAGCACAGAGACTTGCTGCTCTAAGGGGAAAGATATTTTGTAAGAACCCTTCTGGCTCTCTCTCCACTCTCATCACTGTCTGTGTCGTTAGTTTGAGTAGATGGCTGAAACTTTTGCTCTGCCTGCACAGCCTTCAACACGAGGTCCTCGGACACAGGCTCGTTCCTATCTTCACAGTAATTATGCAAAACAAAACATGCATAAATGACATGGGGTAAATCAAGCAGGTTCGCGTACATAGGATGCCTCAGACATGAAAACCTCGCCTTCAGTCTTCCAAACGACCATTCTATAACCCTCCGAGCCTGATTCAGACTTGACCCAAAGTTTAGTTCTTTTGCAGTGGTTCCACCATCTTGATACTCCCTCATCAGGTACGGAAGAAGGGGATACGCTGCATCACCAAGAAGAAAAATAGGTATAGCATCCTCGTCATCTACGATTTGCTTCGGCAGTGAGGGGATCTTTCCAGTCTTTAGGCAGTGGTTGATTTTGGAATTGGCGAAAATGTGTGCGTCGGATGCGCTGCCAGGCCACTTAATGGCTACATCCATGAATCTGTATTGGTAGTCACACACGGCTTGGATGTTGAGGGTGTGTTGCTTCTTTCGGTTTAGGAAGACAGTGGCCTTTTTTGTTGGCCGTCTGATTCCCAAGTGTGTGCAATCTATGGCCCCCAAGCACTGGGGCATCCCATGTACTTGGAGGAACCCAGACACAAGTGTTTCAGCCTCGGGTTTGGTGAGAGGCAAACGAATGTACTTTTTACCCAGATGTGCAGTGATGGCTTTGCACGTCCGCCGTACAATCACAGAGACAGACGCAGTAGATAAACCAAAAGCTTTTGCAGTATTCCTCAGTCTGCCTTCATCACAGAGGTAGTGCAGGGTACACGCCACTCTTTTCAGTAACCCCACCGCTGCTCTCATGTTTGTTGCTTTCCCTTCTATGTATGGACGAAGATCCTCCGAAAGAGCCACCACAGACTCTTTAGACATGCTGAACATCTCGGTCCAGGCCTTATCATCGACGCGGCCATGCTCGAAGTCGTCCCACCAGCGACTCGACCTCCCAGGCTTTACCCAAATAGTGCGTATGATCTTCTTGCGCTTGGGTAAAGGTTGGAGTATTTGTCGCAAGTATTCAATGTTCTTTTGGCGCCGATACACACGCTGTATCATGTCCAGGTTCTGTTTTAAGAGACGAAACAACGCGAACAGCTGCTGACACACGCCTAGCACAAGCTGATCATCTGCCATTGTTGTTTATGTCTGTTCTCGGCTCCCGTTTTGCCCCACTACGGAGGCAGAATTCCAAAGCTTGCGTGATCAATCCGACAAAAAAAGATATAACGTGGGAATGAATGGTAATAACGTTAGTCAGCTTTATCCTCTTACTTTAACAGCGTCTCCGTGTAAAGACAGCCTTCCCTCGTCTGCATGAGCGAAAACATTGCAGTTCTGACACCGGGCCAGTAGGGGGCGGTGCAGGGTCACAACACGACCAGTATAATCACTTCCTCAACAACATCCGCCTCAGATTTTTTTTTTGTGCAAAAGGAAAACAAGTACTCAGTCTATGATAAGGACAGAAAATGCACATTAACATAGCAATATTGACAACATAAAATAAAATAAAAAATACACAAGTAAGTATGATACAGACGAAGCCGTGTCTGGTGCCCCCTACAACAGTTACCCTCTTTAGCCAAAAGAGGGCGCTCAAAGATAGTGTACAGGCTAAGCCACTACTATAACAGTAACAATGGTCATGTTTAGCAGTATTGCTGATATAACAGTGGTCCACAGTACCCCAAAGGCAGAGACAGAGACCTGGTTGGATTCACCATCAAAATGTGATTTAAGTAACATTGAAGCAGGGGCAGTGCTGGCTGGCTTGGTGTTCAGACATTATAATGTAAATATGAGACATGTGACTATGAGAAAAATGATAAGTAAAAAATAATCAAGGTAAGCCTGACCAAAACCTCACGAGCCAAAGTGAGTAAAAATGTATGGTTTGTTTATTGAGGATGGACGAATTGACTTTGGTATAAATAATTGATAGGAAAACAATTTATTCATAAATACTGTTTTATCAAAACTATTTCGAGCTTTTTCCATGGGAGGAATAAGTTAAAATTATTTCATAAATCGCTTATTCTTATCAATACAAAATTAACAAAAAAAATGTTTTGGTTTATTTTGTGTTTTTTGTATAAATATTATTTAAGATACCTGTTATGTTTGTATTTTTTGTGTTAATAAATAATAAAGACGTTTAGTGAAAAGGATATAGGTTAGTTCTGACAACCGGCCAGTAGGGGGCAGTGCAACGTCACACCGCGACCCCTACCAGTAAGACCACTTCCTCAACAACAACAACATCCTCCTAGGGCCACCCAAAAGCCTGTAAAGAATGCACTAACACCATTCCTCACTCGACAGCAGCAACAGAAAATGGACACGCCGTATACAGGAGCGACGCGTGGTTTCGTTTGGACCGACGAAGAAGTAGAACTGCTCCTCCGTGTAACTCTGGAATACAAGAACGCGAAATATCGAGATCACGTCGACTGGGAAACAGTTCAGTCGAAATACAAAGACATCCACGAAGAGTTTGTGAGACAGTATCCCCGGGGCCGAAATGATGACTTCCCCCACAGCGGCGAGGAGATCACATCCAAGTCACAAATCACGTCCAAATTAAAGGCGGTTCGGACCAAATACAGGAAAGCGATGGGTTCGGGGAAGAGAAAAGGCCAAGGGCGGGTCATATTGATTTACTATGAACTGTGCCAGCTAATATGGGGAGGACCACCGGCCACCGAGACGATCGCAGCCGGGTTGGAGACAGCCGACTATGAGTTCGAATACGAGTATGAGTATGAAGTTCCCCCCGCGATTAGCCGCAGCTCAACACCTTTATCAGAGACCCAAGAGAGCTCGGATGAGGCAGATACCAAAGACGCGTTGCCCCCCGTGGTGAGCTCCAAACGAGACGCGCTGCAAGTACGTTTTTTTTTACTCTTCAATGGTTTGGGCTCGTGTTTGTTTTCATTCAGATCCCCATAAGCTACTGAAAAATACAGTAGCTATTCCTCCTGGGCTCTATATACTCATTAATGTTGCAACAATGCATGTACAGTGGACAGAAAGGAATACAAAAAATATAGAAGTATAATTAAAATATACAGTAACCATAAACACACAAGCTCTCACACAGGGCAACATTAATGGCAGCAGCAAGTACAGTATTTTGTAAAGTGTTTCATTTTTTCGTTGACTTGTGAAGGTATCCAGCGATAAAGTGTGTTTGTGTGTGTGTTAGAGCAAGATCGAGGCAGCCCTATTGTATGTGGGTCACAGATACTATGACTATCATTACCCTCACTTAATGATATGTAGGGTCTACTCTAGTTGCATAGGTATTAAAAGGGCTTTGTATTCGGCATAAGTGATAAGGGCCAATGTGCTTTTTATCTTGGACAGGTAGGTCTAATTGTTTGTGCCATGTGTCTTAATTTCCTACCTTTGCCAATGCTCTGTGTATGAAATCCATAACGTTACATGGTATTGTATTTGTTACTGAGTTTTCTCATCTCTGTCTTGTCCCATGAACAGGCGACGATTGATAACATCAAAGAGAATCGCAAACGAAAGCTCTCGTCCGATCCAGCCGTAGAAGAGGACCTTCAACTCAAACGAAGAATGTTGGAGTTTGCCGAGGAGGCAGAGAAGAACAATAAACAGCAAATGGAAGAGCTTACACGTGAGATGAAGAACATACATGACTCCATTAATGAGGGGTTGTCCATGTTGAGAGAGCTCATGAGGAGGAGCCAGCCAGAGAAGAGGTGTGAAAGCCTCCCAGCAGCAGATGAGCCAGCCACAAAAAGGGAGGGGGAGGGAGAGCAAAGAACACTGGAACCCAAAAAAGAGCAAGAAGACATAGTGATCTCCATGTGCTGAATAGTTTGGGGTACATTATTTTAACTTTCAGTCTTTGAAAACTGACTTTCTGAAGTAAATTACTTTCTAAACTGACCATAACTTGAAGCCATTGGTCCATAGAGAAGCGGGATGATCATTCATTCCTTCATTCATTTTCTACCCCTTTTTAGTCCATTTCTGGGTCGGGGGGTGACAATCAGAGCTGCCACCCAATGCTCATATCACCAGTCCCTCGCTGATCCTCTGCAGGGGGTGAGTCCACAGGAAGATGGCTGCTCCGTCAGCGGTGAAACAGCCATGGTCTTTCAGCGGGGGTTTCAGGCAACGTAGGGTTAAGTGTCTTGCCCAAGGACACAACGACAGTAGACATTTGTGGGAGCAGTTTGAGTAGGTCCAACTGGGGATGATCAATGTCCATAAATTGATCGTCACACATGTCCATAAAAGTCCTTAAATGTCCTGGATCATCACCTGTGTTGGGTGTGAAGCCGCCTTCGACACAAAACGCAGACGCGGTATAAGAACCTGGACTTGAATGTTGCCGTCAGGTCACACCTCAAAGACTGCAATAAATAGACTTTGTAGTGGCATTTTTTAGGCAAAATACACACTGCAGACGGATTGGACCGGACAAGTGACAGAACATTTGCAGACTCTGGAGAAGTGCTACAGACTGGCTTCTATTTTTTTCTTTCATGTTAACCGACTGCCTTTTGAGCAATTTGTTTCTGAAAAAGTTGTGTGTAGTTGACCTGTATGTAAATTACTTTATTAAAGCAAACATACTAACTTGATTCTGTTATCTTTTTATGTGATACAAAGTTGTTGGGGCAGTCACAAAGTAATGTAACTATTTTTCAAAGTAACTTTACCCAACACTGATCTTCACTGTCCTTAGACCCTTCTGTAACAATCAAATAATCTTCATATTGAGTTAAGATGAGAAACGCAAAAAAATGTGTTGCCCTTTATTGTTTCAATATTATTATTTGTTTTGTTTGGGTTTTTTTTTTTTACAGAGAAAATCTAGTAAAAGTAAAGACCACAAAATATATTCTAAATCTTATTAACAGATTACATTATGGAAAGATCCTTGTGACACTGACCGCTGATGCTGGTTGAGTGAGAGTGCTCCTCTTTCTCTCTTTTCTGTCTCAAAAAGCTGATCTAAAGATGTAACTGAGGCCTAAAATACACGCATGTGGAAACTAAGTAATGGAACCAGTGAGGAGCAATGGATTTGATTAAATAGATCCAGAAAGCAGGATGTACTTTCTGGAGATTGGAAACTGTCTCAGGCCCTGAGCTGCAGAGTGCCACAGGGGTCGATCCTCTTCACTCTCTACATGTTGCCGTTCATGGACCGGTGGATTCACTCCTTCACTGCGCCCACCAGATCAGTGAGTGATGCAAAAAGACTTCCTTCAGGTAAACACAGACTAAACCAAAAATGTTGTTTTTGGCCCCCAGAAAACACAAAGAGAGAGTGCCATCTGTCACCTACAGTCTAAAAATCATGTTATAAATCTAGGGGTAATACTGGACTCAAATTTAAGTTTCAACACCCACATCAGCCAAAATCAGAGCTTTTTACCTTCTTAAAAACATCGCCAGGATCAAAAACACAGTGTTTAAAGCAGATCTGGTGATTCTTATCCATGTATTTGTCTCCAGTAGGTTAGACTACTGCAATGGCCTGCTCACAGGTCTGTCCAAACAGACTAAACAGCTGCAGTACATTCAAAACCCTCGCACCAAAGTACATGTTAGTCACATATGAACCAACTGAGACTCTGAGGAGCACAGGGACGGGCCTCCTGCTGGTGCCTAGAGTCAGAACAAAACATGGGGAGGCTGCAATTCAGATTTATACAGCTAAAATCTGAAAGTCTTCCTGAAAATGTTCAAATCCTGGTCAAAAAAATTCTGTTTAGCTGTGCATACAACTGAGGGATTTTATCTTTACTTTTTCTAATTTGATCTAACTGTAACAATGTATGCATTGTGTGAGTATTTCTATCTATTTTTTATTACGTGGTGAATGAACTGTGTTATACAAATAAACTGACCTTGTGGTTTGAAAGTAAATAAATGCAAATCTTGAAATCCTAAAAATTGTCTGTGTAGATTATAATACATTATCATTACAGTTTTCCTAATATGAATTAATCTTTGAGTATTTGAGGGTAATTTTTTTCATGTATCTGGGTCCATAGTACATTTATGTTAGGTAAGGTTGGCCCAATATTGTCAAAATACCGGTAAAGATTCATGTTGACCAATAAATATATGCATTTGTATGTATTTATTTGATTGTGTTTTAGAGACACAATCAGCCCTCTCCCTCACATAACGGTCTCCTCTCAAGCCCATAATAAACCACACCACACGGGTCAACCTCCAGACACTTGAAGCTCATTGGAATCGCACTCATTTCACTCTTCTCGGGCCCCGGCGAGCGCACATTGGACACAGAACACGTCACTGAAACTATACTCCGCCACTAATTGGACAAACACGTTAATAAGTCCCGCCTCACGTCCCGCCTTCTTCTACCTCAATCTCAAACTCCCATTGGTTTAGAATAGTACGCTGTAAAAGAGACTAGAGAGCAGAGAGCATGAGTTCTGTAGGTCATCTTAAGTGTTGATATTTGCAGAATTCCGAAAGTAAGGTTAAAACAGGGTCACAAGCACAGTCACAATCCGTTGATGAAAAGGTTTGAATGTAGATAATTGTCTAATGTAATAATACAGATAACTCTACATGTATGTCATTTTTCCTCCAAGGTTTTGAATAAAATATCTTATGTCTCGGATGCAGCCAATACCCCTCCATAAACCCATGCCCCAACAATTTCTGCTGGCTCCTCTCCAATGTCGGGGAGTAGCAGCTCTACTCAAAGCTTCCCTTGATTTTTTAAGGAGCTCATACACACAAACTCTTTACCAGACCTCAAGGGAAACTCCCAGCCACTCTCAGGAGCCATTTGAGGGGGCTCTGTCATCTGTTTTGGACTCGAGAGTGGACGCCTCCACGGGTAGATGTTTCGGGCATGTCCCTGCGAGGAGGCCCCCGCCAAAGACCCAGGACACTCAGTGTTGAGCCAAAAAAATTGCAATGTCTCAGATTCATATTATTTGCCATTTGCAGTAAAGACACATTGGAATACACATGAAAAAGTCCCTCCTGTGAACCAGACAAGTACATAAATAAAACAAGCTAAAAAAGTGTAGGAAACACTTGAAATCGATCAACAACAGATGCCCTGCTTCTCGACACACTATATCTTCTGCCAGAAGGAAGTGGCTTTTCAAGGGGCCAGAAGAGTCCTTGATTACTTTAAAAGCTTGGTTTAAGTCTTTCGGTTGGCCTGGGAACGCCTCAGGATTCCCCCTGATGAGCTGAAAGCTGTCTGTGTGAAGTCAGGGCATCTCTGCTCAGACTGCTGACCTGGCAACAGAGGAAGCAATGGTATGACTTCAGCAGAATAGTTTTAGATTAAAGTATGGAGCTGGCGTAAGTTACCATGGAGATGCTCTTTCTAGCCCTTTGAGTTTTTCATGTAAGTTGTTCTTGATATTCTGAAACAAAATCCTCTGATTGGTTTGGTCGGATTTCAATCATATCTATGACTCATGTAGATTGGCTTGCTCTGCCGTCCGTCATGTAAGTGCTGCTCTCTGATTGGCTGAGCGCGGCGGGCGGACACCACCACGGGCTCGGTCCTCCAGGCTCGCGGAGAGCGAATGTCGTCATGAGCGGTGGGTAGGAATTAAAAACATCGCTGTTTATATTCAATCTTCTGCTTTTAACGTGGTTTTAGCTGATTCCAGACACGCTGTGAATTTTGCAGGCTTCATTTAGATACATTTTAAAGCCCCCAGGGCCGTAATATGCATCTAAAGAGCAATGCACTTCCGGATAAACGTAGTCTTTTTCAGCAAAGATTCTGACTGACGAGCTACCCGTGAGCTAATGCTAATGCTAAAGTAAGCCAGGGTGAATTTGAGTTAAATGTATTGTCCTATAATTCCTATTCATGTTTTGTTATAAGGGACTCAAAAACACATACCCATAGCAATTATGGACCCAATTATGGCTGGTTTATTTACCGGAACTAAGCTCCAAAGGATCACATCAGCTTAGGCTAGCCGCTCCAGTCTGACCCGCTATTCACTGTAGCATTAGCCTGAGCTAAGTTACATGTCTGCAAAACCACATTGATTATTCTATTGTGATTTCTTTATGAAGGTGCTGCTTTTTAGAGTCGCTGTGGTTTTGGTTTATTTGAAAGTGTCAAATATATGTGTTTAATGGCTGTGGTGTGGAAAGTGCGTTGTAATGAATGAGAAAGTTGCTGCTGATGCTGAGGTGGATGCTTTCACTGCTGCTGATGTGACAGAAACAGAGATGCCTAAGTTTGGCATTATATTGTTATGGCACGTACATGCGTTTATAACCCCTAAACAAGACGTGTCCATTTGATTGTGAGGACATAACGTATGGGAACTTATAAGGATGTACTATTATACTCTTGAAATTGGTTATAAACATGATCTCATTCGTTTCCTGTCTCCTGACATTTCTCCTGTTCTTTGTGCCTATTTGTCTCAGAAGAATGGGGCATTTGTTGTAGAGTAGGCTAAAGGATAGGATTATCAATAAATGATTGGAGTCACATTTTTATTTACATTATAGCACATTCACTTATCATTTGTTTTGATATGTTTCAAATCATTGATAAAGTGATTTTCAGTATTCCAAATACTTTAACAATGTTTGTTCGTTCAGCAGTACGTTGTTCACTGGCCACATTTTAAAGACTACAGGAGGGACGACTGAAACCAGGGTTAGCCTGTTCTAAGTAATCAGCCACTGTATAATTTAATGTTTAACTCTTTTTGTTGAAGGGAATAAGTTATTTTCTTGGTCTAATGTTGTGAGATTGACATACCCATAAAAATCCATTTGATAATCCATCTGTTACTGTCTGAGCTGAAGCGGAGGGATAAAAAAAGTCAACACAGAGAAAAGCAAAACTCTGATAAATCTCCCGATTCTTCTCACTAAAGCGAGAAATCACAATATGTGGGAAAAAATCCTATTTGTAGAAATAGTCCTTTAGTAATCTGCAAATCATGTGATCAGTGAATAGACTTTAACATTTAACAGCTACTGAACTATGTAAACGTCTGTGTTTAAATAAGGACGTTGATGGGAAAGGCACAGAAATGTCTTTATCAGGTTTTCTACAATAAATAACTTGTGACTATGGTCCATAGTTTTCAATTTCTCATACACATATCATTTTTGTACTCGTGAGTGAATGAATTTTCTTAGCTATAATAATATATGTTGAATCAGTAGAACATCTCTATTTTTGAATACGAATCTATTCAAAATATAATATAAAAAAGGATTCCAAATAATTACAGGTTGTAGCCCTTTATTCAAACAAAATGTATTTAATGAGAAATATAATTAGTCAGTCTTGTAATTTAGATCCTGGGTGGCCGAACAACAAATCATAAATCGTGGATGTGATCTGATTGTAGATGTCTTCTTCTGCAGAACCACAGGACAACATGGCCGCCACAGTCGCCGTGAGTCCCAGTGAATATCTGCAGCCCTCCTCCTCCACCACCACCACCACCACCACCACCTCCTCCTCCTCCACACAGGTCGGCCACGTCCTATTTCACATTGTATTTACACTAGTACATACATCACATTCTCAAAATATACTCAAACTGTCTACTTCCCACATCATCCCCTTTAGCATTTAATTCCCGCCTATTCTATTTGAGTAATGTGGTCGGAACACCACTGGCTTTGACCCAATTTAATTAAAAAGTGCCTGTGGATTAACATAATTGCTACTGAGCCCTTGACTCCAGGGCACTTTCTATACAGTGGTTTCCCAATACTTTTCTTATACTAATGTTCTTGTTTATGGTAGTAGGCTTTTTTTTTGTCAGTTTCTTTATATATTTATTGATGAACACTAACCCTGTAATTTATCATAATTCATGTGTCCAATGTCAATTTACTTTGTCACTTGTCTCATACCCTCATGCTGTTTACATGTACAGATGTAGACATACAACTATATATTTCTTCTTTTTTTAGGCTAAAGTCAGAGATTTTGTACTTCTTACTTATTCTTTTTTGTTTGATTGTTGGGTTCTACATTCTTTTTTTTGTTTTATTCCCCATATTATTATTGTTTTTTTATATGTGGGCATGTAATTATAGATGGGTACAAATAATGTTTATAGTTTTGGGTAAAACCTGCAGCAGGACAACTCAGAGGGTGGTGAGAGGGAAGGAGGGAGGTTACCCTCTTACTTGGTAGTAAATGAAAGGAAACAAAAATCTTCTTCATTATGCTAAAGTTGAAGATTTTAGATTGCTTCCTTATTATGCTAAAATTACATATTTTATTTTATTCAGTATAGAGTTATTGTTCATTTATCTTGTGCTGTGTGCTCCTCATTCATGTTTTTCTGTAACTGGTGATGCAACACTGAAACTTCCCCACTATGAGACAAACAAAGGATCTCTTCATCTTAATCTAATCACATGTGTTTGTGTGTCCAGCAGCAGGACTCTCAGCCCTCTCCTTTGGCTCTGCTCGCTGCCACATGTTCAAAGATCGGTCCTCCTGCAGCTCAGGCGCCCGTGTCTCCTCCTCCGTCTCAGCCTCAGCCGCGGAGACTGATGCCCATCAAGCCAGCCCCCATCGCCCCCGCACCCCCCAAGAACCTGGGCTTTCTCTCCAAAGGCAACCAGCTCATCCAGCTCCCGACTCTGGGGTCCGCAGCCCCCGGAAGCCCCATTGTACTCACAATACAGCAGAGCCCCGCGAGAACCAATGTGTCGAACATACAGTATCAGGTAAAGATGGAGGAATAGGTTTTTATACAGAACATATGTTCGGACTGGAGGGAAAATGCTGTTGTATAATAATGAATAACATTTACACGATGCACTATTCACTCAGAATAGTTTGATGGGTCTGAAAACCCGCCCATCGACCCTCATCACTCACTGTGAAAACTTTCTGCATGAAGTGTAGGAAATAGAGAGAAATCAAGTGAAATATTAGTTAGGCCATTAGAGCCCTTACAAAAGATTAGTCTTAAATAAAACTGAGTGAAATACTCTTTTGGGCTGTAACCATTAAGGACTTTAGTTCAATAATCAACAGCTATTGTTGTAATGAATTAATCATAACCTGCTCTCTGTGATGTTATCTCAAACAGAGCAGTGATTACAAAATAAAAAGATAATTAAATGATATGATATCTATTATCTGTTTTCTCGCAGCTTCACTTTTTCTTCACAAATAATTAGATTTGAGAAAATTCAATATCTGTGTTCTAAACAACTAATTGATGAATCAAAGAAGTAGTCATTGTCATTAGTCGTAGCCCTTATATTCATCCATGCATCCATCCGTTTCTTCCCCTTATTCCATTTCTGGGTCTGTTGGCAGTCAGAGCTGCACCCAGTTCACAGAGCACCCTTCCCCCTATATTCATCAATATTATTATAAGTTAGTCTATTTAGTATGTTTTCTATAATAAAGAAAATGATAATTATAATGATCGCTATCAGGGATTGGCTTTATAATATAATAAAAGATTGAGACGACTGATGCTGCAAGTCCATATATCACTGCACAGACTCTTCGTAACTGTTGAATTTTGTCCCTTAGATCCAGGCGCCGCAGACCATCCAGATGATGCCTCAGGGCGGGCAGCAGATCCAGATCATTCCCAACACCAACCAGGCCATAATGACTGTTCCGAGCCCCGCCCCTTCGCCTGCACCCACCCCAAAGACCGTCCCCATCAAACCCTCCTCCGCAAAGTCCCGGAAACAACAGCATCAACAACTGAACCAACCGCTGCAGATCCAGGCGGCGGCTCCCAACAGTGCTCACAACATAGTGACGCTGCCTGGCGGCCTCACGCTGCCCCTGAACGTCGCCACGACAGAAGTGGACGATATGATGACGGAGGCCTCCACGGGTCCGAACATTTTGAAAGGGCGTCGTGGGAGAAAGAAGAAAATCCTGGCCAATCAGAATCAAGTGGTGGTCCAGGCCGAGTCGCAGCTGCAGCAGCAAGAGCAGATGGAGGCAATTCTCATCGAGGCCGGGGATAATATTATACAGGTTTGAGATTACGGTGACTGCTACTGTATTCGTCAAACAGGGAAATGTCAGTGTTGTATCACCAGTTACAGAACACTATGAATGGGGAGCATACAACACAAGATTAATGAAAATTAACTCTAAAATATAGAAAATATTAGCATAATAAGTAAAGTCTAAAATCTCCAACTTTAGCATTAGGAAGAAGCAAGAATTAAGTACATAATCTCTCACTTTAGCGTAATAATTTTATGAAGGCAATAAATAGTAGGAATGTTGTGATTTTTACTGATGATGCAGGGTTGGGCCTGGTTAGTGCTTGGATTGGAGACTGGAACTAGAAAAAAAAGATGCTACAGTGAGGTGTAGTGCATACTGTTGGAAAGACACTTTATCCAATTATGAAATATGAGTGTCTTCCTTTTCATAATTACATACCAAACTTTAAATCTATTGGCAGTAAATTCAGGTGTCCAGTAGCAGCAGAAACACATCCATTCATAAAAACAAAACAAATAAATACATAATTCTAAAAGTAGCTAATAGATATGGAAAAAGACTCTAGACTCAAGGCTGCAGGTTTTAATTCCAACAAAGCAGGAGCACACAAGGCTCCACCCCGTCCCTCACGTTTTCAGGTCCAGTATTACATGTTTTACATATAACTGCATAATATAGACCTTTATTACACCAGCAGCAAAAGTTCCACGGTGGAGGAGCCTATTGTACATATATTTAAAAGTAAGGGAAACTGGAGCACTTGGAGGAAACTTATACAGACAAAGGGATAACTTGCAAACTCTTCTCAGAAAGGCCCTGGGAATCACCTTTAAATAATGAACTATTGTGCAGTTGTAGTCTTGAGTGTCTGATACATACAGTGATATAAACATTGATTGATGTTATAGCTTGGACTTTTGTTTTTCAGGCGGGCAACAACCTGCTGATCCTGCAGAGTCCTGGGCAGCCGGCGATGGTGCAGCAGGTGCAGCTGGTGCAGCCCAAACAGGAGTCCCAGATGGTGCAGATCCCACAGCAGGCTCTGAAAGTGGTCCAGGCCGCGTCCGCCACTCTGCCCCAAGTCCCACAGCGGCAGAGCGCCCCCACCAGCATCCAGGTGTCCACCGCAGAGCCCACGCCCACACAGGTAACTCTCAACCACAACCACACACTGAAATAGGATTCAATTCAATGCAATGACAAAAAACACAAGAGCCTTTAGTCCATAAGGGGCAGATGACCAATGTCCAGGATGAGTGTCCTGGATCATCATCGCTGACCTTTGACCCTCCAAAAGGCCTTGGAATAGTATTATATAAAACCGTTCTTGAAAATGTTGCAACTCTCGTCTATGGAGATAATGTTCCTATAATCTTTATCAGTTTGGCTTTAAGAATCAGCCCCAGGTCATTAAATAATCATGCTAAAAGCCCTCCTCAGGACAGAACATTGCAAATTATTCTTGGATATAAATGTTGTGTGTTTTATGTTCACTGTGTTGATTGTTGATTGTGGGCACTTGTCCCTATCAAAGAAATGAATAAATGAACAATTGTAAAAGTAATAAAGAAGCTAAATGCAAGGCCTTTACAAATGATTACATTTGTGAAATTAGATTATGGCTTTAAAATGTTTGCCTGCTTAGCTTGGTGATTATTGGTGGGTTTAGATGCAATGCAAACTGCTTGTTTTCTTCCCGTTGGAACATGTTGGTAAACTGTCAATCTGAGGTTTTTGAAGTTTGGAAGATTACCTCCGGAATAACATTCATTTTTAAATAGATATTAATATTGCCAAAAATATTGTGTAATATTGCCATACTATTAGTGTAAACCAGTGCTTCGCAATTATTTTCTGCTAGGCCCCCCTTAAGTAGAAGAAAAAATTTCGCGTCCCCCCTCCTTACATCTTTTGATCCGCTCTCAGCCCAAAAAGTCAAATATTGACTAACAGGGTTCTTTCTTAATTATGCAAACAAAACAACATAAAACAAAATTCTATTGTGGTTTGTTTTGTATTAGTTATTCATTTTACGTTGGGGCACAACCAACATGCATTATGAATGTAAGGGAAATTTAGGTACCCCAGCTTTAATGTAGGGATTTTTAGTTTCAGGGCTACAGGAGGAGACACAGGGGACACATCCAGAGGCTCGCTGTATTATTATTATTCAGCTGTATTTCTCGCAGCGGTGTATTTCTCGCAGCGGTGTATTTATCGCGTTCACAGGTTGCGCAAAGATCTGCACTGGTCACATTCTGGTTTTGCTTTGGCAGCGCCGCTGTTAATAAAACAGCTTCAAAGGAACTGGATGTGGGAACCCCTGTCATTCACTACAAAGCAGCCACGCTCTGGGAATCGGACCGCTGCGACACCGGAGCATGTGGAGTCCCGTTCAAGGACGTACAGCAAAAAACAAGTTCCCCGCGGTCATGCGTGCGTCCCCCAAATAGTGAGGGGGCGCCCCCACGATTAGAGAAGAACTGCTCCTACCTCCATAGACTGTTACTCAGACTACGAGAGTGTGACGGCCCCCTCTCCTGGTGCTGTGGTGGCAGTGCGTTCATATTATTCTACTGAGGAGAGACGATAGGAGGCGGCCGGGAGGTCACGTGAGGCTTCAAAAAGTAGCTTCCTGTATCTCTCGCTCTCTCTCACTTGGCTTCTGGGCAGCTGCCGGCGTGCCCTGACTGCCGCCACCAGCCTTGGGTCCAGACTCACCAGCCACTACACCACGCCATTTGTTTTTCAAATTTACACGCACTACAACACCGGTTGTAGTGCGTTGTTCTACTGACTTTCACACGCAACACCCTGCTCTCCCACCTACACTGATCTCATGCAGATTACTTCATTTTATTTACAATAAAAGCCCCATCGAGGGTTTAAATCGCTCCACGTGTTGTGTCCTTCCTCTTTTGTTGCGGTTCCACGAGCCGGGCCGTAACAGAGAGCGTCACTGTCAACTTTCTTTGTATTGTAGGCAAGGCAAGTTTATTTATATAGCACAATTCATACACAAGGCAATTCAAAGTGCTGAACAAAATAAGAAAGCATTAAAATCATAAATAATCACAGAACATTAAAAAGAAAGATAAAAATATAAAATCCCTCAGTTGTATGCACAGGGATTTTAGCAGCATGAATCTGAAAAGCTGTTTCCCCATGTTTAGTTCTGACTCTGGGCACTAACAGGAGTCCAGTCCCTGTGCTCCTCAGAGTCCGGGCTGGTTCATATGGGACTAACATGTCACTAATATATTTTGGTGCGAGGCCATGGAGAGACTTGTACACAAGCAGAGCTGTTTTAAAGTCTATTCTCTGAGCCACAGGAAGCCAGTGCAGAGACCTGAGAACTGGACTAATGTGGTTGTACTTCCTGGTTCTAGTCAGGACTCGAGCTGCTGCATTTTGAACGTACTGCAGCTGTTTTACAGCCTGTTTGGACAGACCTGTGAGCAGGCCATTGCAGTAGTCTAACCTACTGGAGACAAATGCATGGATAAGAATCTCCAAGTCTGCTTTAGACACTATGTTTTTGATTGAGACTTTGCCTGCGTCAGTATTCAGCTGGATATCGTTTGTAACCTTAACGAGAGCAGTCTCAGTGCTGTGGTGGGGTCTAAAGCCGGACTGAAACATATCAAATGAGTTGTTAATTATAAGAAATCTAGTAAGCTGTAGGTAGACAACTTTCTCAAGGACTTTCCCCATAAATGGCAGATTTGAGATGGGACGATAGTTGTTAAGTACCGTAGCATCCAGACTGCTCTTTCTTAGCAGGGGCCTGATGACTGCAGTTTTCAGGGCCTTTGGGAATATTCCAGAATGAAGGGACATGTTTACTATCTGTGTGAGTGAAGGTAACAGACTGCTCAGAACAGACTTCAGAAATCTAGTGGGTAGTACATCCAGGCTGCATGTGGAGGAGCTCAAACTGGAGATTATCTCTTGGACAGTTTGATCATTTACAGGTGCAAAGTGAGTTAGCTCAGAGAGCCTTTCTGGCTGTTGGATTGTTATCTGTGGATTGGAGACAATGGCGTTTTTGATGCCTTGAACCTTGTCATTGAAAAAATTTGAAAACTCATTGCATTTACGTTTGGAAGTAAGCTCCAATGGCATCTGAACATCTGTTAATCTATTAACTGTTGAGAACAGAACACGCAGATTGTTGCTGCAGCCTTCAATCATTTCAGAAAAATACCTTTCTCTCGTACTACGTAGCACCCGGTTAAACTTGCACAACTTATCTTTGAATATCTCGTAATCAACCTGGAGGTTGGACTTGCGCCACTTCCGTGTTACAGGAAGTGTTCAATTTTTCTGAAGTACGGCAAAAAGAAGCATGTAGCCCTGGGTCACACGTGTCCCCCCTGGTATCGCACCACGCCGCGCCAGGGGGAGAAGCACTGGTGTAGACAGAGACACACACATTCAAAAAATTGAGAAAAGCAGATTCAGCCGTAAAGGATGTGATGTGAATAAAAACACTATTTTCTCGGCTTATGTTAAATAATCACTCAACATCAAAGTCTTCAAAACACCTTGAATTATATTTGACCAAACTTGGATCTTCCGTGGTAAAATGTATCACAGTTAAACAGACATATTCAGGCGATGATGGAGGAGGTAAGATAAGAGAACCTTTATTTGTCTCATAGTTTGGCCCTTGTGCCCTAGCTTGGATTCCCTTAGTTTAACCCTTTCCTCAACGTTTCCTCAACCGTTTGGTGGATCACATTTTGAGTCACTCTATCTACTTGAAGCTTGGGATTGAAATCTGTGTCTTTCAAGAATCTCACTTTTAGGCACTTTTACCAAAAAACTGCATCTCAACCATTTGGTAAAAGGACATAGAAAAAAAAATAATAAAAAAAAATAACTAGAGGTACAAAGGAGAAATTAAAAAAAACACCCAGTGCTTTGAGGATTGCCCCCCCACCCCCGACTATTTCTTTATTTTGTTATTCAAACTATTTATGTGATGTAAACGAATCAATGAGATGTGGTCTTATACATAATGTTCTTGTTGGTCTTTTTTCCTGCAGTTTTTATTCAAGAACTCCTCCGGCGAGTGGCAGGCAGTGCAGATCCAGGAAACGACGTCGCAAACCACCATCCCCTCGGTCGCCACGGTGACGACGCCGGTTTCCACGTCGTCGTCACCGATGTTGACCAATAGGAAGATTGCCCTGGGCGGCGTGAAGAAGGAGCGCACTCTGGCTAAGATCGCGCCGGCGGGAGGCGTGATCACCCTGAACGCTCCGCTGTCTCCGCCGCCGCAACAAACGGTTCAAACCATCAGCATCAATGGGGTCCAGGTGCAGGGCGTGCCAGTCACCATCACCAACGCTGGCGGTGAGAAATGCACATTCAATCACATTTAGTTTTGTACAGCCCTTGATCACAGCAGAAGTTGTTTCAGAGGACTTCACAAAGTTGTTAACTCCCTCACCAACAAATCAGAGAATCAATTTTGAAATTTCCCCACTGTAGGATCGTTTAACACAAGAAAACATAATAAACACATAGGAGCCATTGGTCCATAGTAGCAGATGACCAATGTCTATAAATGTTAATAAATATCCCAGATCATCGCTGTCCTTAGACCCTCCTGCATCAGCGAGGAACGACTCAAAAGTGAGAACTCTGAGATGGCCCATGTTAAGAGAGGGATCCAGGCTGTAGGACGGGGACTGAGGCTGTGCAGTGCAGAACTAGAGAGGCTCCCAGGCGGGGAGAGAGGTGCAGCCCATGGGTCTGGACCAGATCACGGGTTCGCGATACAGACAATGGGACAGCGGGTGAATAACAATTGAACAGACTACAGTTGAAGTCGTAATGATGACAGATAAAGTAGGAAGAGGAGAGATTAGTGCTGTTACCATTTTTCTCCCAACAAAGTGACTCCATATGCAGCTGGACTAAGGTTGTATTTCAAAATCTCACCCAAGTGTTTACCTACCATATGCTGAATTAAAGAGGACTGTCTTAAGCCTGTCTTAACCTGATGCTTATTACACTAATTGTAATCAAAGTAGGAATGGGGAAAGGTGTTACCTGCAAACTGCTGTATGTATATTATTTTTCCCTGTTTACCCGAGAAGGAGAGAGGATGGATATTTTGAAAATTTCACTCAGAATGTGGACATGAGCACCATATCAACAAGACTGCATTGGGCCATGCATTATTGTGTTTGTGTTTGTTATTATTTTCTTTCTGTGTTTTATTCTCTGATCTTTTCAACTCTCTGCTCTCAGTCCTTCTTGTATAGTTGTACAGTGTTGTATATTTGCTGTAAAATGACATATAGTTGACGTGTCTGTGCTTGTCCAGGCCAGCAGCACCTGACAGTTCAGACGGTGCAGGGAGGAGGGCTGCAGCTCTCGGCCCTGAACCAGCCCACGGTGCAGATGGACTCTCTCACTCTGGAACTGCCCCCGGGACCCGGAGAGAAGAAGAGGAGAGTGGCCTGCACCTGCCCCAACTGTAAAGACGCGGACAAGAGGTTGGCACCATCCTTCACCTCCCTCCATAGTTGTTTAATGTAAATTCTGTATTTTAGTTTCTATTCTTATCTGCATTTGGGTTATTTCACGACCTGACAAGGCCAGAGAGAGACAGGCCAGAGAGAGACAGGCCAGAGGGAGACAGGCCAGAGGGAGACAGGCCAGAGGGAGACAGGCCAGAGGGAGACAGGCCAGAAAGAGACAGGCCAGAGAGAGACAGGCCAGAGAGAGACAGGCCAGAGAGAGACAAGACAACATTCACTCCCATTGTCCTTCATCACACTCCTTCAAATGTTTTATATAAATCTATCCATTGAAATAAACTGTGGCTAATCCTGTGTGTGTGGTTGTGTTTGTGTGTCAGGCCGGGGGAGGTGGGGAAGAGGAAGCACATCTGTCACGTTCCCGGTTGCGAGAAGACGTTCAGGAAGACGTCTCTGCTGCGCGCGCACGTTCGGCTGCACACCGGGGAACGGCCTTTCGTCTGCACCTGGGTTTTCTGCGGGAAGAGGTTCACAAGAAGCGACGAGCTGCAGCGGCACGCACGCACACACACAGGTGAGCCACACTGGCCTCTTCCAGATCTTTCCACCGCAGCAGTCAGATATAGCGACAGGGCAGACACGGCTACACGGTCTCTCAGTCTCTTCATGTATACACTGTCAAAGCCACTGCTCCAACAAGGCTTCTTCTTATAGTCGAGGGCCGTGGATTACACATGGGCTTTACTATATAGTGTGAACCTTATGTAAAGAGTAGTAAACGGTATAAATAGTCAAATTAGATACCAACCCACAGCTGTAATACAATCAAAGTGGTGTTTTACTAATTCAGTAAATTGCACAAGTTGTCACGAAAATGTAATATAATCAGAATAATTGTGGCTGTACAATTATTCGGATTATATTACACCAAGTGGATATAAAAGATGACCTTTAATGAGACTAAGAGTTACAAGTTATAGTGCATAGTTTGCATTGTCAGTTCAAGTCACGTAATGCCAATGGTGATGATCCAGAACACTCCACATTCACCAACATTCATGGACTTTTATCAACATTTAGGGACATTGTTCAACTCCCCCTTTTGGACCAATGGCTCTATGTGTTTTTATCATTGCAATTCTTGTGTTGAACTGTTGATTCTCTGAATATACAAGAATGAATTGAATTGAAATAGAATTGAATGAATGACTACCTGCATTTACCGTCCATTTCTTATAATCAATAGGGAGATCTTCACTGCAAAAAGCAATGAAAAAAGTCAAACTTCCTTAGGGTTAGGGTTTGAGCACATTTTGTCTGCCTTAAAACAAGATTTGCCAATGGAAAAATGCGCAAAATGATATTGTTTAAAAAGATACTAGAAATGTCTCTCTTGGAATGAGAAAATAAAGCAGCAGTTCTTGAAATAAGACTAAATGGCTTTGTCCCATTGGAAAATCATGTTTGAACACTGTCATAATCTTCTCAAATTAAGAACAAATCTTCGCAATGAATACCTCATATTGTATTATTTTTTGCAGTGTATCTGTAAAGTTCCGTCTCTTTCTGTTTCTTTCCGCAGGAGACAAACGGTTCGAGTGCAGCCAGTGTCAGAAGCGCTTCATGAGGAGCGACCACTTGACGAAGCATTATAAGACTCACATAAACACAAAAAACCTGTGAGGCCTGAACTTAACAAACTGTTGAGGAAAAAAAAAACTCTCAAAACGTATTTAAGTGATCGACGAGGAGCAGCTGGACCTTCTGCCTCTGTCCCACAGTGGGACCATCTCTGGGCCCTCTCCTCCAGGACACATAACATAGTGTACAGACTCCAACTTATTATTAACAGCTTATTTTTATCCGCATCAAGAAAACAAGACGCCAGCGCTTCTAATTTTATTTATTTTATAGACAAATTAACAAACAGCAGTGACTTTTTTTATTATTTAGCATCAAGATGGGTTTTACACACAAATTACAAGAACTCCAGTTTGTAGAAAATGACAAAAAACTGTTAAGGCTTGACACAAAAAATGTTGAATTGTTGTTATTTAATACAACCTTGTTTTAGGTGAAATATGGAGTTTTTATTTTGGAAATTCTGCCGACAGGTCGCGGTGAAAATGGAGTCAATGTCTTTTTGTTTGCAACTGGATCTCAAAAGTTGCGGTAAAAATATTCATCATTCACCGCACAACCTGTCAGCTTTAATCTATTTATATTTTAATTAAACTAACTTATGGTCTGCTGAATTTTCTAGCACTGTTTTTCTTTTATAGTGTAAGGAAAATGAACTTTTTGAGTGGGATTATTCACCTGCGATTTCTCCTCATTCTGATGCCATTGTTTTGCCTGGAAGTGCAGAATCTGGCATTAAACTTTTGATTTGAATTATTTTCAAATTATTTTGTGCAAATGTAGCATTTAATGATATTTATGCTTTAGACTTTACCGTTCTTGTCACTCATATCGCTTGCCTTGTTGTGGAAGAAGCAGATTAGAGCTAACTCAAAGGGCATAGCAACGGCATGGCAACCAAAGAGCCAATCAGGAGCAGCGCTGGTCTGTTTGCTTGTGGTACTCACTAGCTTAACACACATTCAGGGACAGAAGGCACCTTATGGGCAGCTATGAGGGGAGACATCAATATTTGGAAAGACAAAATATGTTTTTAAACCCAGAATCGTGAGTGTGTAACAAGCGCTGGAACATAAGGGAAAGAGGAGTTTACTTTACAAATGTACTATTGTTGCTGGCATTTGTCCTCTCACTCCACACATGTAAGTCAATGGGAGCCAGAGCAACTCGGAGCAAAACTTTGTCCGTGAGGCGTCACACAGCTAGAAGGTTAGCATTGTCCAATCCTATATATAGTTCATGCTAGCACACCACACCGCAAAAAGTTACAAGTAGTAAATGCTTGAATCAAGTCTTTTTTATCTTAATTTTAGTTTTTTTTTTTACTTTCTTAAAACAAGATTTGCCAATGGAACAAGTTATTTAATCTTTTTTCGAGCGCTGTTGCTGATTTTTGTCTCATTCCAAGCGAGATATTTCTTGATATGTCTTGTATCGTTTTAAAACAAGACATTTTTGCCTGTCCCAATGGCAAATCTTGTTTTTTAGACTCTCAAAGTGTGCGCAAATTAAGATAAAACCACTTGATTCAAGCATTTATTACCCTATATTTTATCATTTTTTGCGGTGCAGATTCGCATAAGGTTGTGTCTTGCCTAAAACTGCAATTTGGACTCGAGAGCCACAGTCGTCCCAATGCAGCACCTGGTATTCCCTGTGGTCCACATACAAAACCGATAAAATCTTATGAGTTTTTAACCTCCTGATTTCCCTCCTCATTCAGGGTAATTAGATGTGTTACATTAATATTATTTTTGCTTTCAGACAAACCTCGTTTTTACTAACACTGGTTCACAGCCCCCTCTTGTTATTTTTTTCTTTCCGCCTTCATTTGAGAGACATGGATGATTCGGCAACATTGCACTAGCATTTCTTATTTTTCTTTCATAGCTTTCTATCGTGGTCACAGAACCTCTCCACAGATCTGACTTGTTTCTGAGTCTGCAGTTGTCGGCTGCTTCTCTTCACAAACACTTATACCCCTGTACTTTTAATGCCTTACTGTAGAACATTCTAGGTAAATGTCTTATGTGAAAAACTCTTGCACTCCTCTTTAACAATATGATACTTATCATTTAGACTCGTGCTTCCCAAAGTAGGGTCCTGGTCCTCAGAGTCGAATCAGTGGAAAGTATATGGTCACTTAATATACTATTCTATATCTGCCTTTAAAACGATGTATTGTATTGGGTCAAAGACATTCATTGATTTCTCATCCAGGCTCTTCTGTTGCTTTTGTAATATATTCAACATCTCACTGACGCTTCCTAACGCTGCCACATTTCCTACTTTTAACACCGGGACACATGGGTTAGCAGGGGTAATAATAAAATGGTAAAAGTCATGTATTTCATTTTTCTGCTCATTATCACTGCAAATAAGATACAATATTAGTCAATACATGCTTTAAGGTGGTTTTATAATCTGTAAAATGGTATGTTCTAAAAATTGTCAATGGGGAAAGTATAGTATTTCACCGAGGTCTAACTGCTTGGTCTACTCGCACATCAAGATGTTTTGGAATCAAGGGTAATTTTCCCCAAAACCAGTTTTTATAATGTAATGCAGTGCAAGCACAACATCCACTGCTTCAAAACTTATAATAATAATATATTCCTATCTATTGCTGGATGGGTGTCTAAAATGTATGGGTCACCAGGCTTAGCTCACTATTATTAGAATGATAAAATGGCGTTTTGGCTCCATCTAGTGGTGGTTCATGAAGCAATATTGTTGATTCTTTACAAGGTCCTATATTTTACTGTATCTGAAATTGTCCCAAAACAAACAAACAAAACTTATCACAAAAACAACACGTGTCTAAATAGTTGGTTGAACTTCATCTGTTCCTCCCGATTTCTTTCCTAAACATTTGATAATTCGATTTTATTTAAATTCTCTTGAATACAAACTGGTAATTTTTGAAGAAGCAACCTACGCTAGAGATGTCCTCATTTATTTGTTTGAATTAAGTTATTTCCCATTATTTATAAACAAAATGTACTTGCTTTGTTGTTGAGGTTAAAGAATTTCCAACGTTTGGGTCTGTACTATGTATTTAGCTATACTTTTTGACACTTTTGGATTTAATTTTGAAATACAGCCTTGCAGAGCGAACGCAAAGATGTACACGTCTATTTCTATCTCAAGATTTAAATTGACCTGGATTTTTTTATGTTATCAAAGTTGAGCAGTGCGTTTAGAAGCTCTCTCCAGACAGAGTTCAGATTTAAGTTTATTTGAAACAGTTGATACGTTTTCTACAGCTTTTTGCGACTGTTGTACAGAAAATTTGTCTTCAATGAGCGCAGTAAATGTGGGGAAAAGCTGCTGATTTCAAGAGGGTTTTGTATAGTGTGTAAAAAATAAAAAGTTAATGTGAAACTTGACTCCTGCTTTTTATTACGATGATTTTTATGTTGGAGGTTTTGTTGCACTGAACTAAAGTTTAGTCAACCCAGCAGCAACAATGGCTTTTTGTGCGGAGATTTAATCGACTAATGTTTATATTGATTGATATGGAATTAATGTAAGGACATGGTAAAATGTTCTACCTCATTTTAACCAAACATCTAATCATGTTTTGTGTTAGGTAAACAATCAAATCATTTGTGCATTTCATGTATAATTGATGATCTCTGACTAATACACAATAATACATATAAATAACCAAACATCAAAACATAAACATGTCTAAAATGTATTTATTTCTTCCTCATTATAACAAATATGGCATTTTCACCAACATTAAAATCGCAGAAAAAACTATGCCAACACTTTTAACTTAAGTACGTAGTCTGGGTTTAATTGGAAATACACATTTTAATTAATTTCCATTTATTTCTGTGTCAAAATGGTCTATAGGGGTCTGGATGATCACTGTCCATGAGTTGAATCGGCTCCACAAGCTTTTCACATTAATCTTACAGCTTTTTAAATGAATGAGACCTTACCTGCCCTCTTAATAATGTAATCAGTTACTACAATATACATTTTAGATGCATCCAAATTCATAACAAATCACTCCTTTCCTCATGCTTCCTTGATACTTCTTATTTACAACTACCTGAGTAACATTTCATTTAACTTGCGAAAACACATTTAATAGGTCTTGACTGTTCTTTTGATCAATTATGGAGTAGTTTTGTGAGTAAACAAATGTTTTTTAAAAGAGCAAGGAAGGATGTTGAAGGGCAGAGGAGGGAGAGTTTTTACCGATTTTGGATGCAGACTCCCCCTTGGACTGCCACTGTTCTGTCGAGTTGATCTGCCCGTCGAGATGATCAGGGTTTATGATGTAATGCAAACCTGCGCACGCACTTCTCACGGCAGCCGAAGCAAACCAAGATGGCGGACATGGAGTTGTGTAAAAAGTTTAAATACCAACGAATAAAGACACAAATGTCACTTTTAGTGCAATTTGAGGCGAGATGTTGATGGTTCCATGTTGTTATACCTGGGTTTTAAGAATCAAAGTTTCGTGTAAAGATTGGTTTAAGTAGTCAACTGCTCCATGACTGGGCTGTTAGCTGTCGAGTTAGCCACAGCCACAAATTTTAATCATGTCAAACTTTTAAAGCTCTTTGGGTGACCTTGCTCTGTAAAAATGCGCTATATGAATAAATATTACTAAGTTACATACTTCCAACTTTGATCCATCCATGCTAATAACAAGAACTTCTGGCACAAACATGTAACTACCTTTTTAACTGCTGTGTCTACGATACAGCAAGATGTTGAATTAATTAGCAACCCATGTTCAATGCTAATTGTTTTGTAAAATTGGAATACTGTGCTTCACTCTCCTGTGTCTGTGTGTTTTAATTTAAGCCTTGGCAACAGTTGCTAGGGAAGGCTTGCTATTGGCGAGGCTACTGGCATTAAAATAATACAAAAGAAGGTGTTTACGTGAATTAAACTGCTATTTTGTTATTTAAACACACTGCGGCGTCTCAGACATCACAGGGCATAAACATAAATATAAAACAAACCTACATAATATGTTTATGTAACATTACGTCATATTAAATGACATCATACAATAGAACCCTCTCAGAATATTTTGGAAGTTCCACGTTCCTTGGTTGTCATGGCCACCGGGGAAAAGCTGCTGATTTCAAGAGGGTTTTGTACAGTGTGTAAAAAATAAAAAGTTAATGTGAAACTTGACTCCTGCTTTTTATTACGATGATTTTTATGTTGGCGGTTTTGTTGCACTGAACTAAAGTTTAGTCAACCCAGCAGCAACAATGGCTTTTTGTGCGGAGATTTAATTGACTAATGTTTATATTGATTGATATGGAATTAATGTAAGGACATGGTAAAATGTTCTACCTCATTTTAACCAAACATCTAATCATGTTTTGTGTTAGGTAAACAATCAAATCATTTGTGCATTTCATGTATAATTGATGATCTCTGACTAATACACAATAATATATATAAATAACCAAACATCAAAACATAAACATGTCTAAAATGTATTTATTTCTTCCTCATTATAACAAATATGGCATTTTCACCAACATTAAAATCGCAGAAAAAATCATGGCAACACTTTTAACTTAAGTACGTAGTCTGGGTTTAATTGGAAATACACATTTTAATTAATTTCCATTTATTTCTGTGTCAAAATGGTCTATAGGGGTCTGGATGATCACTGTCCATGAGTTGAATCGGCTCCACAAGCTTTTCACATTAATCTTACAGCTTTTTAAATGAATGAGACCTTACCTGCCCTCTTAATAATGTAATCAGTTACTACAATATACATTTTAGATGCATCCAAATTCATAACAAATCACTCCTTTCCTCATGCTTCCTTGATACTTCTTATTTTACAACAACAATTTAACTTGCGAAAACACATTTAATAGGTCTTGACTGTTCTTTTGATCAATTATGGAGTAGTTTTGTGAGTAAACAAATGTTTTTTAAAAGAGCAAGGAAGGATGTTGAAGGGCAGAGGAGGGAGAGTTTTTACCGATTTTGGATGCAGACTCCCCCTTGGACTGCCACTGTTCTGTCGAGTTGATCTGCCCGTCGAGATGATCAGGGTTTATGATGTAATGCAAACCTGCGCACGCACTTCTCACGGCAGCCGAAGCAAACCAAGATGGCGGACATGGAGTTGTGTAAAAAGTTTAAATACCAACGAATAAAGACACAAATGTCACTTTTAGTGCAATTTGAGGCGAGATGTTGATGGTTCCATGTTGTTATACCTGGGTTTTAAGAATCAAAGTTTCGTGTAAAGATTGGTTTAAGTAGTCAACTGCTCCATGACTGGGCTGTTAGCTGTCGAGTTAGCCACAGCCACAAATTTTAATCATGTCAAACTTTTAAAGCTCTTTGGGTGACCTTGCTCTGTAAAAATGCGCTATATGAATAAATATTACTAAGTTACATACTTCCAACTTTGATCCATCCATGCTAATAACAAGAACTTCTGGCACAAACATGTAACTACCTTTTTAACTGCTGTGTCTACGATACAGCAAGATGTTGAATTAATTAGCAACCCATGTTCAATGCTAATTGTTTTGTAAAATTGGAATACTGTGCTTCACTCTCCTGTGTCTGTGTGTTTTAATTTAAGCCTTGGCAACAGTTGCTAGGGAAGCCTTGCTATTGGCGAGGCTACTGGCATTAAAATAATACAAAAGAAGGTGTTTACGTGAATTAAACTGCTATTTTGTTATTTAAACACACTGCGGCGTCTCAGACATCACAGGGCATAAACATAAATATAAAACAAACCTACATAATATGTTTATGTAACATTACGTCATATTAAATGACATCATACAATAGAACCCTCTCAGAATATTTTGGAAGTTCCACGTTCCTTGGTTGTGTCGTGGCAGTTTCTATCCATAGTAAGGAAAAAGCTGGAAAGGTATTTGTCTTAATCAGGAGCGTAAGTTTATTATAACACACGTGCGGAGAACTCACATACACAAAATAGCGTACATCAGTTCTCTCGGGGCCAGTCCCAGGTCCCCGTTTACATAGGCAACACATGAAAGACAGTCACGCCCCCAAAAGGTGGGAGGGGTCACAGTTTGAGACGGGCATCCAGATGGCGAGGCGCCTTGCCTGGTGAGAGACAATCTTTGTGCCATGGAGATGCAAACAGAAGGGACAATAGACATGCAGAATGTAAAAGGTCAATAGAGATGCAGACATACGGACCGATAGAGATGCAAAATGCAAAAGGGGCAAAGGTGAGATAGTAATTTGCGTCATGTCTGTCGGTGCAGGGGGGAGACCGGTTCCTTCCTGCAGGTTAATTGAATAGAACAGCGGGGGGTGAGTTGGCGTCCTTGAGGCTAACCAACTTGCCATAACACTCCTCTCCCGTGATAATGTAGAAACCCCAGTTTTACAGAAATCACATTCAGGTGGGTGAGTTTTGACCTTGGTCCCTGAGCAAAACAAGAGTTGTTGATGGACAGGCTACGCTGCCGTCACCCAAGCCTCTTGTATTACGAGGGTGTGGTCAAAGCTCTTCACTGTGATACCCTCCCCCTAAATTGTAGGCGGAACAAGTGGAAAAATAAAAACAAGGTAAACAAAAAAGAAAAACGTTAGACAAAGTCGTCGTCCGAATCGCTGATATAATCAGGATCGGGGTTCAGTGGGACAGCGGCCAGGTCCGCCTCAGGGTCTTTGTATTGAATGGACACAAAGTGAGTGGATATCATTTTACCAACGGCCCGAAACACCATAGGTAATACACATGAAAATAAAATCATAACAGTCAATAGGGCTAAACCAAGATTAATGAGCACACTCCGCCAGGAGGACAGGAGCCAGTCCAGACCGTGAGGAGTGTCCGTGACATTGTCCGCTTGCATGGCGTCCCGGAGTCTAGTCAGATTGGCTAATGTATGCCCTGTTGGATAAGACCTCCGTCCTCATCATTAGCAGGAATATATGTACAGCAGTTGCGAAGCGGATAAAAACTCGCTCGGCCCCCAGGGTCTGAAGACCAGCGCCGGTCCTTCTCGGCCCACCATCTCTATCATGGGGAAAGTGGCGACGAAGTGATTTGTGGGCCTCGGTTCCCGCCGGAGCGTTTCCCTGCTCCATCGCGGTTCTGCTTCCGGCGCTTCTCCTTCTGCTGCTGCCGGCGCGGGGCCCACTTCCTGTGGGGCGTCAGCAGGTGCGAGAGGCTTTGTGAGGCACTGACGTGGTTGGCTCTGGCGCGGCGGTGTTTCAGGCGTAGGACAGGGGCCGGTTTCATACAGCGGGGCCACGGAGGAAAGCGTGGACAAATCTGGGTAGAGAGAGAGAGAGGGCACAACAGTAGTCTGCACATTTTTTAACACAGCGCTTTGCTTGGGCGCGTACTTAGCATGGAGTTCTGCTCCTACTGTGAAAGGGTTAGTAGGTGAGAAAGGGCGGTAGGGTGGGGGGTGTGTGGGATGTGTGTCCGCCTGTGTGTCCCCCCCTTCTGTGGAAGGCGGAGCAGCTATGGCTTTATTCGTCTTTTGCGGTCCCGTTCTGTAGCTAAATCCTCCCACATGGCAAGACAGGTCTGGTGTTTCAGTATGGCCCTAACGTCTTCTGCTGTAATTTTCTTAAAACCAAGTATTTTTTCCCTTTCTTCTTCTAAATTTTCACGCAAGATGCGTAATTGATTCAAAGACATAGAACCTCCATCGGGAAAGCCGAATGAACTGCACCATATAGGCAGGCACTCCATTGCTTTAGATCCGAACCGTTTTTCCATTGCCATTGTTACGGGGGACGTTAACATTCCCCTCGGTGTGGCATCTCTAGATTGATTTTTCCCCATTTTCACGTACAGAACAATGGGCCTAGCCTCGCTTAGTCTCTCCCTGCTCTTCCTCACTTTGGAGCGATCCGTTCCCCCCCCGTTAGTTCAATACACCTAACGGGCGCGCGTTTTTGAAACGGACCGGGCCTGGCTGAAGGCACAAAGAGTTCAGGTTTGCTTACAGAGCAATACTAACGCGCAGCCGCTAGGATTACCCGCACACAGTCTACGCTGTGGCAATGAATGAAATACCCCAAAAATACGTAAATAAATCAAATACCCGTGTACACTTAAGCGCTGCCCTGGGCTTGTTACGCAAATGAAAAGACAAAACTCACCAAATCAGGTTCTTTTATGGTCCTGTAGTCGAATAGTTTTTCCTGCGCGAGGCGAGCAGTGTCCCTCCCGTCTTCTCGTCAAACGCTAAGTGAGGTAGGGAGGCTGGTTTTTTGTAGTAAATCCCAGGTCGGCCAAACAACACACGATCGTCTCCACGCCGGAAAAAAAATCAGACATAGAACGTGCCAGCAACGCCAAATTGTCGTGGCAGTTTCTATCCATAGTAAGGAAAAAGCTGGAAAGGTATTTGTCTTAATCAGGAGCGTAAGTTTATTATAACACACGTGCGGAGAACTCACATACACAAAATAGCGTACATCAGTTCTCTCGGGGCCAGTCCCAGGTCCCCGTTTACATAGCTAACACATGAAAGACAGTCACGCCCACAAAAGGTGGGAGGGGTCACAGTTTGGGACGGGCATCCAGATGGCGAGGCGCCTTGCCTGGTGAGAGACAATCTTTGTGCCATGGAGATGCAAACAGAAGGGACAATAGACATGCAGAATGTAAAAGGTCAATAGAGATGCAGACATACGGACCGATAGAGATGCAAAATGCAAAAGGGGCAAAGGTGAGATAGTAATTTGCGTCATGTCTGTCGGTGCAGGGGGGAGACCGGTTCCTTCCTGCAGGTTAATTGAATAGAACAGCGGGGGGTGAGTTGGCGTCCTTGAGGCTAACCAACTTGCCATAACAGTTGTCATGGCCACCATTATCCATGCATTGATTCAGTTCATCTCAGGTCTTCGCTGGGTTCAGACGTGTTTTTCCGTCTCTGCGATGCAACCAAAAGAACCGACATGAATCCACTGGACTTGGAAAGGGGTCAGATCCTGGAGGGTCCAAATGACTCTTATGTGGTAGAACAAATCATTGGCGAAGGCGAGTTCGGGGTTGTGTACGGCTGCGCAACCCAAAGATGGACGGCCAGCAAATACGTGGCCTTGAAGCTTGTTAAGGACCCTAAAAACAACAGAGCAGCTATGGCTGAGGTAAGGGATTATTTAGCTGAAATTACACTCTCTTTGAAGGCAAAATTATATCTGAATTTTACTTCACTGATTCGCACTGAATGCTAATGTTAGCTTCAGCGGTTCAGTTAGCTAGCTGTACTCAAACTATGTGGAATATATGTATAATATTGTATACTCCATCTGACAGTTTGGTTCTTTCATTACTTTTCACACATAAAACCTTTGGTCATGTGTTTGAATTCAAGCACTTTCAAGGTAAAATTGAACCTTTTCAAGATAACAACGCTTAATACATCAATAATAGACACATGAATCAACTTATTGACAGCTATAAAGTTTGAGAGGCATTTTCAAGCATTCATTCCAAACACGTTATTGAAAAATACGATTGTTCCCAATTTTCAAGGATCTGTACGAACCCTGCATATTTATTGTCTGAGTGTGTGTGCGTGTTGTGAGAAAAGCTTGGTCCAACCTCTTTTGCTCTCTGTATTTCTGCTTATTTTGTATATTGTGTATGTTTCAAAGTTGCCTAATAAGAGTTTGAAATGTTCTCTACTAAATTATTTTAAGTATGATGAACACTTGACTGTTTGTTTTTTTCTGTCAGAGTGCTATAATGCAGGTGCTTAAGGAGAATCAAGCAGACCAGCATCACATCGTGCGCTGCTTCAGCACTTTCGTGGTTAACAAAGTGATGATACTGGAGTACGAGCTGTTGGACATTTCCTTGTCCCAGTTCCTCGAGTGCAATGGGAGGATGACTCTGATGGACATCCGGCCTGTAATTATTCAGGTTAGTAGTCTTTTCAAAACACACCCATCGGTTTCATCATGTTGTGTCAGTGAACACATTACACTGTCCTCCACACTTCTCCATAGACCTCACAGAGACGGCAGCAGCCGCGATACGCAACCCTTCTGCTCATTGACAAAAACCAACAGAGAAAGTAAAGTGAAAGCGGCAATAGCGATCACAATCACTGATATGCAGATCATAGACTGTATATGCAGATTCGCACGAGATTAGTACTATCACAAGACGTCTGTGTTTGGATAAATACAGGAAGTAATTTGTGGCGGAATAATACTAAACAAATTACAGACATGGTGCATTCGCACTGGACTAAGATCTGAAGACGTCCTCCGTGATTATCACAAATCACCAGGGGTATTACTAATTCCGTGCAAATAGGGCTGAAGTAAACAAACTTGTTTTACTTCCGGGTAATCGATTGATGCCGAAATGTATTAAATACATATTAAAAAAGGTTAATTATTGCATTTTCTAGTTCCCAAATCTGGTTATTATAGTATACATGTCTTATAAGCAATGAAAAAAATGAAAAAAAGGTAATTTTTCTATTTTGCCGTGTGCCTGAAAGATATATAGACCTTTTTTGATTTTCCATTTCCCTTCAAAAATAGAAAATGTGTTGAACACAAAATTACACGGACCCATGGGTCAATCTAACTTCAAGTGATAATAACATAAATGTACGGACCAAACATTTTTGTACCTAAACATTTATGTATTATTTTGTAGCTTTAACATTGTGTAATCTCAGATGGGCAGCTAAAACCATTTCAAGAAAAATGGATGCCTTTCAAAAAAATGTGATTGAACTTTGGGGACATAATTGTCATAATTGTGATTTATTACAGCTTTTTCCTATTGCTTAAACACATTTTGCAAAATGTCCCTCTTTGTCCCAAAACTTTACGCACACGATCCCCCGACACAACACTAGGACATCAACCATTCACATCTGTCTCAAAATGAAACTCCTTTATCAAAACTCAAACTCTGTTATCAAAACTAAACAATTTGTCAAATTAAAACTCTGGGAACAAAATGATACACACATGCATCATGTGAACACACTTTCAGATTGGAAGCAACACACTGCAGTACTTTATATAAAATATTGCAATCATTTTTACTGTTTTTATTCTGTTTATCAGTTAGTTTTCTGTTAAGCTCAATGGAACTGTTTTTGTGCTCATGTGTCTGTCTCAGTGTATTCAATCACACAATGTGTTTGATATTTTAAATAGATGTGTTTTTCCATTGATAACACAGGATTGTATTAAAAAATAAATAAAAAACTGTAATATAAAAGGCATTATTGATTGATTCTAACACGTGATTTCTTCTGCAGATGGCCACAGTGATGAAATTCCTAAAGGGTCTGGGTCTGATTCATGGTGACGTGAAGCCGGAGAACGTCGTGTTTGAGAATCATGCGAAGGGTCTAAAAGTCAAAATGATTGACTTTGGATCTGCGCATTGGTCTGCGGCGGTGACGAAGGGAGACTTTTTGGGAACTCTAAATTACATGTAAGAATTCAGACTCTCTAATCTCTAATGATCTAAAGTTTATGAGTACCAAGGGGAAACGAGCGCTTGTGCTGTGACCTGGAACCTGCTCGTCTGAAAGCATAAACTAAATTAAACTTAAGTCTGAATAATTCAATGGAAGTCTAATATGCAAAATTAAGTTAACATGTACAGATGTATACATACAACTGTATATGACTTGCACTAGAATATACAGTATTTTATACTTACTTAAAGTTTAAGACTTTATCCTCATTCATACTTCTTTCATTGTTCTAAAACAGGAAGTGAAGTAAACAGTCTCATCATAATTTTCAATATCCAAATATGTATTATTTCATATTTATATTGTCTTTTATTGTGATGGAGACAGCATGTTGAGCTTTGACTTGTTTACAAATGTTTCTTTTACAAACAAACAAAACAGTTTGATTTTCTTTATTGCATAAACAGCACCTAAAGTCTAATTCTTTATACAAAACATGTTCTTTTGTGTCTAAGGGCTCCGGAGGTGGTGCTGGGAGCACACTTCAATGAGGCCATTGACATCTGGTCCTTGGGCTGCACAGTGATAGAGATGCTCACTGGAAGACGGCTGTTTCCTGTGGTCAACGACATTCAGCTGGTATTCCTGGCGTCACTTTACGAGATTCTAATGGACACCTGCAATAGTTTTTTGTTTCTAAACCTATTTGTGCTTTTAGATGAGTCACATCGAGCAAGCTATGGGGAGCATTCCAAGCTCAGTCCTGAAAAAGGGAGTTCGGACGAACACTTTCTACCACGAATTTGTAGAGAAAGGAAAGAAAGTCTGGACGCTCAAGGTACTGTCATGGTAGAACAGTGTATAATGATTTGAAGTTTGGTCTGTTGTCTATGACAAGTAAAATGTAATTACTAAATGTTGTAGTGTATATAGATTACAATATAAAATACACTATATTTTTACTTTTTACTAATTATTATTTCCCATAGTTAATAATGTGGCTAGCTTAAATTATAGGCCTCTGTGCACATATCAGCATTTATGCACATAAGATGTAGCGTAATGACGCAGCACTTAGATTAAAAGACGACACAGACTCACACTCAGCCCAGCGCTGTTTTTGACTTTTCAATGGAGAAGGACACTCGGGTCCTTACAGGCTGCTCTGTATTTTTCCCATTCATTTTCATTTTTGCAAAAGAATAATTAAATAAGACTAAACTATCTAAATAAGTTTAAACAATTGTTCTTTATTATATTCTATATCATGTTTAAGTTACTTTTCCCCTTCTCTTTTCTTCAGACTAAGGACTCGAATCACACCAAGCGGCCCATAAAGCACCTGCAGGATTTGAGCCGCGTACGTTTTTTAAGTGCATGAACCATGCTTATCATTATTTTGTGTAGACACCAGGATTGTGTGCATTTCAGTCCGGTTGAAAATTATTGTGTTGCACATTTGAAATACTGTGAAATAAAACGTACTATTTGCAGATTGGCCATCATTATCATTCCCCTTCGAATGATCGAAAGGTGGACTGGGAGCACTTTGTGGATCTGACTCAGAGGATGTTCTGCCTGGATCCACAAACAAGGATCACACCGGAGGAAGTGTTGGAACATCCCTTCATTTCTATGAGTCACCTGAGCACCTTCAGCACCAATTAGTGAGTCCTGGACCAGTTTTAAACCTAGTTCAGTCCAAGTTAACTCCTGTTTAGAGCTTTTCACTAACGGTTTCTCTCTTTGGCAGTGTGACAGTCTCTGCAGGGCTGATGCACCATGTCTCGTCTCTTCCCTGCTACAAAGCGATGCTGCAGCCAGGCGAACAGCAATCCACCTCCGCCGTGACAGCTCCACGGGTTGAGCCATCCACTTCCAGGGCCACCGTGACAGCTCCACAGGTTGTGAAGCAGCAGGTCAAACCTCCCCCGTTTGGGAGTTCTCAAGTTAAGGCTCCACAGGTTGAGACTCCGTGGATTGAGGCTACACCAAGGCTGAAGTCTATACTTGTGAGGAGACAAAAGCTAAGCGCTAGCAGGTACTACTTTATTGTGTCTCAGTCGACATTGTCACGTTATAAATCCTGTTGGAAAGGAATGAGTGATACCATCGGATTATGTATGGGTTGACGGACATTTGTTGAAGTTTTTTAAGAAGGATGTGTGGTTGCAGAGTGTTAAACGCTGAGCTGAAGTCGATAAACAGCAGCCTGGCATATGCCTTAGGTTGGAGTGTTCCAGGTGTTGGAGAACATTATGCACTGCTGTTATCACTGCGTCGTCAGTGGCTAGATTGTTTTTTTAAGCAAATTGGTAGGGGTCCAACTTGCTTCCAATGTCTGACTTCAGCTCTCTTACCATCAACTTCTCTAGGCACTTCGTAACATTGGAGGTCAAGGCTATTGGCCTCTTTTGGGACAGGTATTTTAGGGACAGGGATGATGGTTGCAGTTTTCCATTGGGATGGTATGATGTCTGAATTGACTGTAAAACATGAAGAAAAGCGTTATATGGGACGCCTACAGAATTATGCAGGACACACATAATAACGATCAGTAGTTATATCAGGAGTGAATAACTAAAACTGTTTTTTTTTTGGGATTAGGAGCCGTCAAAACGACTGCTCTGGTTCTATTCACTTCAGAATTCTGGGAGTCCTATTGTTGAAATGGCTTGCATTGGGGCTTGTAATTGGTTCCTCAAGATATTGGTTTAAAAAAGGCCAAAGCAAAAGCTGAAGATAATGACTAAATATCCATACTCCAAATATATATTTCTTATCAATTCTGATTGTTTTGTGATTTCTTCCAGTTCTAGAAGTATGGACCCCGGTGTATGGAGCAGTGCTGTGAAGAAGAAGAAGCAGAAGGCAATTCGATTCGCAGACGAGTCCACTACTACATATCAGGAGAGAAAACTCGACATCCAGATCCAGACGAGAAATCTCACTCTTAATGAGAAAAGGTGTGAACCAGGAAACACAAACAAAAAACAGAAGATACAAGTTTTAGACCCTGTTTAGACGGACACACTACGGACACGCTGCAAAGCAATTAGCAAAGGCGGCCAGGCGTATAGATGGGAATGGAAAACAATGTAGTTCTAACGCCCGGCCAGTAGGAGGCAGTATATATATATATATATATATATATATATATATATATATAGGGATAGGGAGAGAGAGATAAATGGAAGTAGAAAATAATATAGGTGCACAGGTTACGCAAAAAGTCATGCACACAACAAGCAGGACAAAATATAAATCTCCTGGATCATCTTCACTCTGTTTTCTTTGTGGCAGGACGGGCTGTGGCACCAGTGGACATTGCACTGGAGGGAACTGCACACCTCCGAACAACACTGCTGTGGACGCGAAGACAGAGAACAAGACCACAAAAATGTAATGGTTTGAAGCAGAGAAAAACAGAGACACCAACAAGAGAACATTTATATTTACATTGGGTTGAAAGAAATAATTACAGACTTTAAAGTAGTACTAGAATTTAATATGCTGCTATCCAGAATATATAACTACAATATGTGTTTATAATATTTCGGGTGTTCATTTTGACATGTTCAGATGAATTATGTTAAAAAAACGGCTTTGAAGTGGCACCTTTTCACAAACGCTAGGGGGCGCCAAAATGGCGGCGATGACGTAGGAGAAGGCCATCTCACAGCAGCAGCAGCAGTCTTAGCTGGAAACTGTAGGAGGTTTCACTGTCATCTGAACAAGGTATAAACATATTTTCATCCGTTTTGTACATAATAGTGTGCAACTCTTTTAACCTTTTAGCCTTATTTGTGAGATTCAAGCTAATTAGTGTTGGGCAAGTTAGCAAACTCAACTTGATATCATAAAACATGCTAACAAGGCTAATATTAGTTTTTACATTATGCCAGTCTCACTTTGCCTTAGATCTATTTACCACAATGTACATTGTAATATCCATAAATGCTAACACCTATTAACGGTGTAATTAGCATTTTTATCAATGATTGCATCACATGTAGTCTATGTTTTCAACTTCTGCAGCTTTTTTTTCATAAAAGTAAAATATTTAGCATTTTTGAATATTACAATGTACATTGTGGTAAATAAATCTAAGGCAACCAGAGTGAGACTGGCATAATGTAAAAACGAATATTAGCCTTGTTAGCATGTTTTATGATATCAAGTAGAGTTAGCTAACTTGCCCAACACTAGTTTGCTTGAATCTCACAAATAAGGCTAAAAGGTTAAAAGAGTTGCACCCTATTATGTACAAAACTGATGAAAATATGTTTATACCTTGTTCAGATGACAGTGAAACCTCCTACAGATTCAGCCCAGACTGCTGTCACTCTTCTACGTCATCGCCGCCATTTTGGCGCCCCCTAGCGTTTCTATGCGGAAGTGAAAAGGTGCCACTTCAAAGCCGTCAAAATGAACCCCCGAAATATTATGAACACATATTGTAGTTATATATTCTGGATAGTAGCATATTAAATTCTAGTACTTCTTTAAATATATAGCTGATATATCATCTTCACTCTGTTTTCTTTGTGGCAGGAGGGGCTGTGGCACCAGTGGACATTGCACTGGAGGGAACTGCACACCTCCGAACAACACTGCTGCTGACAAAAAAAGGAAACGCAAGAGAGAGAGCAGCGAGACAACAGAAGTTCAAAGGTTTGAAGCTAAACAAAACCACATAAGAGATCATTTATATTTATATTTGGTTGATAGAAAAATCTAAAGCCTGAAAAGTCTTTCAATATCATTTTTTGTCCAATCAATTGAATAATTCTTTCCCAGATAGTGTCTTCATCTTTTTTAATAAATCAGGCAGATAATTGGTCTCGTATTCTGTGAATGTTTGACCTTAGTTTCATCTCTTTTCTCATCATTTATCTTTTCTCTAACTGACTTTAGGAAGGTGAAGCTGAGGAAGCTGATGAATGAGAAGACGTTTTTCCCAGGGGTGGAGCAGGACTCTGACAACACCAGCGATGAATCCATGTACGTGAAGTACACACACACATATACACACACACAAACAAAACTAAGGTACGGAACGGTGGCACAGTGGTTAGTACTTGACTGAAAGAAGGTCCTGGGTTTGATTCTACCTCCAGAGTTTGCGTGTTCTCCCTGTTTCTTCTGGGTGCTCCGGTTTCCCCTACTACCAACAACATGTACATTAGGTCTGGCATGCGCCTCCTGTAAAGCGCTTCTATCCACTCCATTATCAAGAACTTCTGGCACAAACATGGTGGCACAGAGATAGGGCAGACAGACAGCACTATTTACCCTTGATACTTGTTTCAACATATTTTCTACCTCTACTCATATTGAATTAGGTCATTTCAATTTTGTATAAACACTGGAATACCTAACTTTTGTTGGTGTTTCCGTATCACAGAAGAAGCTCATTAGCCCCATTAGCCTCAGTTGTTTGGGCTCATACTGTATATCAATTTACAAGGACACATTATTCATATGCTACTAGGGGTGGGCGATATGGCCTAAAATTCATATTGCGGTATAATTTGGGTCACAAACGGTAGACGGTATATATTGCGGTATAAATTGGTGTGTGAATTTCAATAGTCAAGTTTGTTACTTATTTATATATTAGAATCTAGTATATATATATTTTGAGTTTGAAAATCAGGTGTGTCCAGTCTCCACAAACACCAGTATTTCATCCAGTATTTAATACATTTTTATCACATAATATTTTTCCATATTAAAGAGACACCATGCTTTTGAAATGCAGATTGAACTGAGGACCCTGTGGTTAGTAGGTAGGTTTGCCAACTTGAGAACAGAAAAATAAGGGACACCATTTGGGTGGATCCGGTTGAGCACTTTTTAGTCCTAATTTCATTCTACACAGGAATCATGGAATTTTATAATCAGTTTTTAGAACTTCACTACATATAAAAAACAAAAACAAATCCTTAGTTAAAATTAAATAAACAGGTGCACTGTAAAAACAAAAAAGTTAGTTCAACTCAAAATTTCAAGGTGACTTCTGAGTTGAAGTATCAACTTAATTCTTTACGTTTTGAAGAACTACAATCATTAAGTTGTGTCAGCGAAGTGTTTCTAGTTCTGCCAACAACATTTTTGTAATTCAAGAAACTGGAACTTTCAAGTCTGTAAAAACGTACTATTTAAAGTTCAGATTACAGTTCGCTGCAAAAGCGTTCTATTTTGTGTTACCTCCCACATTCATCCTGTTTCATCCTCATGTTTATTTATACAGCGCTTTTATACACCAGGGTTACTTGGGTATGGGAAACCGGAGCACCCGGAGGACACCTATGCAGACCAGTGGGGGCGGGTTTCGGCTCAAAAGTGGCCAAAATGACGTGCGCTGACATGCTTGCAATACCACCCCGGGCCGATGGGGGTGGACCCAGAAGTAGAATTAACCAATGCTAACATATAGCGTTGGCAGACTTCTCGAAAACGTCTTTACAGAATGGTCCAAAAGTTGGTTCTTGGCCCAAAGCTCCGTTCCACATGTGTGTCAATGCTGAGGGGGGTGAATTTTTTTGGTCCACTCTAGTTTAGTGGCTGTGAATTTTTGAAGTGTCTCGTTCAAATGAATGGAGTTGCGCCGGCTGACGCATGCGCAGATGCGTTTTTTCACAATTTTCTTGTGGGCGGGATCACTCGTGGCCATTTTGGATAGCCCCAGTAGAGCAAATTTTTTGGCCCATTAGTTAGAACGGCGGAGATAGGCGTGACTATGTCCGTGAATATATACAGTCTATGATGCAGACAGAGAGAACATGCAAATTCCACTCAGAAACGCGGGACCTTCTTGCCAAGAAGCAAGAGTTCTATCCACTTAGCCACCGTGCCACACACACTGTAGTGTTTCTTAAGGAAACCTTCAATTAAGATTAGTTTTATGAATACCATAAACAACAATGTAAGTTCATTAAACACAGTCTTTATGAACACTCATCAGCTCACTAGACTAACTTACACATTGTTTTTATTAATCCGTTTTAGTTTTATAAATGCCATGAACTTAAGAATATAAGCTCATTTGACACTCATGTATTAGTCTTAAGGTCCTGAACTCTATAACTCTCAGATTGAGAAGCAATCTGGATTTGAACAATCGATATAAATGTGATAATTTTGCCACAATTACTTTTGTTTAATAAAGTAGTTTTTGTGAGCTAATGGCCGCGGAACTCCGAATCTGACGCTAATTTTACCAAACTTCTCGTGTGATGATGCTGCTGGCCGTGCTAAGCCCATGTATGTTTCCTATTGCTTTCACAATGGTGAAAACAAATGGTGGCGGTGCTTGACGGACGCGTCAGCGCCCGTCAAGCACCACAACGTGACGGTGCGTGCGTAAACTCAAACGCTTTAAAATGATTTACCAGGTGCCATTGAAACCTATATTATCTTTGCTCGAGACATCAACAAAAAATTCCTTGGTTTATATATATACAATTGTTTTTGCTCGAGAGATGTCAAATTCTGCACTTTGAGCCTTAATTTGACCCCCTGAACATGCATGAAAAGTTCAGACCTGGCAAAATTTTTGATATTTTGGTGTTTATTTTTATGGGACTCAAAAAATGCCAGAACAGCAAAAACAGCCAAATAATACCTCTATGGGAGTTTCAGAGGTCAAGTTTGTCGAGCCATGATATTCCGCACACATGTTCCTCAAGTCAAGACAAGAAAAAAATGTTATCATGGCCCCGCCCTCTGACAAACAGGAAGCCCATAGATTTCACTGCAAAATGGAAAAATTAACAGCAATAGTTTCATACACATCTCCTCCTCGGCCGTTTCACCGATTCGCTTCAAAATCGCTCCACATCATCTCAACACATGTACCTTCAAAAGGACCAAAGGGAGTTTTGATCAGTTAAACGTTGTTTGAGCAGCGGAGCCGCAAATTGTGACCTTTTTTTTTTGACGATAGAAAAATTGCTCCCATTTGCACATACAAAGTCTGATTCGCACAAAACCTTAATACTCTGTTCAACTTTAGGGTCTAGGTCATTTCAAAGTAAAATGATTTAAATTGATACATTAGCGCCCCCTACAGACTATTTCAAAGTTTTATATGGGAATTTTGAGATTTAGTTTTTTCAAATTGTTTGAAATTTTGCAAATACATCTGTTTTGCCCTCTTGATTCAAAAAGTCAATAGGGCCCAAGGCTTATTTTTTACCCTGTTGCCGTGGCTCACCTCGCACAAACATCAAACCATGCTCGGCCACTTCACAGATTTGGCCGAAAATCGCTCCACATCATCTCAACAGATGTACCATCAAAATGACTTCAGGGAATTTTGATCAGTGAAACGTTGTTTGAGCAGCGGAGCGGCAAAATTTTACCTTTTTTCCCCATTTTGACGATAGAAACATAGCTCCCTTTTGCACAAACCAAGTCCGAATTGCACCAAATTTGAATTGGTCGTTCAACTTTTGGGTTTGGGTAAACTGAAAGTGTAAAACATTAAATTGCAGAATTAGCGCCCCTTACAGACTGAGTCAAGTTTTACATAAGTGAGAATGGCATTTACTAACTCTGATTTGCACAAAACTTGACTCGGTTGTTCTACTCCTGGGCCTAGGTGAAATATTACATTGGCTCTTTAGCGCCCCCTACATACTGAGCCAAAGCTTTACATAGGGAGCCAAACCAACGGATCATATTCATTAAAATTTCACGAACATTGTTCTAAGGCTATGGGAGCAAATTATGGTGTGGCGGCGCCACCTCTGTCGCGCTGTGCGGGGAGTCGCGCGGTGCGACAGAGGTGGCGCCGCCACACCCTAATTTTCTCCCATATAAATTACTGCTGCTTCAGTTTGATCTCAATCTAATCAAATATTGCCTTTGTTTTCATTCAGTCTGACTCCCGAGAGGCAGGATTCCAGTCCAATCTCAGACCTAGACTCGCCAAGCCCGTCGTCGCTTCATGAGAGATCACAGAGGTTTGTTTCTTTACTGTCAGTTGATGTAAAAGTCTTAAATTTATGTTGTGCTTAACTGAGCTGAGGGACGGCTATGTTTAGTCGTTAGTCATTCAGATTCATGTGATAAGAAAGGGTTTCCATTATATTGATTTTTCTTGAAATGGTATGATCTTTGACTTCTGTGAATACGAGAGGATTTATTTCACTCAATTGAGAAAGGTTTGGTTGTAAATTCATGTCCTGATTTGAGCCATAAAGGAAAATATTGATCTTGTTTTATTCTTCCTTTACAGATCCAGTAGCATCAACCCTGAGGCAGAAGCAAGGTGTGATTATTTTGAAATGTGAACAATGATGAAGAAGGTGTCATGGGCCCATTTAGTATAAATTAACTTCAGCTCAATGTGTCTGTTTTATATTTGTCTTTAGGTGGGAGTGGCTGATGAATAGGTTTCAGTCTGTCCCCGGTGAGCGGCAGGACTCCTGCAGCTGGAAGACCAGCAGTGAGGAGGAAACCAGGTATGACTCGTACTTGTTATAGTTTTTAATTAGTTTGCTAAGTCTCTACTCAGCAATTTACTGCCTGAATTCACACACAAGCTGAATCGATGAGTAAGTAATCTTTATATATATACCGCCTTTCACTGCAGACCAGAGTATCAAAGCGATTTACAGTTGTCTTTTTTGAGGGGGGGGGGGGGGGGGGGGGGCGTATAGGAGGCACATGCCAGACCTATTGTGCATGTTTTTAGTGGTAGGGGTAACCGGAGTACCTGGAGGAAACCTACGCAGACACGGGGAGAACATGCAAACTCCACTCAGGAAGGCCCTGGTCCAACCAGGATTCGAACCCAGGATGTTCTTGCTGAGAGGCGAAAGTGCTATCCACTCAGCCACCGTGCCGATGAGCTCAAATTTTCAATTAAATTACGTATTATAATACAACTTGTATGTGGTGAAAAGCATTTTTATGAACTCATTAGAAAATAAATCGGGTATAGCATCTTTAATTTTAGTCCCAGTATTGACCCTTGCTGTACTCCACAAGTTATGTCTCACCTTGTGGGGTAGGGGAATTGTGTTGGTCAGTCTGCCCTCTGTTGTGGCTCAAATAAATAATTCTCTAACTATGTCTTTTCAAGTCATATGCCATATACCATAACCATACATTTTGATTAGTTTATGTATTAACCTTTATTTATCAAGTCCCACTGAGATTTCAGAATCTCTCTTTCCCTCTCTCTTACAGGGACAATTTGACATGTTTTTAACCAGTGTTAATTCAGTGAATAAATCAATGTTAAAGTTTGTTTGCAGTTCCATGTCATGAGAAAATAATTGCTTTTGTTTCTTTCTGCCTTTAGGAATATGATGAGGAGGCGGGCCAGTCTGTTAAAAAAATATTTGGAGCGGAAGAATGAAGCAAGATGTGAGAAACACACATGCGCACACACACAGACACACACAAGCACACACACACAGACACACACAAGCACACACACACACAGACACACACAAGCACAAGCAAGTTTGAGTAATAATTTTTTGATGGCGGCAGATTCTGGAGAGTGCACTGTTCTGGTTCTTCTGGATCCGTCCGCGGCGTTCGACACCGTCGACCACCAGATCCTCCTGCGAAGACTGAGGGATGGAGGGGGACTGTCGGGGTCAGTGCTTAAATGGTTTTCTTCGTACTTATCTGGACGCAGTTTTAGTGTCGCAGCAAACCAGATATGTTCTGAGTCAGCAGATTTGTTGTGTGGTGTCCCCCAAGGTTCCGTTTTGGGTCCGCTACTTTTCCTGTTGTATTTGACCCCCTTGGGAAAGATTGTCCAGAGATTTCCTGGCATCTCATTCCACATTTTTGCTGATGACATCCAGCTATACTGCTCTTTCAAGCCTACCGAGCTCCAGAGGCTAAACTCCTTGGTCCATTGCTTGGTCGAGATAAAACAATGGCTGAGTGACAACACTTTGCAGCTCAACGCTGACAAAACAGAAACTCTGGTGATTGCCCCTGATGACCACATCCCAGGGATAAACCAGGGCCTAGGTGACTTAGGCCAGTCAGTTAAACTGAGCCTCACAAACTTAGGTGTTATTTTTGATAAGGACATGTCGTTAGTGCAGCACTGTAAACAGCTGACCAAGAACTGCTTTTTTCAGCTGAGGAGAATCTCCAAAGTCAGGAAAATGGTTTCACAGAATGATTTGGAGGTAATCATTCATGCATTTGTGTCTTCGCGTTTAGACTATTGCAATGTTCTGTTTTCATGTTTAAACAAGAAAGAACTGTCTCGCCTACAGTTAGTGCAGAACTCTGCAGCGAGAATCCTGACCCGCACCAGCAGGTGGTCGCACATCACCCCTGTCCTTAAAGCTCTTCATTGGCGGCCAGTGTCCTACAGGATACATTTTAAAATTCTGGTTTTAACCTTCAGAGCTTTGCACGGTCAGGCCCCGTCTTACATCAGTGACCTGATCCAGCCTTACACCCCAACCAGGGCTCTGAGGTCTGTGGATCAGAACCTCCTGATGGTTCCACGCACTCGCTTCAAGACCAGAGGAGACAGGTCCTTCCAGGCTGTTTCTCCCAAGCTTTGGAACGTTCTCCCGCTCTCTCTGCGTTCTATTGAGTCTGTTGAGTGCTTCAAAAGTCAACTTAAAGACCTTATGACGGGTTTTTAAAAAAAAAATAGTGGATATCAAAATTGCATGACAATGTCAATTTGAAAGAGATTCCGGCAAAAAAAATCCTATATTTTATAAAAAGAACGTGTTTTTCATGAATTTAAGTTGTCTATGCTCTAACCTGTGTGTGACGTCATAGCGGGTTACGCCCATGCATTGAAAACCATGGATCTATGCCACAGGACTGCCTTTTCTCTCTTCTCTCCACTGATGCCCAACACAATACTGCCCTCTACAGGTGACAATTGCTCACTACACATAAATTGCCGTTTTGAGTGTGAAAAAGTGTCCGAGGTGGGATTTGACCCAAGTATCTGGATTGATAGTCCATCGACACAACCACTTGACTATCTCAGTGACAACAAAATGTGACATTCTAGTAGTTATCTCAGACTCGCTGTACACGGCCTTGTCATCTTGAATATCCGCGAAAAAAGAACAAATACCAAATTGTAAACAACTTACAGCGTTGAAACGTACCCGTTCTGACGTCACCAAGGGCTGTGAAGTTTTTTCGTTTCTAAGGGCGTTGCTATGGGGTTATTTCGATTTGGGGGGGATCAGACAAAAAAAACAACAACTGATTTTGAAACCTTTAGTAGTTCTCTTCTAATATAAAATGGTATTAAAACTGTATTTCTAAATAAATCAAACCCGTCATAAGGTCTTTAAAACCCATTTATTTGTTCAGGCTTTTGCGTAAGTTTGTCTTGCTGTATTCTTTTACATGGTTGTCTTGGCCTTTAAAAAATTTTATGTCTAATTTATATGTCTGTTTTTATACTATGTGAAGCGCTTTGTGACCCTGGTCTGTGAGGGGCGCTATATAGATAAAGTTTACTTACTTACTTACTTACTTTTTTGAACCGTATGGAGACCTAAAAATGCGGCGGAAAAAATGTATAACTCAGGTTATCTATTTTGGCTCAAAAAAATCTTCAAAAGCCACAATTATTTTTGTCTGTAAATAATGACATGAAAAGGGGTCAGTGTATTTTTCGTTCAATGGTTTTTTTCAAATTAAAATCAAAAATGAAATATATAAAAATGCAGCCTCCGCCTATTTCCTCACATTTTCAGTTTAAGACTTAACTCGCTTGAGGCCAGCCTGCTTTCTGCTGTCTCCAACCAGACGAAAATAACGTTGCACAGCCAACTTCTGGGTCCGTGTACTTTTGCGTTCAATACATTTTCTATTATTGAAGGGAAATGGAAAATTGAAAAAAAGCTATTTTGCATTTTCAAGCACACAGCAATATACAAAAATGACAAATTTTTTTTTTTTCATCGCTTATAAGACATACATATTATAATAACCTTTTTTATTATGTATTTAATACATTTCGGCGTACCTGGAAGTGAAACAAGTTTGTTTACTCGCACTGGATCAGTATTACCTGTGGACCCCTGACAATTTGTGATAATCACGAAGACGTCTGAGATTTTGCAGTGAATTCACATGGGATAAGCAATATCTGTAAAATACTATTTTCACTGACATTTCACATTTACGGCTGCCCGTGCGCAGCTCTCTCCGCTTCACGCAGTTCAGAGAGTAGTGTCCGACCACAGTTAATATATACAGTCTATGGACCACAGCAGCCTTTACTGCTCTACAGTTCTCTGGCCCATATTGTCTGTAATGTTTGACTACTCGTGAACCACATACTCTGCTAAGATAAGTGCGAGCCGACAAATAGTGACGGCTGCAGCAACATGTCTGTTCTGTTTTATGACAGAGTGCAAAGTAAACGTACAAATGCAACCCATCAGTCTGATCATTTAGTGGGTGGCATCTCTGACTGCCACCCCCCCGACCCAGAAATGGATTAAGGGGAAGAGAATGGATGGATGGATGGATGGAATGATTGTTACGGAAACGTAGGCGTAGACCAATCAGAAAGGAAGGGGGAGGGAGCTTGCGTCCAATCTAATCCAATATTATCTTTGATTTCATTCAGTCCGATTCCAGAGAAGCAGGAGTCCAGTCCGGTTCCGACCCTGGTCCCGATCCCAGACCTAGGCTCTCTCCCAGGCTCGTCATCGCTCCCACTCTGTGACCCTGAGAAATTACAGAGGTTTGTTTATTCACTGTCAGATGAGTTCAGAGTTTTGTTATGTTTTGTGTTGTGCTTATCTGAGCTGGGGACTGGTCAAATGTTTATGCATCATAGTTAGCCATTCAGATTTCTGTTATAAGAAAGCTTTAAGTAGGTTCTGACCATCCAAATATTGAATATTTAGTTTGAAATGTGTAATCATTATAGATATGATCCTTGACTTGATGAGTAAATACAACACAGAAATAATACATTTCATTCAATGGAGAAAGGTTTGGTCGTACTTCCATGTCCAGGTTTGACTCATTAGAAAATCTGTGTCTTGTTTCTTTCTGCTTTTAGGATAATGCGGCGGGGGAAGAAGGGAGGGATGAGGCGGAAGACTCCTGCTGATCGACCTGTGGATCAGGAGTCCAGCAACAAATCCAGAGTGAGGAGGGTCCAGACTAAGGCAAAAGCAAGGTGTGAGAAATACACACACACACACACACACATGTGTACAGGCACACACACGCAGTGTTGGGCACGTTACTTTGAAAAAGTAATTAGTTATAGTTACTAGTTTCTTGACGCTCCTTCCCCCCCAGTGAGGTGACGTGGAACGTCACCTCACTGGGGGGGAAGGAGCCCGAGCTCGTGGGGGAGGTTGAGCGATACCGACTAGAGATAGTCGGCCTCACCTCCACACACAGCTTGGGCTCTGGAACCCAACTCCTTGAGAGGGGTTGGACGCTCCACTTTTCTGGAGGGGAGAGGCGGCGAGCTGGGGTGGCCATTCTCATTGCCCCCCATCTCAGCCGCCACGTGTTGGAATTCTCCCCGGTGAATGAGAGGGTCGCGTCCCTCCGCCTCCGGGTGGGGGACAAGTCTCTCACTGTTGTGACGGCCTACGGGCCTAACGGCAGTGTAGAGTACCCGGCCTTCTTGGAGTCCTTGGGAGGGGTACTGGACGGTGCACCGCCCGGGGACTCCGTTATTCTCCTGGGGGACTTCAACGCCCATGTGGGAAACGCCAGTGACACTTGGAGAGGGGTGATCGGGAAGAGCGGCCCCCCTGATCTGAACCCGAGCGGTGTTCAGTTGTTGGACTTCTGTGCCAGTCGCGGTTTGTCCATCACGAACACCATGTTCGAGCACAAGGGTGTCCACCAGTGCACGTGGCACCAGGACACCCTAGGCCGGAGGTCGATGATCGACTTTGTTGTCGTATCATCTGACCTTCGACCGCGTGTCTCGGACACTCGGGTAAAGAGAGGGGCGGAGCTGTCAACCGATCATCACCTGGTCGTGAGTTGGATCCGCTGGCAGGGGAAGAAGCCGGTCAGACCTGGCAGACCCAAGTGTATAGTGAGGGTCTGCTGGGAACGTCTCGCTGAGCCCCCTGTCAGACGGACTTTCAACTCAAACCTCCGGGAGAGTTTCTCCCAGGTCCCGGCGGAGGAGGGGGACATGGAGTCCGAGTGGACCATGTTCTCTGCCTCAATCGCCGATGCGGCGGCTCGTAGCTGTGGTCGCAAGGTCTCTGGTGCTGGTCCCGGCGGCAACCCCCGAACCCGGTGGTGGACACCGGCAGTAAGGGATGCTGTCAGGCTGAAGAAGGAGTCCTATCGAGCCATGATGGTTCGGGGGACTCCTGAGGCAGCTGTCCAGTACCGGCAAGCCAAGCGTGCCGCGGCCCGGGCTGTTGCAGAGGCAAAAACCCGGGACTGGGAGGAGTTCGGAGAGTCCATCAATCACTCAATCAATCAACGTTTATTTATAGAGCGCCTTTCCTACACAAGGCAACGCAAAGCGCCATGGAGTCCATGGAGCATGACTATCGGTCGGCCTCGAAGAGATTCTGGCAAACCATCCGACGCCTCAGGAGGGGGAAGCAGTTCTTTGCCAGCACCATGTACGGTGCGTGTGGAGAGCTGCTGACCTCGACTGGGGATATTGTCGGGCGGTGGAAGGAATACTTTGAGGTTCTCCTCAATCCCCCCGTCACGTCCTCCGTTACAGAGGCAGAGGCTGAGGATGTTGGGGCGGGTACATCCATCTCCCTGGCTGAGGTCACCAAGGTGGTTGGTAGCCTCCATGGTGGCAAGGCTCCGGGTGTGGATGAGATCCGCCCTGACTATCTAAAGTCTCTGGATGTTGTAGGACTGTCTTGGCTGACACGTCTCTGCAACATCGCGTGGCGATCGGGGGCAGTGCCAATGGAGTGGCAGACCGGGGTGGTGGTCCCTCTCTACAAGAAGGGGGACCGGAGGGTGTGTTCCAATTATCGTGGGATCACACTCCTCAGCCTCCCCGGTAAGGTCTACTCCAAGGTACTGGAGAGGAGGTTACGGCCGATGGTCGAATCTCGGATCCAGGAGGAGCAGTGTGATTTTCGTCCCGGTCGCGGAACACTGGACCAGCTCTATACTCTCCATCGGATACTCGAGGGTTCATGGGAGTTCGCCCAACCTGTCCACATGTGCTTTGTGGATTTGGAGAAGGCGTTCGACTGTGTTCCCCGGGGTGTCCTTTGGGGGGTTCTCCGGGAGTACGGGGTCGGAGGTCCTCTGCAGAGGGCCATCCGATCCCTGTATGACCGGAGCCAGAGCTGTGTTCGCATTGCCGGCAGTAAGTCAGACCTGTTCCCGGTGAATGTTGGCCTCCGACAGGGCTGCCCTTTGTCACCGGTTCTGTTCACTGTATTTATGGACAGAATATCTAGGCGCAGCCAGGGGTCGGAGGGGGTCCGGTTCGGAGACCACAGGATTTCATCTCTGCTGTTTGCGGACGATGTTGTCCTGTTGGCTCCAACGAACCAGGACCTGCAGCATGCACTGGGGCGGTTTGCAGCCGAGTGTGAAGCGGCTGGGATGAGAATCAGCACCTCCAAATCCGAGGCCATGGTGCTCGACCGGAAAAAGGTGCCTTGCCCTCTGCAGGTGGGTGGAGAGGTCCTTCCTCAAGTGGAGGAGTTCAAGTATCTCGGGGTCTTGTTCACGAGTGAGGGAAGAATGGAGCGTGAGATTGACAGGCGGATCGGTGCAGAGTGCGCAGTTATGCGGTCGCTGTATCGGACCGTTGTGGTGAAGAGGGAGCTGAGCCGAAAGGCAAAGCTCTCAATTTACCGGTCAATCTTCGTTCCCTCCCTCACCTATGGTTATGAGCTTTGGGTAATGACCGAAAGAACGAGATCGCGGATACAAGCGGTCGAAATGAGCTTCCTCCGCAGAGTGGCTGGGCGCTTCCTTAGAGATAGGGTGAGGAGCTCAGTCACACGGGAGGAGCTCGGAGTAGAGCCGCTGCTTCTCCACGTCAAGAGGAACCAGTTGAGGTGGCTCGGGCATCTGTTCCGGATGCCTCCTGGACGCCTCCCTGGGGAGGTGTTCCGGGCACGTCCCACCGGGAGGAGGCCCCGCGGAAGACCTAGGACACGCTGGAGGGACTATGTCTCTCAGCTGGCCTGGGAACGCCTTGGGGTCCCCCCGGATGAGCTGGAGGAAGTGTGTGTGGATAGGGAAGTCTGGTCGTCTCTGCTTAGACTGCTGCCCCCGCGACCCGGCAACGGATAAAGCGGAAGAAAATGGATGGATGGATGGATGGATGGATACGTGAACAATGCATCGATTAATTCAACCATTCACGGGGAAGGATGTGGATAAGTATTTTTGTTTTGTCTCCGAGCGTGTGGCGAGTACTTTGAGCGGCCTGAAGAGTGTCTGGCCGCTGTGCTGCAGTGTGGTTGTTCACGGGAGGGCGCAAGATGCGTATGCCTCGCTGTACCGGGGATAGTTTGCAGAATAGCAAGGTAAAAGTGGCAGACGGAAGGGCGTATGAGCTGGTACCGGAGGCGTACTGGCAAAGTTTCGCCGCTTCAAAAAGTTAGACACTCATAACCATACGTTAGACTTTGGGCGTGAGAAGTTCTCATTGTTTGAGGAGGTGGCTGCGCTGCACAAAACGTTAGTACGGTGGACCAGTTACAAGAGTTGATTTTGATGGAAGAGTTCAGAAACTGATGTTCCGGAGAAAATTGCTGGTTTATCTCATGATCGAACAGAGGGGTGGGGAATGTATACAGAGGGCCGCTGTGTTAGCGGCTCTGTCAGGGCACAGAAGAGAGAGTGCCGGAGAGCCGAGCGGAAGTGGCGAAAGTCAAATCTCCAAGTTGACCATGAGATCTTCAAAGATGCATTGTGCAAGTTCAACAGTGTGCTACGTAGAACGAGGGAAACTTATTTTTCCGAAACAATCGAAGGTTGTAGTGGCAATCTACGCGTTCTGTTCTCAACGGTAAATAAATTGACAAATCCCCCTGTTAAGATGCCATCAGAGCTTACCTCCAAAACCAAATGTAATGAGTTTGCAGAGTTTTTTAATGACAAAGTCCAAGGCATCAAAAATGCCATCACCTCCACAGTAGAAATTACAATCCAACAGCCAGTGAAGCTTTTTGGGCTGACACACTTTACACCAGTACAAAATGAAACTGTCCAAATGATAATTACAAGTCTGAGTTCTTCTACATGTAGCCTGGATGTATTACCTCCTAGTATTTCTTAAATCTGTTCTGAGCAGTCTTTTACCTTCACTCACGCATATAGTAAATATGTCTCTTGAATCTGGAACATTCCCAATGGCCCTGAAAACGGCAGTCATCAGACCCCTCCTAAAAAAGAGGAGTCTGGATGCCTTGGCACTTAAAAGTTATCGGCCCATTTCAAATCTGCCTTTCATGGGTAAAATTCTAGAAAAAGTTGTCTATCACCAACTTACAGAATTTTTAATAATCAATCACTCTTTTGATATGTTCCAGTCTGGTTTTAGACCCCACCACAGCACAGAGACCGCTCTAGTGAAGGTAACAAATGACATCAGACTTAACACTGACGCAGGAAAAGTCTCAGTTCTTATCCTGTTAGATTTGAGTGCTGCTTTCGACACTGTCGATCATGGTATCCTCATTCAGAGACTTGAGGACTGGGTTGGTGTTTCTGGAACAGCCCTAAGCTGGTTTATATCCTACCTACAGGACAGAAAGTATTTTGTGGAGATCGGAAACTGTGTCTCAGACCATCTGGCCCTGACCTGCGGAGTGCCACAGGGCTCAATCCTGGGGCCTCTCCTGTTTAATATTTACATGCTGCCTCTGGGTAGGTTAATACACAGTAATAACGTGTCCTATCACAATTACGCTGACGATACTCAGGTCTATGTGTCCCTGACAGCAGGAGAACATGGACCAGTGGACTCGCTCCTTCACTGTATCCAACAGATCAGTGATTGGATGCAAAATAACTTTCTCCAGCTAAACACAGAAAAAACTGAAATGATTGTTTTCGGACCTCAGAAACAAAGAGAGAGCGTTATCTGCCACCTCCAGTCTCTCTCCCTGAAACCCTCAACTCAGGTCAGAAATCTAGGAGTAATAATGGACTCAGACTTGAATTTCAATAGCCACATATCATCTGTGACATCATCAGCTTACTTCCACCTAAGAAACATTGCTAAAATTAAAAACATTGTGTCTAAAGCAGACTTGGAGATTCTTATCCACGCATTTGTCTCCAGTCGATTGGACTACTGCAATGGCTTGTTCACAGGTCTCTCTAAACAAGCGGTAAAACAGCTGCAGTACATCCAAAATGCTGCAGCTCGAGTCCTGACTAGAACCAGGAAGTACGACCACATTAGTCCGGTCCTCAGGTCTCTGCACTGGCTTCCTGTGGCTCAGAGAATAGATTTTAAAGTAGCTTTACTTGTGTACAAGTCTCTCCATGGCCTCGCACCAGGGTACATCCGCGACATGTTGGTGCCATATGAACCAACTCGGGCTCTGAGGAGCACAGGGACTGGACTTCTGTTAGTGCCAAGAGTCGGAACTAGACATGGGGAGGCTGCGTTTCAGATTCATGCAGCTAGAGTCTGGAACCGTCTTCCCGAGAGTGTGAGACAGGCGTCTACTCTAGCAGTTTTTAAAACTGAACTGAAAACAGTTCTTTTTAGCTGTGCATACAAGTGAATGATTTTACATTTGTTTTTATCTTTAATCTTTTTAATGCGCTATGATTATTTATGATTATTTATGATTGTAATCCCTTGTGTGATTTTAATTTTTTACGGTTTTTAACTACTTGTGTGATTTTATATATCTTGTGCTCTTAATCTGTCTTTTTATGTTTACTTAAATTCTAATGTTTGATGATTTATGCATGATGTTATATGGGTTGTGAGGCGCTTTGCGTTGCCTTGTGTAGGAAAGGCGCTCTATAAATAAACGTTGATTGATTGATTGATCTCCTCCTCGGCCGTTTCACCGATTCGCCTCAAAATCGCTCCACATCATCTCAACACATGTACCTTCAAAAGGACCAAAGGGAGTTTTGATCAGTTAAACGTTGTTTGAGCAGCGGAGCCGCAAAATGTGACCTTTTTTTTTTGACGATAGAAAAATTGCTCCCATTTGCACATACAAAGTCTGATTCGCACAAAACCTTAATACTCAGCTTTAGGGTCTAGGTCATTTCAAAGTAAAATGATTTAAATTGATACATTAGCGCCCCCTACAGACTATTTCAAAGTTTTATATGGGAATTTTGAGATTTAGTTTTTTCAAATTGTTTGAAATTTTGCAAATACATCTGTTTTGCCCTCTTGATTCAAAAAGTCAATAGGGCCCAAGGCTTATTTTTTACCCTGTTGCCGTGGCACACCTCGCACAAACATCAAACCAGACTCGGCCACTTCACAGATTTGGCCGAAAATCGCTCCACATCATCTCAACAGATGTACCATCAAAATGACTTCAGGGAATTTTGATCAGTGAAACGTTGTTTGAGCAGCGGAGCGGCAACATTTTACCTTTTTTCCCCATTTTGACGATAGAAACATAGCTCCCTTTTGCACAAACCAAGTCCGAATTGCACCAAATTTGAATTGGTCGTTCAACTTTTGGGTTTGGGTAAACTGAAAGTGTAAAACATTAAATTGCAGAATTAGCGCCCCTTACAGACTGAGTCAAGTTTTACATAAGTGAGAATGGCATTTACTAACTCTAATTTGCACAAAACTTGACTCGGTTGTTCTACTCCTGGGCCTAGGTGAAATATTACATTGGCTCTTTAGCGCCCCCTACATACTGAGCCAAAGCTTTACATAGGGAGCCAAACCAACGGATCATATTCATTAAAATTTCACGAACATTGTTCTAAGGCTATGGGAGCAAATTATGGTGTGGCGGCGCCACCTCTGTCGCGCTGTGCGGGGTGTCGCGCGGTGCGACAGAGGTGGCGCCGCCACACCCTAATTTGCTCCCATATAAATTACTGCTGCTTCAGTTTGATCTCAATCTAATCAAATATTGCCTTTGTTTTCATTCAGTCTGACTCCCGAGAGGCAGGATTCCAGTCCAATCTCAGACCTAGACTCGCCAAGCCCGTCGTCGCTTCATGAGAGATCACAGAGGTTTGTTTCTTTACTGTCAGTTGATGTAAAAGTCTTAAATTTATGTTGTGCTTAACTGAGCTGAGGGACGGCTATGTTTAGTCGTTAGTCATTCAGATTCATGTGATAAGAAAGGGTTTCCATTATATTGATTTTTCTTGAAATGGTATGATCTTTGACTTCTGTGAATACGAGAGGATTTATTTCAGGTGTCCATTTAGTATAAATTCACTTCAGCTCAATGTGTCTGTTTTATATTTGTCTTTAGGTGGGAGTGGCTGATGAATAGGTTTCAGTCTGTCCCCGGTGAGCGGCAGGACTCCTGCAGCTGGAAGACCAGCAGTGAGGAGGAAACCAGGTATGACTCGTACTTGTTATAGTTTTTAATTAGTTTGCTAAGTCTCTACTCAACACTTTTTACTGCCTGAATTCACACACAAGCTGAATCGATGAGTAAGTAATCTTTATATATATACCGCCTTTCACTGCAGACCAGAGTATTAAAGCGGTTGACAGTTGTCTTTTTTGAGGGGGGGGGGGCAGTATAGGAGGCACATGCCAGACCTATTGTGCATGTTTTTAGTGGTAGGGGTAACCGGAGTACCTGGAGGAAACCTACGCAGACACGGGGAGAACATGCAAACTCCACTCAGGAAGGCCCTGGTCCAACCAGGATTCGAACCCAGGATGTTCTTGCTGAGAGGCGAAAGTGCTATCCACTCAGCCACCGTGCCGATGAGCTCAAATTTTCAATTAAATTACGTATTATAATACAACTTGTATGTGGTGAAAAGCATTTTTATGAACTCATTAGAAAATAAATCGGGTATAGCATCTTTAATTTTAGTCCCAGTATTGACCCTTGCTGTACTCCACAAGTTATGTCTCACCTTGTGGGGTACGGGAATTGTGTTGGTCAGTCTGCCCTCTGTTGTGGCTCAAATAAATAATTCTCTAACTATGTCTTTTCAAGTCATATGCCATATACCATAACCATACATTTTGATTAGTTTATGTATTAACCTTTATTTATCAAGTCCCACTGAGATTTCAGAATCTCTCTTTCCCTCTCTCTTACAGGGACAATTTGACATGTTTTTAACCAGTGTTAATTCAGTGAATAAATCAATGTTAAAGTTTGTTTGCAGTTCCATGTCATGAGAAAATAATTGCTTTTGTTTCTTTCTGCCTTTAGGAATATGATGAGGAGGAGGGCGAGTCTGTTAAAAAAATATTTGGAGCGGAAGAATGAAGCAAGGTGTGAGAAATACACACACACACACACACACACACATGTGTACAGGCACACACACGCAGTGTTGGGCACGTTACTTTGAAAAAGTAATTAGTTATAGTTACTAGTTTCTTCCCCCAAAAAGTAACGGAGTTACTCCACTAAAAGTCACTAGTTACCAGTAAAAGTAACTATTGCGTTTCTTTTTCGTTTTGTTCTGGAACATAATGTGCACTCGACGTGCACATTTTTACCTTTAACCTCAGTGAGATTGAAATAGTTCCAATATTTCCATCTGGAAATGGCTGTTTTGCTGCTTAAGTCCTGTTCACTCTCCATCTCTCTCTGTGCTGTAAGCACTAAACACCAACACCCGCCACTGTGAATGTGGAAACACCGGTGAAGCACTGACTTCAGCCCAATCAGATGAACATATATATCATATAAATCAACTGGACCAAGAGAGTGGCATATTCACAGTTTGTTTAGCTACAGCAGAATATGTTTCATGCCCGCATTGTTTGTTATTACAAAACGCAAAACTATGAGTTATGGGTCTTACCTTATAAATGACCTGCACAGGCCACTTCGGTTCAGACCAGTTCCGTGTTTAAGTCCAGATAATAGTTTGAGCGTAGATATGTAATCCTCCATTTGGAAATGAGTCCAATGAGTATTAAAAAGCAAAACAAAACGCGTGTGTCCTCCATAAACTCCTCTGTTTTGCTAGCTGCAGCCGGGTGCATCCAATTTCTAAAATTAACCTTCTTACACTTCACCTCTCTTTCTTATCATTCCTATAGTCATTGAAAAATTACCCTAAGTGCATTTTAAATTATCTTAAAATGTGTTACATGTATGTTAGCCAAACCTGATGCAGCCCTTAGCAGATAAACCAGGAAGAGAAAGGAGCTTTTCGATGGAATTGTATGCAGCCGACTTCTGCACTCACATGCGCTCCTCTGAGGCCTCACGGTGATACAAGCCGTGGTTTAGCGCGACTAATACCATATTTGTTTCAAAAACACAATTTATGAGCCATCCTCTCAACTGCAGACATGTAGATTGTTAAGGAAATATGTTTTACATCAGCCAATAAAAACCTGAGAGGTTTTCTCATCCTCCCTTCTCTCATGACAACACGCGCACGAGTCCTATCACAAAGTAAAAAGAGAGGTTCATTGTGCGACTTGAGTAACGCGCAGTAACGGGATGTCGGAAATGACAACGGTGTTATAGTTCCAGTCAAAGTAATTAATTAAATTACTCGTTACTGAAAAAAGACGCCGTTATTCCCATCACTGCACACGCGCGCACACTTACACATGTGTACATGCACACACACACACGCACACAAACACACACACGTGTACACGCACACACACCCACGTGTACACGCACACAGGTTTGAAGATAAAAGCTACACACCTTTATTGAGATAATTGATTAGAGGCTATGTAATGAATTATTCAAAATGAATTGCATTTAATTACATATTATTTGGTCTCTGAACAGTAAGAAGTATTTTTTTTCAATGACTCTAAAGAGACGCATAAGCAACTAAATCTTATATTTTCGTCCAGCCGAGTCTAACAGACCAGTGCAACTTTCTCCAATAAGTGTAGCATTAGCATATTTAGAAATATAATATATTTTGCAGGCTCTTATCTTCCACCAGTAGAAGTGTTCTACAGTCGAGTGCAATCCAGTGAGCCTGGCCACTGGTTATTTGTTCAGACATGGGCTTAGTTCCTCTGGTCCTTAAAGCAGTCACCTGGTGGAGTGTGGCTTGGATGTGGGTCTTTGCACTGAGGCTAACGTTCATGCTAGCTGCTCTATGTTTAGCATCGAGGTGATACTCGATGTGCTGTGGTTATATGCAAACACTACCATACTTATATCGACGCTTCCATCCGTTCAATCTAACATTTCCCATTGGTCCGCTGAAACTCATCCCATGCAGAAAGGTTCCGCCGTGCAAACTGTTGCATGTTGTTTATGTGTAATTAATTCCTCCAATGAATGCGTTAAAGTCCCGACACTAATTATATCTCTTCTATTCAATGTGTGTTTCTCATGTCGTCAGGAGGAAGAAGCTGGTGAAGAAGACTCCGCATGTGCCGTGTGTGAAGCAGGACTCCAACAGCAATACAAGCGGCTGTGAGCAGGAAACAAGGTATATGACTCTTTAATGTTTTATTTAAAATACTTGTGCTTAAGTTTGAACACAATCTAATCCAATATTATCTTTGGTTTCATTCAGTCCGATTCCCGAGAAGCAGGAGTCCAGTCCGGCCCCGATCCCAGACCTAGACTGTCTCCCAGGCTCGTCATCGCTCCCACTCTGTGACCCTGAGAAATTACAGAGGTTTGTTTATTCACTGTCAGATGAGTTCAGAGTTTTGTTATGTTTTGTGTTGTGCTTATCTGAGCTGGGGACTGGTCAAATGTTTATGCATCATAGTTAGCCATTCAGATTTCTGTTATAAGAAAGCTTTAAGTAGGTTCTGACCATCCAAATATTGAATATTTAGTTTGAAATGTGTAATCATTATAGATATGATCCTTGACTTGATGAGTAAATACAACACAGAAATAATACATTTCATTCAATGGAGAAAGGTTTGGTCATACTTCCACGTCCAGGTTTGACTCATTAGAAAATCTGTGTCTTGTTTCTTTCTGCTTTTAGGATAATGCGGCGGGGGAAGAAGGGAGGGATGAGGCGGAAGACTCCTGCTGATCGACCTATGGATCAGGAGTCCAGCAACAAATCCAGAGTGAGGAGGGTCCAGACTAAGGCAAAAGCAAGGTGTGAGAAATACACACACACACACACACACACACATGTGTACAGGCACACACACGCAGTGTTGGGCACGTTACTTTGAAAAAGTAATTAGTTATAGTTACTAGTTTCTTCCCCCAAAAAGTAACGGAGTTACTCCACTAAAAGTCACTAGTTACCAGTAAAAGTAACTATTGCGTTTCTTTTTTGTTTTGTTCTGGAACATAATGTGCACTCGACGTGCACATTTTTACCTTTAACCTCAGTGAGATTGAAATAGTTCCAATATTTCCATCTGGAAATGGCTGTTTTGCTGCTTAAGTCCTGTTCACTCTCCATCTCTCTCTGTGCTGTAAGCACTAAACACCAACACCCGCCACTGTGAATGTGGAAACACCGGTGAAGCACTGACTTCAGCCCAATCAGATGAACATATATATCATATAAATCAACTGGACCAAGAGAGTGGCATATTCACAGTTTGTTTGGCTACAGCAGAATATGTTTCATGCCCGCATTGTTTGTTCATACAAAACGCAAAACTATGAGTTATGGGTCTTACCTTATAAATAACCTGCACAGGCCACTTCGGTTCAGACCAGTTCCGTGTTTAAGTCCAGATAATAGTTTGAGCGTAGATATGTAATCCTCCATTTGGAAATGAGTCCAATGAGTATTAAAAAGCAAAACAAAACGCGTGTGTCCTCCATAAACTCCTCTGTTTTGCTAGCTGCAGCCGGGTGCATCCAATTTCTAAAATTAACCTTCTTCCACTTCACCTCTCTTTCTTATCATTCCTATAGTCATTGAAAAATTACCCTAAGTGCATTTTAAATTATCTTAAAATGTGTTACATGTATGTTAGCCAAACCTGATGCAGCCCTTAGCAGATAAACCAGGAAGAGAAAGGAGCTTTTCGATGGAATTGTATGCAGCCGACTTCTGCACTCACATGCGCTCCTCTGAGGCCTCACGGTGATACAAGCCGTGGTTTAGCGCGACTAAGACCCATATTTGTTTCAAAAACACAATTTATTAGCCATCCTCTCAACTGCAGACATGTAGATTGTTAAGGAAATATGTTTTACATCAGCCAATAAAAACCTGAGAGGTTTTCTCATCCTCCCTTCTCTCATGACAACACGCGCACGAGTCCTATCACAAAGTAAAAAGAGAGGTTCATTGTGCGACTTGAGTAACGCGCAGTAACGGGATGTCGGAAATGATAACGGTGTTATAGTTCCAGTCAAAGTAATTAATTAAATTACTCGTTACTGAAAAAAGACGCCGTTATTCCCATCACTGCACACGCGCGCACACACACACACTTACACATGTGTACATGCGCACACACACACGCACACAAACACACACACGTGTACACGCACACACACCCACGTGTACACGCACACAGGTTTGAAGATAAAAGCTACACACCTTTATTGAGATAATTGATTAGAGGCTGTGTAATGAATTATTCAAAATGAATTGCATTTAATTACATATTATTTGGTCTCTGAACAGTAAGAAGTATTTTTTTTCAATGACTCTAAAGCAGGGGTGCTCAATACGTCGATCGCGATCTACCAGTCGATCGCAAAGGTAGTATTGGTAGATCGCATTAAATAAATAAAAAATTACACATTCTAAACGAATATATACAAAAAACTCCGGGCAAAGTGGAGATTTTTGAAAACTCCGTTAATGCATTTGTGTTGTGACGGCCCCCTCTGCTGGGCCTGTGGTGGCAGTGTTCATATGACGTTCAGAGATGATGGGAGGCAGCTGGGAAGTCATGTGACCTCCCGGATGCTTAAAAAAGCGGCTTCCCCTCACTCTCTCTCTCTCGCCTGGCTTCTGGGCACCTGCCGGCGTGCCCGGACTGCCGCTACCATTCTGGGCCCTGTTGGACCAGCCGCCACGCCAGTTTGTCTTTTCATTTACACGCGCTACAACACAATATATGCACTACAACGGTTGTCCTACTGACTTTCAGATACAACACCTTGCACCCCACAGCATACCATTCACTTACACTGATTTCATACAGATTACTTTATTATTGTTTAAATAAATGCCCCACAGAGGGTTTAAACTTCTCAGTTTGTCGTGTCCTCCCTCTCATGTTATGGTCTCACGAGCCGGGCCGTAACAAATGGGGGCTTCGTCCTAAACATATTTGGAAGTCATTCAGTGGTGTTTTGGAATCTCCCCTAGACGTGGTAGTGTGTGTGGATTCGGAGTTTGTACGCGCGCGCTGTGCGTGAGTGGATCCATTGACCTACTTTCTGTGAATCTGTGAATGGACGTGACGTCACCGCTGCTGAGGAGGCGAGTGTACGTGCAGTAAAGTTGTGGTGAGGACACGGCTTCGCGTGGAAGTTATTGGTTCATTCAAGACTACAGGTGAGTGAAGTGTTTTCTGTCTTGTGTCGCACGCAAATGGCTTCTGTCTACAGCTGGGTCTCCTGTTAGGCGAAGTGGTGTTGCCGCTTCAGGCTTCACCTGTTTTGTTTTTGTGTTAATAGTGTCGTGGGAACGCGGTTGGTGTTCAATGCGCGAGCATTGATCTCGGGGGCACTCCGTGGAACTGTTTGCTCCACTGGTTTCGTGCTTAATATTCCCGCTGCTGAACCACGTGAAGAGCTAGGCACAGTTAGGCAGGTGAGTTTTGGGATAGGTAGGCAAAGTATAGAGGGGATTCTGGTTGTGTGAGCCTGTTGCTGCGCACTAGTTGTGACACTTCCACTCGCAGTGTAGTAGTCTGGTTTGTTTGTTTGTTTATGGCTAACGCGTGTGTGTAGTTTGGTATGAGTATGGAGTCTGTGGTAGAGGATTTTGTGGCTGATCCCACTGTGGGGAGGCTTGATGAGTGTAGTAAGTCTGATTTGTTGGCGATCGCGGCGCACTATGAAATTTCCGTGTCAAAGCAGGAGGTGAAGAAAGTGCTTAAAACGCAGGTTCAGTCAGCGTTGGTGGCGCAGGGCATTTTCTCTCCAGTGGTTGTGTCTGATGCGGAGATGCGGAGAATGGCGATGCAGCTGGAAATGCGAAAGTTAGAACTTCAAGAAAAAGAAATACAGGACAGAGAGCGGGAAAGAGAGCTTAGGTTTCGGGAAAGAGAGAGCCAACAGCAACATGAGTTTGAGCTGCGTAAATTGGAGCTGGAGGCGAGTTTCAGACAGGCGTCTACTCGTTTGTCTATCAGCCAGAGCAGTAGTTCCCAAGCAGAATTTGACGTGAACAAATGCATCAGATTAATTCCACCATTCACGGGGAAGGATGTGGATAAGTATTTTGTTTTGTTCGAGCGTGTGGCGAGTACTTTGAGCTGGCCTGAGAGTGTCTGGCCGCTGCTGCTGCAGTGTGTGTTCACGGGGAGGGCGCAAGAAGCGTATGCCTCGCTGTCACCGGAGGATAGTTTGCAGTATAGCAAGGTAAAAGTGGCAGTCGAAAGGGCGTATGAGCTGGTACCGGAGGCGTACAGGCAAAAGTTTCGCCGCTACAAAAAGTTAGACACTCAAACCTACGTAGACTTTGGGCGTGAGAAGATCTCATTGTTTGAGAGGTGGTGCGCTGCACAAAACGTTAGTACGGTGGACCAGTTAAAAGATTTGATTTTGATGGAAGAGTTCAGAAACTGTGTTCCGGAGAAAATTGCTGTTTATCTCAACGAACAGAGGGTTGGGAAAGTAACAGAGGCCGCAGTGTTAGCGGACGAGTATGTGCTGACCCATAGAGACTATGCGCAGACTGTGGGCTCGAGGAACGTTAAAGTATGGCGTGAGGAGGGCTCTGCTAGACCAGATGTGTCAAAGGTTAGTGCTAAAGGCTCGACCACAGGTGATTGGGACCGTGTTTGTCACTTCTGTCAGAAGCGTGGACACATTAAGGCGAATTGTTATGCGCTGAAGAATAAGTCTGGGGGGTCCCACTCTGGGGGGTCCCACTCTGATCCTAAGGGCGCGGGGTTAGCGGTACCGGTGCGTAATGGGTGTAAAGAGCGTAATGAGCATGAGGTGGAGCGTGTTGAGTCTGAAGCTTGTATCTCGTACCTTCCGTTCATCCGTGAGGGCTATGTGTCGTTGCTGGGCAGTGACAAGAAAGTGCGGGTAAAGATATTGAGAGATACGGGGGCTTTTGATTCTTTTATTCGTGCCGATGTTTTGCCATTGTCCAGTGAGTCTGAGACTGGGGCATGTGTGCCAGTTCGGGGCATGGGATTGAACATCCTGTTTGTTCCATTGCACAAAGTGTCTCTGGAATGTGAGCTCTTTTCTGGAGAAGTGGCGTTGGCTGTACGACCTGCATTGCCGATAGCGGGGGTTTCTGTCATTTTGGGTAACAGTTTGGCGGGGTCTCGGTTGTGGGACGCTGCTCCGTCACTTGTGCCCATGGAGGCGGATTCCGGGCCACTGGTTGTTCCCCACACCGATGGAGATAGTGCGGAGTTTCCGGAGGTGTTCACAGCGTGTGCCGTGACTCGGGCCATGGCGCGGGCGCAGTCTGGGGAAGAGGGAGGTGTGAAAAACATTATCTTTCCCTTGTCTGATTTTCCTGTGGTTTTGACTCATAGGGAGCTGGGGCTGGAGCAGCAGGCTGATGTGTCCCTAAAGAGCCTGTTCGAGCAGGTGCGCCCTACAGGTGAAGCGGTGGACAGTGCGTGTGGGTACTTCCTTCAGGAGTCACTGTTGGTGAGGAAATGGTGGTCACACGTTGGCCCAGCCAGTGATCCTGTTTTTCAAATTGTTGTGCCCAGTAAATTTCGCTCTGCTGTGTTAAAGGTGGCCCATGACGAGTCTGGACACTCTGGCGTGACTAAGACTTACGACCGGGTCCTGAGACATTTTTTTTGGCCTCGTCTTAAGAAGGACGTTTCAGCATATATTAAGACATGTCATGTGTGTCAGCTTACAGCCAAGCCCAACCAGGTGTTTAAGCCATTCCCATTAAGTCCAATTGGGGTGACATCTCAGCCATTTGAGCACTTGGTTATAGATTGTGTGGGCCCATTACCACGCTCTAGGGCTGGTTCGTGTTATTTGTTGACTGTAATGTGTCAGCTGACGCGGTATCCTGCTGCCTATCCGCTGAAAACAATCACTGCCAGGGCAGTGGTGCGTGCCCTAACACAGTTTATTTCTGTGTTTGGCATTCCCAAAGTTATCCAATCCGACCAGGGCACTAACTTCTCGTCTCATCTTTTTGCCCAGGTTCTAAAGCAGCTTCGGGTGCGACATAGGATGTCTACAGCATACCATCCTGAAAGCCAGGGGGCTTTAGAGCGGTTCCATCAGTCTCTAAAGTCTCTACTGCGTGCCTATTGTACAGAGCTGGGAGGAGACTGGGAGGAAGGATTGCCGTGGTTGATGTTGGGGGCCCGTGAGGTTACCCAGGAGAGCACTGGGTTTAGCCCTAATGAACTTGTGTTTGCGCATACAGTTAAAGGTCCCCTTGCAGCAGTGGCAGGCGATTTCAGGGAGCCTGAACCGCCAAAGAAACTTGTGGACTATGTGAATGGGTTTAGGAGGCGCTTGTATGCAGCGAGAGCATTGGTGCAGGAGAAAATGGCTGCTACACAGGGGAAAATGAAAGCACTGTTTGACCGGCACTCAGAGGTGCGTTCATTTTTGACGGGGGATCAGGTGTTAGCCCTGTGTCCAATGTTAACCTCTCCTTTTCAAGCAAAGTTCACAGGTCCTTATACGGTACTGGAGCGAAAGTCTGACCAGAACTACGTACTCTCCATGCCTGAGCGCAGGAAGAAGACTCAACTGTGCCACGTGAATCTGTTGAAGCCATACTATACCCGTGAGGCTGATGTGGAGCAGCTGGGGGGTGGCGAGGCTAAGGCAGCGTGCGCAGTTGATAGGTTTGTTGGGGTGACTGAGTTCAGCACCACGGACAGCTCCCTGTCACCTGGTGTGAGAGATGACGGGGCCGCTGGTACTCTGGTCAGCGCTCTTGTTCAGGGGCGTCTTAAAAACTCGGAAACTTTGAGGAACTTGGACTCTCTGTTTGCTCATCTGTCGAGGGACCGGGCAAAACAGTTAGTGCAGTTGGTGCATCAGTTTCCTGCTTTGTTTTCGGACACACCGGGTCGCACACATCTACTCGAGCACGATGTAGATGTGGGTGACTCCAAGCCTATAAAGCAGCGTTTTTATAGGGTTAATTTTGAGAAGCGTCAATACTTGGATGCAGAGGTAAAGTACATGGTTGAAAATGGGATTGCAGAACATAGTTGTTCAAGCTGGGCGTCCCCATGTATTCTTGTGCCCAAATCTGACAACTCTATGCGATTTTGTTCCGATTTTCGCAAGTTGAACGCGGTTACTAAACCAGACTGTTTCCCATTGCCGAGAATGGACGACTGCGTGGATCAAGTTGGTTCCGCTCGGTTTGTCAGCAAATTCGACCTTTTAAAGGGATACTGGCAGGTGCCGTTAACTCGACGAGCCCGTGAAGTCTCCGCGTTCATTACACCAACAGGCTTGTACTCCTATACAGTCATGCCATTTGGTCTACGAAATGCACCCGCAACATTTCAACGACTCATGAACAGCGTCATAGGAGATATGCCGGGTTGTGCGGTGTATTTAGACGACGTTGTTGTGTATTCGGACTCGTGGGAGGAGCATTTGGCACGCATTGAGGAGCTTTTCACTCGTTTGGTAGGGGCGAGGCTAACAGTAAACCTTGCAAAGTGTGAGTTTGCGAAGGCTACTGTTACTTATCTGGGACGTGTCGTGGGTCAGGGCCAGGTCCGACCCGTTGCAGCTAAAGTTGAAGCCGTTGAGCAGTTCCCTGTTCCGGTCACAAAAAAGGAGCTAATGCGATTTTTGGGACTCGTTGGGTACTACAGGTGTTTTTGTAAAGATTTTTCATCGGTTGTCTCACCATTAACAAACTTACTGCGTAAAGATATTACATTTGTGTGGTCTCCAGTCTGTCAGCAGGCATTCGAGCAGGTGAAAAGACTCCTCTGTGCTGCTCCCGTGCTGGCCGCGCCTTGTCTGACCCAACCATTTCATCTCTACGTGGACGCAAGCCACGTGGGCGCTGGGGCTGTCCTTACGCAAGTAGATAACCTTGGTATCGACAGGCCGGTCAGTTATTTCTCTAGGAAGTTCAACAAACATCAGCTGAATTATTCAGTGATTGAGAAGGAGACCTATGCGTTAATTCTAGCGTTGCAACACTTTGACGTCTACTTGAATGGCAGCGTTGAGACAGTGGTCCACACCGACCATAATCCGCTCACGTTTTTGTCAACTTTTAAGTGTCCAAACCAGCGGTTAATCCGTTGGTCACTGTTTTTACAATCATATAACTTGGACATCCGCTACATCAAAGGATCCGATAACGTGGTAGCTGACGCTTTGTCGCGCGCTCCGTTGTGATAGTGTTGCCATTGTATGTTCCTCTCTTCTTTCTCGCTCTCCTTGTATCCAGGTTTCTGTGTGCACCAGTTGCTGGACGGAGGAGTGGACCGGGGCGGAGGAGTTGGAGGACGCGCTGGTGGCCGTTCTTTCTTTTGGCGCCTCGTTGCAGGGTTCCTTTTGGGGAACCTGCATTTTAAGGGCGGGGGTGTGACGGCCCCCTCTGCTGGGCCTGTGGTGGCAGTGTTCATATGACGTTCAGAGATGATGGGAGGCAGCTGGGAAGTCATGTGACCTCCCGGATGCTTAAAAAAGCGGCTTCCCCTCACTCTCTCTCTCTCGCCTGGCTTCTGGGCACCTGCCGGCGTGCCCGGACTGCCGCTACCATTCTGGGCCCTGTTGGACCAGCCGCCACGCCAGTTTGTCTTTTCATTTACACGCGCTACAACACAATATATGCACTACAACGGTTGTCCTACTGACTTTCAGATACAACACCTTGCACCCCACAGCATACCATTCACTTACACTGATTTCATACAGATTACTTTATTATTGTTTAAATAAATGCCCCACAGAGGGTTTAAACTTCTCAGTTTGTCGTGTCCTCCCTCTCATGTTATGGTCTCACGAGCCGGGCCGTAACAGTGTGTAGACAGAGATAACCGGAGTTTTGCGTTCTCGCACGCCACAGTACCCCCCTAAATTCACCTGATCACTGAAGCATGGATCATACTACCTTAAAAACTGTTTGCTGTGAGATGCTCGCAGCAGCGAACATCCTCGCTCCACATCAGAGAGCAGCAAAGTGATCGCGGGGACTCACGCTCGAAAACAACCAAACCAGGACTAAACCAGGACTAAACCAGGACTAAACCAGAACCAAACCAGGGCTGAGAACGGGGTCAGTGCTTGTAAACATACGTCTTTACTCTGAGTGTCTTCTATGACTGTAAAAGTGCCGTTACCGGTGTAACGCCGAGATACACTGTCTTGAAGAGATGCACTGCCTCAGCTGTTTATGATGTAATGCAAACCTGCGCATGCGCGTCTCACGGCAGCCGAAGCATACCAAGCATTAACTTGCTAAAAGTTGAAATACGAACGAATTAAGACACGAATGTCACTTTTAATGCAATTTGAGGCGAGATGTTGATGGTCCCGTTTTGTCACATGTGGGTTTTAAGAGTCAAAGTTTCGTGCAAAGTTTAGTTTAAGCAGTCAACTGCGCCTGTGAAACCACAAAGCTAATGTTTTCATAGCAGTCCGCGGCTGCTGACGTAGGCTGATGACTCGTCCTGTGGCCACTCTACACTGGTCTGTCGGGTTGATAATGGAAAATGGGGAAAATAATCAATCTAATTAAATATTTTGTTTGAACACACTATTGTTAATCATATTAAATACAGTACGATACATGTATTGAATGAAATTTATTATTTCCATTATCAACCCGACAGACCAGTGTAAGAGTGTAGAGTGGCCACAGGACGAGTCATCAGCCTACGTCAGCAGCCGCGGACTGCTATGAAAACATTAGCTTTGTGGTTTCACAGGCGCAGTTGACTGCTTAAACTAAACTTTGCACAAAACTTTGACTCTTAAACCCCACATGTGACAAAACGGAACCATCAACATCTCGCCTCAAATTGCATTAAAAGTGACATTCGTGTCTTAATTCGTTCGTATTTCAACTTTTAGCAAGTTAATGCTTGGTATGCTTCGGCTGCCGTGAGACGCGCATGCGCAGGTTTGCATTACATCATAAACAGCTGAGGCAGTGCATCTCTTCAAGACAGTGTATCTCGGCGTTACACCGGCGTCTGCATCAAAGCTCCGCCCACTTCTGTGTTTTTCCCCAACGCAGGACAGGAAGTAAGAGACGCACATGTTTGGAATGTTACGAATGTGATTGATAACGCAGATGTGTGGATGCAAATTATTTTATAAACTGAGGAGGGGAAATATTTGGATTTAAAAAAAAACAGGCATGGCACCACAGTCAAATGACATCTATGTTTTACTCAGTAATGTTTTACTGACACTTAGGTGACTGCACATGCGCAAACAACCGCGCTCAGTGCAGGAAAGCTAAACAACGACAAACTTGTCAGCGAGTTACCACCAATTTTCCGGACTATGCCTCCCTGGCCGATTCAATTCAGTGCAAGTCATAAGAGTAAACTCGGGTAATGACAAAAAATTTACATAGGTAGTTGTGTTGTGCTATATTGGCTCATGCGGTTTTGCATGTACATAAACATACATGTAGATATAAAGAATATTTTTTGAAATATATGATTTGCATTTTTGTAGTAGGTAGATCATTTTGACTTGATCCTTTTATAAGTAGCTCGCATGCTGAAAAAGTGTGAGCACCCCTGCTCTAAAGAGACGCATAAGCAACTAAATCTTATATTTTCGTCCAGCCGAGTCTAACAGACCAGTGCAACTTTCTCCAATAAGTGTAGCATTAGCATATTTAGAAATATAATATATTTTGCAGGCTCTTATCTTCCACCAGTAGAAGTGTTCTACAGTCGAGTGCAATCCAGTGAGCCTGGCCACTGGTTATTTGTTCAGACATGGGCTTAGTTCCTCTGGTCCTTAAAGCAGTCACCTGGTGGAGTGTGGCTTGGATGTGGGTCTTTGCACTGAGGCTAACGTTCATGCTAGTTGCTCTATGTTTAGCATCGAGGTGATACTCGATGTGCTGTGGTTATATGCAAACACTACCATACTTATATCAACGCTTCCATCCGTTCAATCTTATAACATTTCCCATTGGTCCGCTGAAACTCATCCCATGCAGAAAGGTTCCGCCGTGCAAACTGTTGCATGTTGTTTATGTGTAATTAATTCCTCCAATGAATGCGTTAAAGTCCTGATACTAATTATATCACTTCTGTTCAATGTGTGTTTCTCATGTTGTCAGGAGGAAGAAGCTGGTGAAGAAGACTCCGCATGTGCCGTGTGTGAAGCAGGACTCCAACAGCAATACAAGCGGCTGTGAGCAGGAAACAAGGTATATGACTCTTTAATGTTTTATTTAAAATACTTGTGCTTAAGTTTGAACACAATCTAATCCAATATTATCTTTGGTTTCATTCAGTCCGATTCCCGAGAAGCAGGAGTCCAGTCCGGCCCCGATCCCAGACCTAGACTGTCTCCCAGGCTCGTCATCGCTCCCACTCTGTGACCCTGAGAAATTACAGAGGTTTGTTTATTCACTGTCAGATGAGTTCAGAGTTTTGTTATGTTTTGTGTTGTGCTTATCTGAGCTGGGGACTGGTCAAATGTTTATGCATCATAGTTAGCCATTCAGATTTCTGTTATAAGAAAGCTTTAAGTAGGTTCTGACCATCCAAATATTGAATACAGTGCCTTGCGAAAGTATTCGGCCCCCTTCAACCTTTCAACATTTTGCCACATTTCAGGCTTCAAACATAAAGATATACAATTTTAATTATTTGTCATAAATCAACAACAAGTGGGACACAATCGTGAAGTGGAACAAAATTTATTGGATAATTTAAACTTTTTTAACAAATAAAAAACTGAAAAGTGGGGCGTGCAATATTATTCGGCCCCTTTACTTTCAGTGCAGCAAACTCACTCCAGAAGTTCAGTGAGGATCTTTGAATGATCCAATGTCCTAAATGACTGATGATGATTGTTGAGTTGGTGCTCTCACTATAATTATTATTATTATTATTATGAATGTTTACGCCTGTATTTATGTTGAGAAGACTGTTTTATTTACATTTGGATAACTGTTTTCTTTTCCTGTTTACCAATGGGCGTGGTTAATAAATTGTCCAGCGCCGCAGCTGACGCTGGTTGCGCGTAATGGAATGAATGGAATGCAGTGTGTCCCGAGTTCTATTTCCTCCATATATCTGTCTCTTGTCTCTTTATCTGGGTTCACAACGCGAATCTGCTGCTGGATTACCTCTGCCAACAGGTTATGGGCCCAGAGTAACCCAGAGTAACCCAGAGTAACCCAGAGTAACCCAGAGTAACCCAGAGTGACTCAGAGTAACCATGAGTAAACGGGTCGGAGATCCAAGCCGCTGGTCTCGCCTGTTGTTTGATGGAGATGAGAAAAATTATGAACTGTGGGAGACAAAGTTCTTGGGCCACCTCCGTTTGCAAGGCCTGAAAGACATTATTCTCAATGTACCCGATGCGGGAGACGCAGAGGAGCAATTTGAACAGGACGCCAAAAATGCAGAGGCTTACGCAGAACTCATTCAATTCCTGGATGATAAAAGCTTGTCATTGGTAATGCGGGAAGCAGCCGATGACGGACAAAAAGCCCTGGGGATTTTGAGAGACTATTATCAAGGCAAAGGAAAGCCACGTATAATCAGCCTTTATACCGAGCTGACGTCACTTCATAAGAGTGAGAATGAAAGTGTGACTGAATATGTGATTCGCGCAGAGACAGCCATCACAGCGCTGAGGAATGCCGGTGAGGCTCTGAGTGACGGACTATTGGTCGCGATGGTCCTCAAAGGGCTTCCCGAACTCTTCAAACCGTTTGTGATCCATGTCACACAGCTCGATGAGTCCATATCTTTTGCTGAGTTCAAAACAAAGTTACGCAGCTACGAGGACACTGAGAGGATGCGGGTTTGTGCAGCGGAAGATAACGTGATGAAAGCGCGTGTGCAGCAGAGATGGAGACCTGCTGTTACAGGTGACCGAGGAGCGGACCGAGGAGCGGATAGGACAGCGACGGATTTAACGTGCTTCAAATGTGGATTGAAGGGACACTTGGCCAGAGCCTGTCAGCGCAGACTGTGGTGCAGTCACTGCAGGAGCACTACGCACCGGGACACCACCTGCAGGAGGAAACAGCGCAAAGACCGGGACGACGCTCACAAAGCCTCCGAGGAGTCTGCAGGAGACCAGGAGTACGCTTTCAGAGCGAGCGAGGGGTCTGCAGGTGTCGACATGAAGGGCCTGATGGTCGACTGCGGGGCAACCTCGCATATAATTACGGATCTCGCAAAGTTCCAGAGGTTCGACCAAGCATTCCAGGCAGAGACACACTGCGTGGAGTTGGCTGATGGGACAAGGTGCCAGGGGTAGCAGTGCGCCGCGGAGATGCTGAGGTCAGTTTGATTGACAGCTGTGGCAGGCATCTGCGCACCACGCTGAGACGAGCACTGTACATCCCTTCCTATCCACAAGACATATTTTCGGTGAAAGCAGCCACCTTGAACGGGGCCACTGTGACGTTCAAGAACGGGAAGGACTGCCTGATTCACAAAGACGGTACGAAATTCCACATTCACGAACATTCCAGACTGTATTATTTACACACTGCAAATAACGATGAATGTGATGACCAATGCAAGGGGTGTTTTGACATGCAAACATGGCACGAGATTTTAGGACATTGTAACTATGATGATATCCAGAGGTTACAACGTGTTGTTGATGGTATGAAAATCAAAGGGTCGCCAAACCAACATCCACAGTGTAAAGTGTGTATGCAGGGGAAGTTTTTCCAGACTAGAAACAGACAACCAGATATACGAGCTAAAAGGCCTCTGGAGCTAGTGCACACTGATTTAGCAGGGCCAATTCACCCGGAGTCTAGAGACAGTCACAGATATGCGCTTTCCTTCACTGACGACTTTTCCAGTGCGGTTTTCGTATATTTCTTAAAGAATAAAAGTGACACTGTACTTGCTACTGAAAAGTTTCTAGCTGATACGGCTCCATATGGCAAAGTCAAGTGCTTCAGGTCAGATAACGGTACAGAGTACACGGGGAAAGAATTCCAGGCCCTACTAATTAGACATAAGATCAAACATGAAAGGTCTGCCCCTTACTCTCCCCACCAGAATGGCACTGCCGAGCGAAATTGGCGTACGCTTTTTGATATGGCACGATGCATGTTGATTGACAGTGGTCTTCCAAAAGAACTGTGGACTCATGCGGTACAGACCGCCGCTATTGTGAGAAACAGATGTTATAATAAACGCACAAAGCAGACTCCATTTGAAGGACTTACAGGTCGGAGGCCTAATCTATCTAAAATGCAGAAGTTTGGGTCACAGTGTTTTGTGTATAAACAAGACAAAAGGAAACTGGATCCAAAATGTGAAAAGTGTGTATTTATTGGATTTGACAAAAACAGCCCGGCATATGTTGTCTATTTTCCTGACACTAAGAAAGTGCAGAAGCACAGGCTGATACAATTTGTGACTAAAACTGGTGTAGAGCAGCAGACACAGACTAACTTTACACCTTCTGATTTTGTGCAATACGAGTCGAGAAGTCCAGGTTACAGTGTTCCAGGTGGACTAAAATCTGAGGAGATCAGTGACCAATCAGAATTTAGCCCACATGAAATACAGCCAGTAGAGGGCGAGAGTGAGCCTGAGCCTGAGCCCAGACGTTACCCTGTGAGAGAGACAAGAATGCCAGACAGATACACAGACTGCAAAGTATCTAATTATGTGTCTGAAGAGACCGATCAAGCCCAGAGTAACATTGATTACTGTTATCGAGTTATTTGCAACATACCTGTCTCATTTACAGAAGCAGTAGCCTCAGAAAGATCCAAAGAGTGGATCCAAGCAATGGATGAGGAAATGCAGTCACTTAGAGAGAACGAGACATTCACCCTAACCAGCTTGCCCGAGGGTAAGAGAGCAGTGGGGGGTAGATGGGTGTATGCAGTCAAAAATAATATTGACGGGTCTGAGAAGTATAAAGCCCGATTCGTTGCAAAGGGGTACAATCAAAAAATGGGTGTTGACTATGAGGAGACATTTTCCCCCACAGCCAACCTCACAAGTATCCGAGTAATAATGCAAAAAGCAGCTCAGGAGAATTTGATTTTGCACCAGATGGATGTAAAGACTGCCTATCTGAATGCACCAATAGACTGTGAGCTATATATGGAACAGCCTGAGGGTTATGTGGTCAGATCTCACAAAAAGGAAACGTTGGTATGTAAACTACAGAAGTCACTGTACGGGCTGAAACAATCGGGCAGAAATTGGAACACATTGTTAAATGATTATTTGACTCAAAATGATTTTACCCAGAACCAGACTGATCACTGTGTTTATGTCAGAGAAACAAAGCGTGATAAGGTCATCATGGTTATTTGGGTTGATGACCTAATCATTGCAGCAAGTGATGTAAATGCATTGAATGTGGTGAAGAACATGCTTACAGCAAGGTTTAAAATGAAGGACTTGGGGAGACTTGGACATTTTCTAGGCATTGATTTTAACCAGAGTGATGACAGTGTAACAATGACACAAGAAAAATATGTATGAACATTCTGAAGAGGTTCAACATGCAGGATTGTAAACCGAGATCCACACCCTGCGAACAAAAATTCAATTATGAAGACACTGCTCCAATAATGAGTGATGTTAAAAAATACAGGGAAGCAGTGGGAAGTCTCATTTATTTAACTGTTTGTACTAGACCTGATTTAAGCTTTGTTGTAAGCAAACTGTCACAGTACTTTTCCAAACCAACTGAACAACAGTGGGGTACAGTTAAACATGTACTGAGGTTTCTCAAAGCCACATGTAACAAAAAGTTGTGTTACAGGAGATGTGATGGACAGTTGGGACTCCGAGCATACAGTGATGCAGATTGGGCTGCTGATGTCCATGACAGGCGGAGTATGTCCGGTTATTGCATAAGCTTAACTGAGGAGGGCCCCCTAGTGTCATGGAGAGCTAAAAAGCAGGCGACTGTAGCATTGTCCACTTGTGAGTCGGAGTATATTGCACTGGCTGCCACCATCCAAGAATGCCTGTATCTCAAACAACTCTTGGAGAGCATGGATCACAGTCAATATGCACTGCCCAAGGTGTATGAGGACAACCAAGGCACTGGGGCCATAGCCAAGAATCCTGTCAGCAGGCAGAGATGTAAACATGTGGACATAAAGTACCATTTTATACGCTCCATTTTGAACCAGGGGACAATGTCCCTAGAGTATTGCCCTACAGAGCAGATGGTTGCAGATCTGATGACCAAACCTGCAACAAAATTTAAGTTGAACAAGTTTGATGAATTCCTATTTGGAATTGACTAAAGAGTTTTTTTTTTCCCAGTTGATGTAATGTAAGAGCAAGTGGGGGTGTTGAGTTGGTGCTCTCACTATAATTATTATTATTATTATTATGAATGTTTACGCCTGTATTTATGTTGAGAAGACTGTTTTATTTACATTTGGATAACTGTTTTCTTTTCCTGTTTACCAATGGGCGTGGTTAATAAATTGTCCAGCGCCGCAGCTGACGCTGGTTGCGCGTAATGGAATGAATGGAATGCAGTGTGTCCCGAGTTCTATTTCCTCCATATATCTGTCTCTTGTCTCTTTATCTGGGTTCACAACGCGAATCTGCTGCTGGATTACCTCTGCCAACAATGATAAATAGAATGCACCTGTGTAATCAAGTCTCAGTATAAATGCACCTGCTCTTTGATAGTCTCAGGGTTCTGTTTAAAGCGCAGAGAGAACCATGAAGACAAAGGAACACACCAGGCAGGTCCGAGATACTGTTGTGGAGAAGTTTAAAGCCGGATTTGGATACAAAAAGATTTCCCAAGCTTTAAACATCTCAAGGAGCACTGTGCAAGCAATTATATTGAAATGGAAGGAGTATCAGACCACTGCAAATCTACCAAGACCCGGCCGTCCCTCCAAACTTTCATCTCAAACAAGGAGAAGACTGATCAGAGATGCAGCCAAGAGGCCCATGATCACTCTGGATAAACTGCAGATAACTACAGCTGAGGTGGGAGAGTCTGTCCATAGGACAACAATCAGTCATGCACTGCACAAATCTGGCCTTTATGGAAGAGTGGCAAGAAGAAATCCATTTCTCAAAGATATCCGTAAAAAGTCTTGTTTAAAGTTTGCCACAAGCCACCTGGGAGACACACCAAACATGTGGAAGAAGGTGCTCTGGTCAGATGAAACCAAAATCAAACTTTTTGGCCACAATGAAAAACGATATGTTTGGCGTTAAAGCAACACAGCTCATCACCCTGAACACACCATCCCCACCTCAGCTGTAGTTATCTGCAGTTCATCCAGAGTGATCATGGGCCTCTTGGCTGCATCTCTGATCAGTCTTCTCCTTGTTTGAGATCAAAGTTTGGAGGGACGGCCGGGTCTTGGTAGATTTGCAGTGGTCTGATACTCCTTCCATTTCAATATAATTGCTTGCACAGTGCTCCTTGAGATGTTTAAAGCTTGGGAAATCTTTTTGTATCCAAATCCGGCTTTAAACTTCTCCACAACAGTATCTCGGACCTGCCTGGTGTGTTCCTTTGTCTTCATGGTTCTCTCTGCGCTTTAAACAGAACCCTGAGACTATCAAAGAGCAGGTGCATTTATACGGAGACTTTATTACACACAGGTGCATTCTATTTATCATCAGTCATTTAGGACAACATTGGATCATTCAAAGATCCTCACTGAACTTCTGGACTGAGTTTGCTGCACTGAAAGTAAAGGGGCCGAATAATATTGCACGCCCCACTTTTCAGTTTTTTATTTGTTAAAAAAGTTTAAATTATCCAATAAATTTCGTTCCACTTTACGATTGTGTCCCACTTGTTGTTGATTCATGACAAAAAGTTAAAATTGTATATCTTTATGTTTGAAGCCTGAAATGAGGCGAAATGTTGAAAGGTTCAAGGGGGCCTAATACTTTTGCAAGGCACTGTATTTAGTTTGAAATGTGTAATCATTATAGATATGATCCTTGACTTGATGAGTAAATACAACACAGAAATAATACATTTCATTCAATGGAGAAAGGTTTGGTCGTACTTCCATGTCCAGGTTTGACTCATTAGAAAATCTGCGTCTTGTTTCTTTCTGCTTTTAGGATGATGCGGCGGGGGAAGAAGGGAGGGATGAGGCGGAAGACTCCTGCTGATCGACCTGTGGATCAGGAGTCCAGCAACAAATCCAGAGTGAGGAGGGTCCAGACTAAGGCAAAAGCAAGGTGTGAGAAATACACACACACACACACACACACACATGTGTACAGGCACACACACGCAGTGTTGGGCACGTTACTTTGAAAAAGTAATTAGTTATAGTTACTAGTTTCTTCCCCCAAACAGTAACGGAGTTACTCCACTAAAAGTCACTAGTTACCAGTAAAAGTAACTATTGCGTTTCTTTTTTGTTTTGTTCTGGAACATAATGTGCACTCGACGTGCACATTTTTACCTTTAACCTCAGTGAGATTGAAATAGTTCCAATATTTCCATCTGGAAATGGCTGTTTTGCTGCTTAAGTCCTGTTCACTCTCCATCTCTCTCTGTGCTGTAAGCACTAAACACCAACACCCGCCACTGTGAATGTGGAAACACCGGTGAAGCACTGACTTCAGCCCAATCAGATGAACATATATATCATATAAATCAACTGGACCAAGAGAGTGGCATATTCACAATTTGTTTAGCTACAGCAGAATATGTTTCATGCCCGCATTGTTTGTTCATACAAAACGCAAAACTATGAGTTATGGGTCTTACCTTATAAATGACCTGCACAGACCACTTCGGTTCAGACCAGTTCCGTGTTTAAGTCCAGATAATAGTTTGAGCGTAGATATGTAATCCTCCATTTGGAAATGAGTCCAATGAGTATTAAAAAGCAAAACAAAACGCGTGTGTCCTCCATAAACTCCTCTGTTTTGCTAGCTGCAGCCGGGTGCATCCAATTTCTAAAATTAACCTTCTTACACTTCACCTCTCTTTCTTATCATTCCTATAGTCATTGAAAAATTACCCTAAGTGCATTTTAAATTATCTTAAATTGTGTTACATGTATGTTAGCCAAACCTGTTGCTGCCCATAGCAGATAAACCAGGAAGAGAAAGGAGCTTTTCGATGGAATTGTATGCAGCCGACTTCTGCGCTCACATGCGCTCCTCTGAGGCCTCACGGTGATACAAGCCGTGGTTTAGCGCGACTAAGACCCATATTTGTTTCAAAAACACAATTTATTAGCCATCCTCTCAACTGCAGACATGTAGATTGTTAAGGAAATATGTTTTACATCAGCCAATAAAAACCTGAGAGGTTTTCTCATCCTCCCTTCTCTCATGACAACACGCGCACGAGTCCTATCACAAAGTAAAAAGAGAGGTTCATTGTGCGACTTGAGTAACGCGCAGTAACGGGACGTCGGAAATGATAACGGTGTTATAGTTCCAGTCAAAGTAATTAATTAAATTACTCGTTACTGAAAAAAGACGCCGTTATTCCCATCACTGCACACGCGCGCACACACACACACTTACACATGTGTACATGCACACACACACACGCACACAAACACACACGTGTACACGCACACACACCCACGTGTACACGCACACAGGTTTGAAGATAAAAGCTACACACCTTTATTGAGATAATTGATTAGAGGCTGTGTAATGAATTATTCAAAATGAATTGCATTTAATTACATATTATTTGGTCTCTGAACAGTAAGAAAATTTTTTTTCAATGACTCTAAAGAGACGCAACTAAATCAGATGATTTTTGTCCAGCCGAGTCTAACAGACCAGTGAAACTTTCTCCAATAAGTGTAGCATTAGCATATTTAGAAATATAATATATTTTGCAGGCTCTTATCTTCCACCAGTAGAAGTGTTCTACAGTCGAGTGCAATCCAGTGAGCCTGGCCACTGGTTATTTGTTCAGACATGGGCTTAGTTCCTCTGGTCCTTAAAGCAGTCACCTGGTGGAGTGTGGCTTGGATGTGGGTCTTTGCACTGAGGCTAACGTTCATGCTAGCTGCTCTATGTTTAGCATCGAGGTGATACTCGATGTGCTGTGGTTATATGCAAACACTACCATACTTATATCGACGCTTCCATCCGTTCAATCTTATAACATTCCCATTGGTCCGCTGAAACTCATCCCATGCAGAAAGGTTCCGCCGTGCAAACTGTTGCATGTTGTTTATGTGTAATTAATTCCTCCAATGAATGCGTTAAAGTCCTGATACTAATTATATCACTTCTGTTCAATGTGTGTGTCTCATGTCTTCAGGAGAAGAAGCTGGTGAAGAAGACTCCGCATGTGCCGTGTGTGAAGCAGGACTCCAACAGCAATACAAGCGGCTGTGAGCAGGAAACAAGGTATATGACTCTTTAATGTTTTATTTAAAATACTTGTGCTTCAGTTTGAACACAATCTAATCCAATATTATCTTTGGTTTCATTCAGTCCGATTCCCGAGAAGCAGGAGTCCAGTCCGGCCCCGATCCCAGACCTAGACTGTCTCCCAGGCTCGTCATCGCTCCCACTCTGTGACCCTGAGAAATTACAGAGGTTTGTTTATTCACTCTCAGATGAGTTTTCAGAGTTTTTGTTATGTTTGTGTTGTGCTTATCTGAGCTGGGGACTGGTCAAATGTTTAGGCATCATAGTAAGACTTAAAGTAGGTTTTGAGCTTCCAAATATGGAATATTTAGTTTGAAATTCTTAATCATTATAGAAATGATCCTTGACTTCATGACTAAATGCAACACAGAGAAAATACAATTAATGGAGAAAAGTTTGGTTGTACTTCCACGTCCAGATTTGAAAATCTGTGTCCTTATATCTTTCTGCCTTTAGGGTGATGAGGCAGGGGAAGAGGCGGGGGACTCCTTATGATCGACCTGTGGATCAGGAGTCCAGCTCCAAATCTAGAAAGAGGAGCGTTGAGACCAAGGCGAAAGCGAGGTGTGAGAAATATACATGCACATACACAAGCGCACACACACACTTACGCAACCTAAGCTATCCATGTTGAGAAGGTCATTCACCTGGTAAATCACCCGGAAATTCACCCGGTTTTCCACCAGTAAATTATCCCCAAGTTTGATAAATGGACCGGATCTCTTCAAACACGACCGTGCCACAAAATGTGGTCTTGACGCACGATGCGCCGAGGTGGGACCATGTAAACAAAGTTAGCATGGGAAGCGGCATGCCGCTGTACTGGAAGGTGCTTTACCATGGATCTATAATAATAGATAAGTGTGGACCATTGATCTATAATAATATATAGTTTGACCATTGATCTATAATAATATAGATAGTTTTACGCATTGATCTATAATATTTTATATTTTTAACCATTGATTGCTATATTAATTTATAGTTTTACCATTGGAGCTATTATATTATATAAGTTTTAACCCTGCAGCTAAACGCAGCTAAAAAAGTCTCTGATTATTAGCTTTTATCAGTTCATTAGCTTTCAACCCGCATCATGGTAAGAAAAACAGAACATTCCAGTCACGCTGGTGATAAAGTAATTCTGACGATTGTTTTGCGGGGATTCTATGGTTTTTTACATTATTGAGGCTTGTCACCAGAATATCGTTTTTGTTGAAAAAAATATAGAAAGGAACCTTGTGGACATAGTGGTTGGACGTAGGGAGCGAGTCAGAACATCCTCATTGGTACAATGTTTATGTATTGGTAGGGGAAACCGGAGCACCCAGAGGATATGAATACAGTGGAAACGCCCCACAGAAACGGCCTGAGCGTATCCATTGGAACCCAGGAACAGTCCTAGCTGTGATGCCACAAGCTCAAACCCACAGTGCGCCACAATTATATCACTAAGCTGAGCAATATGGGTGCAATTATGGATCGGCGTTAGGAGGACGAATCGGGAGAAGAAGACGCAGTAAAGACCATGTGAGGGAACCAGGACAGCAGACCCCCGCAGCCGTGTGAAGAAGAAATGCAGGTACGTGGACTCATTTAGTGTATGTTTGACTAGCCACAGTAATGATTGCAGTTGTTATACTTCAGTATCCGATGTCAGAGAAGCCGGGGTCCAGTCCAAGTCCTGACCCTGGTTTACGACCCAGTACCCGTCACCCAACCAGTGTCCGAGAAGCAGAAACCCGTTAGACAGAGGTCTGGTCTTTTGAATCGATGTCCTCTCCGCAGGCAGGTTCACACCAGTAAGAAATGAGGAAAGCACGCTAAGCACTGACTACTTCATTAAAAGTCTAAACCAAGCTCACTACATCTGAACGCAGGTGTGAACAATGGACTGGCACCAGGACGAGGGCTTCCTCCACACATCCACCAGCATCATAAATAGGACATACAAAGTCCCTCAGGAATGGAGATCTGCATAAAACATGAAGCTATGTCTCAGTGGGGGTGGGACCAGCTGAGCTGAGGGGAGAGGATTTAAAATCATTCATAACAATAAAGCATTTACTTTTCCAATCCAGACATAAAAAAGTTAATAATAATAAATAATAATGCAATCGGTTTTAATGTAGCGACACACAAAAAACACCAACCATTCACACACAAATCATATAGACAATGTGGGTGAAGTGTCATGCCTAAGGACACAATAACAGTTTGGCAGATTTTTGTTGGACCTTTGCTTCCTCTAGTAAATTGGCGCCTGCCCTCAACTGAAATCAGACTTCTGAAACATGAACCAACAAACCCTTTTCATACTTCTAGTGAAAGAATTATAAATAAGGAACCATATGCTTCCACCCTGACTGGTTTGAAACAGGCATGTGGCTGTTTATGAGCTCACTTTCCCCCCAGCCGCACGCGCACGTAGCCTCAAACTGAACTTGGAGTTAAGCACACAAGCGTGGCGTTCACAAGCTCACAGCGGCACATGAGACCTGAGAATACACTTTTTTCCATCAATGGCGATCGTCACATAGAGCCTATGTCCTTGATCCAGAATCGGGCTCTAATAATTTAGTTAACAGTCGTATCCCGCGAGTTAGTCTCACTGTACTCACAGGTTGAGGCTCCTCGTTAACATCTTTTATTGTGGGAATAAAACCAGGTTTCAGGATCAGCTGCGTATTAAGTTCATTTTCCTGGCAACCGTGGTTCTTGAAACAGTCTTTACTGAAGTGTTGCTCGTAGAAAAAAACAGATTTGTTTGCAGATTTCAGCGGCAGAACCCTGTGAAAAAATGTCCAGCCGCATTCGCTTCATCTTCGAGCCAAATAGTGTCGACACTATTTACACCCAAAAAAACACATTTTCTCCAAAAAAAGCATCCATTTAGTATGCTCCATGGTAAGGCGAACACTTACCAACAGTATGTGGGACTGTACGCTGGACTTGGGAGAGACTGCGAACTGATTTGCTGTTTTGATTTCTCCCACCCCAGACAAGATCCCAGGCAAGACGACATCTAAGCCCAGGTGTAAAACACAAAGTTAAGTCTGCAGTCATGTTGGCAAAGTCTACTCCCGCACCGCAGTCACATGATCAGCCCTACTCCCCCAGCGCTGCTACAGTCTGGCAGCTGGGGGTAGTGTAGGCATGATGTTTAACCGTCGGCCTCTGGTGACTAGAGAAACCATCCTCTCCCAGCAGGAAAGTGCCGATTCGCCGTAACACTACACCAGGTAAGACATTCTGAAGAGCTTTTGCCGACTCCTGGACAGAGTTTACTGCTAAAGCTAAAAGTTTACCCAACCTTTTGCGAGTTTGATTCCCATTACTGTGAATAAATGTCTCTGGTCTAAGTTGCAGTCTCTAACCACTTGTGTTTGTGGTTTGTGCAGAATGCAGGAACAGCTTGAGGCGCGGCTTGGTGAAAGAGCCCAAAAGTCAGCATCAGTCTGAGGGACATAAAGATTCAGCGTTGGCGCCGCGTTAAGCTGTAAACCCTGCAGGCAGCAGTGGACTCCTGTTCCTAGAAAGCAGTGAGGATCTGAAAGCTTTGACCTGACTCGCCTACGCCAAAGGAAGTGTTTTGCCTAAACTCGATCTGAAAGCAATTTGCACGAGGAGATCTGGCCGCACGGCTGCGGCTGGCTCCATGGTTGTTTGCCATGTTGAACTCGTTCCCTCTTGGACCAATGGGTTTTCTGCACATTGTTCAGCTGAAAAGATCACCTGGACTGCTGGAGTGGAGACTTGTCAGGCGGACAGGACTTGTGCGAAGGAGGTTGGATTGTACACAATGGTATTGTGCACACTACAACTCCATCACGTAGTGCTTAATCAATGCGGATTGTACACTGATCATTCCGATGGAATGTTCCACACAAGTTCATTGGCTTAAAGCAGAGGTGTCGTCATGGAGACAGTGGAACCGACTGAACTCGACAGTGTGACAGAAGTCGTCACAAACCCTTCCGTCCTTGTTCACAGCGACACACTTGTTTGTTGTGTGGTGTTTGGATCTAGAGCGTTCGGAACAACAGCTTTTAGAAACGCGGCTGGTGTGCTTGACTGTGTTTGTGGACCTTCGGTGGCTGGGGTGGACACAGTGGGCTGAGTGGATTAGCGGGGGGGGGGGGGGGGGGGGGGTGTCGAATGTGAGCTGGCCTCAGCTGTTCAATGAGGCGCTACATGCAGCTGAAGAAAAGCATAGATGGAGGACAGCAAGAAAATTGTTTAAAAAATGTCATATTTTGATGCAATTTGAGGAGGAGATTGTTGATCTGAAAGCGATTTGGCAGATGAGATCTGCCGGCATGGCTGTGTCTGGCTCCAAGGCTCCTCATTGGGTACCTGGACGTGAAAATTTCTCTTTTGGACCAAAGGGTTTTGTGAACCTTTTTCAACTGAAAGATCAGCCCCTGTACTCGACTTGGAGTGGAGACTTCAAGTGCGTACAGGACTTGTGGCGAGGAGTTGGATTGTAACACAATTGTATTGTGGCGCAATACAACTCCATCACGTAGTGCTTAATGCGTGATTGTACACGTGATCATTTCCGTTGGAATGTTCCACACAAAGTTCAGTTGGATAGAAGCAGAGGTGTCGTCATGGAGACAGTGGAACCCTGACTCGACAGATGTGACAGAAGTCGATCACAAACATGCTTGGGTCTTGTTTTCAAGCATGTTGTAAGATGAAACAACCGAGTGGCGATAAGTAGTAAATCACACTATCTGTATATAGCATCCTATTGGGCTCTTTCAACGTAGACCGTGACGTGGCTAACTGTGGCTAAGCGTGACAGTGTAGCTTTTTTTGATAATGGAAATAATTAACCCTGAATGTTGACCACAATGTAATGTAAGAGCAAGTGGGGGTTGTTGAGTTGGTGCTGCCATCACTATACTTTTTTATTAATTAATTATTATGATGTTTACGCCTGTATTTATGTTGAGAAGACTGTTTTATTTTTACATTTGGATAAACTGTTTTCTTTTCCTGTTTACCAATGGGCGTGGTTAATAAATTGTCCAGCGCCGCAGCTGACGCTGGTTGCGCGTAATGGAATCACCTGTCAGTTTGATAGTCAGGGTTCTGTTTAAAGCGCAGAGAGAACCATGAAGACAAAGGAACACACCAGGCAGGTCCGAGATACTGTTGTGGAGAAGTTTAAAGCCGGATTTGGATACAAAAAGATTTCCCAAGCTTTAAACATCTCAAGGAGCACTGTGCAAGCAATTATATTGAAATGGAAGGAGTATCAGACCACTGCAAATCTACCAAGACCCGGCCGTCCCTCCAAACTTTCATCTCAAACAAGGAGAAGACTGATCAGAGATGCAGCCAAGAGGCCCATGATCACTCTGGATAAACTGCAGATAACTACAGCTGAGGTGGGAGAGTCTGTCCATAGGACAACAATCAGTCATGCACTGCACAAATCTGGCCTTTATGGAAGAGTGGCAAGAAGAAATCCATTTCTCAAAGATATCCGTAAAAAGTCTTGTTTAAAGTTTGCCACAAGCCACCTGGGAGACACACCAAACATGTGGAAGAAGGTGCTCTGGTCAGATGAAACCAAAATCAAACTTTTTGGCCACAATGAAAAACGATATGTTTGGCGTTAAAGCAACACAGCTCATCACCCTGAACACACCATCCCCACCTCAGCTGTAGTTATCTGCAGTTCATCCAGAGTGATCATGGGCCTCTTGGCTGCATCTCTGATCAGTCTTCTCCTTGTTTGAGATCAAAGTTTGGAGGGACGGCCGGGTCTTGGTAGATTTGCAGTGGTCTGATACTCCTTCCATTTCAATATAATTGCTTGCACAGTGCTCCTTGAGATGTTTAAAGCTTGGGAAATCTTTTTGTATCCAAATCCGGCTTTAAACTTCTCCACAACAGTATCTCGGACCTGCCTGGTGTGTTCCTTTGTCTTCATGGTTCTCTCTGCGCTTTAAACAGAACCCTGAGACTATCAAAGAGCAGGTGCATTTATACGGAGACTTTATTACACACAGGTGCATTCTATTTATCATCAGTCATTTAGGACAACATTGGATCATTCAAAGATCCTCACTGAACTTCTGGACTGAGTTTGCTGCACTGAAAGTAAAGGGGCCGAATAATATTGCACGCCCCACTTTTCAGTTTTTTATTTGTTAAAAAAGTTTAAATTATCCAATAAATTTCGTTCCACTTTACGATTGTGTCCCACTTGTTGTTGATTCATGACAAAAAGTTAAAATTGTATATCTTTATGTTTGAAGCCTGAAATGAGGCGAAATGTTGAAAGGTTCAAGGGGGCCTAATACTTTTGCAAGGCACTGATTTTAGTTTGAAATGTGTAATCATTATAGATATGATCCTTGACTTGATGAGTAAATACAACACAGAAATAATACATTTCATTCAATGGAGAAAGGTTTGGTCGTACTTCCATGTCCAGGTTTGACTCATTAGAAAATCTGCGTCTTGTTTCTTTCTGCTTTTAGGATGATGCGGCGGGGGAAGAAGGGAGGGATGAGGCGGAAGACTCCTGCTGATCGACCTGTGGATCAGGAGTCCAGCAACAAATCCAGAGTGAGGAGGGTCCAGACTAAGGCAAAAGCAAGGTGTGAGAAATACACACACACACACACACACACACATGTGTACAGGCACACACACGCAGTGTTGGGCACGTTACTTTGAAAAAGTAATTAGTTATAGTTACTAGTTTCTTCCCCCAAACAGTAACGGAGTTACTCCACTAAAAGTCACTAGTTACCAGTAAAAGTAACTATTGCGTTTCTTTTTTGTTTTGTTCTGGAACATAATGTGCACTCGACGTGCACATTTTTACCTTTAACCTCAGTGAGATTGAAATAGTTCCAATATTTCCATCTGGAAATGGCTGTTTTGCTGCTTAAGTCCTGTTCACTCTCCATCTCTCTCTGTGCTGTAAGCACTAAACACCAACACCCCGCCACTGTGAATGTGGAAACACCGGTGAAGCACTGACTTCAGCCCAATCAGATGAACATATATATCATATAAATCAACTGGACCAAGAGAGTGGCATATTCACAATTTGTTTAGCTACAGCAGAATATGTTTCATGCCCGCATTGTTTGTTCATACAAAACGCAAAACTATGAGTTATGGGTCTTACCTTATAAATGACCTGCACAGACCACTTCGGTTCAGACCAGTTCCGTGTTTAAGTCCAGATAATAGTTTGAGCGTAGATATGTAATCCTCCATTTGGAAATGAGTCCAATGAGTATTAAAAAGCAAAACAAAACGCGTGTGTCCTCCATAAACTCCTCTGTTTTGCTAGCTGCAGCCGGGTGCATCCAATTTCTAAAATTAACCTTCTTACACTTCACCTCTCTTTCTTATCATTCCTATAGTCATTGAAAAATTACCCTAAGTGCATTTTAAATTATCTTAAATTGTGTTACATGTATGTTAGCCAAACCTGTTGCTGCCCATAGCAGATAAACCAGGAAGAGAAAGGAGCTTTTCGATGGAATTGTATGCAGCCGACTTCTGCGCTCACATGCGCTCCTCTGAGGCCTCACGGTGATACAAGCCGTGGTTTAGCGCGACTAAGACCCATATTTGTTTCAAAAACACAATTTATTAGCCATCCTCTCAACTGCAGACATGTAGATTGTTAAGGAAATATGTTTTACATCAGCCAATAAAAACCTGAGAGGTTTTCTCATCCTCCCTTCTCTCATGACAACACGCGCACGAGTCCTATCACAAAGTAAAAAGAGAGGTTCATTGTGCGACTTGAGTAACGCGCAGTAACGGGACGTCGGAAATGATAACGGTGTTATAGTTCCAGTCAAAGTAATTAATTAAATTACTCGTTACTGAAAAAAGACGCCGTTATTCCCATCACTGCACACGCGCGCACACACACACACTTACACATGTGTACATGCACACACACACACGCACACAAACACACACGTGTACACGCACACACACCCACGTGTACACGCACACAGGTTTGAAGATAAAAGCTACACACCTTTATTGAGATAATTGATTAGAGGCTGTGTAATGAATTATTCAAAATGAATTGCATTTAATTACATATTATTTGGTCTCTGAACAGTAAGAAATATTTTTTTTCAATGACTCTAAAGAGACGCATAAGCAACTAAATCTTATATTTTTGTCCAGCCGAGTCTAACAGACCAGTGAAACTTTCTCCAATAAGTGTAGCATTAGCATATTTAGAAATATAATATATTTTGCAGGCTCTTATCTTCCACCAGTAGAAGTGTTCTACAGTCGAGTGCAATCCAGTGAGCCTGGCCACTGGTTATTTGTTCAGACATGGGCTTAGTTCCTCTGGTCCTTAAAGCAGTCACCTGGTGGAGTGTGGCTTGGATGTGGGTCTTTGCACTGAGGCTAACGTTCATGCTAGCTGCTCTATGTTTAGCATCGAGGTGATACTCGATGTGCTGTGGTTATATGCAAACACTACCATACTTATATCGACGCTTCCATCCGTTCAATCTTATAACATTTCCCATTGGTCCGCTGAAACTCATCCCATGCAGAAAGGTTCCACCGTGCAAACTGTTGCATGTTGTTTATGTGTAATTAATTCCTCCAATGAATGCGTTAAAGTCCTGATACTAATTATATCACTTCTGTTCAATGTGTGTGTCTCATGTCTTCAGGAGGAAGAAGCTGGTGAAGAAGACTCCGCATGTGCCGTGTGTGAAGCAGGACTCCAACAGCAATACAAGCGGCTGTGAGCAGGAAACAAGGTATATGACTCTTTAATGTTTTATTTAAAATACTTGTGTTTCAGTTTGAACACAATCTAATCCAATATTATCTTTGGTTTCATTCAGTCCGATTCCCGAGAAGCAGGAGTCCAGTCCGGCCCCGATCCCAGACCTAGACTGTCTCCCAGGCTCGTCATCGCTCCCACTCTGTGACCCTGAGAAATTACAGAGGTTTGTTTATTCACTCTCAGATGAGTTCAGAGTTTTGTTATGTTTTGTGTTGTGCTTATCTGAGCTGGGGACTGGTCAAATGTTTAGGCATCATAGTAAGACTTAAAGTAGGTTTTGAGCTTCCAAATATTGAATATTTAGTTTGAAATTCTTAATCATTATAGAAATGATCCTTGACTTCATGACTAAATGCAACACAGAGAAAATACAATTAATGGAGAAAAGTTTGGTTGTACTTCCACGTCCAGATTTGAAAATCTGTGTCTTATATCTTTCTGCCTTTAGGGTGATGAGGCAGGGGAAGAGGCGGGGGACTCCTTATGATCGACCTGTGGATCAGGAGTCCAGCTCCAAATCTAGAAAGAGGAGCGTTGAGACCAAGGCGAAAGCGAGGTGTGAGAAATATACATGCACATACACAAGCGCACACACACACTTACGCAACCTAAGCTATCCATGTTGAGAAGGTCATTCACCTGGTAAATCACCCGGTAATTCACCCGGTTTTCCACCAGTAAATTATCCCCAAGTTTGATAAATGACCGGATCTCTTCAAACACTACCGTGCCACAAATGTGTCTTGACGCACGTGCGCCGAGGTGGACATGTAAACAAAGTTAGCATGGGAAGCGGCATGCGCTGTGCTGAGGTGCTTTACCATGGATCTATAATAATATATAGTTTTACCATTGATCTATAATAATATATAGTTTTACCATTGATCTATAATAATATATAGTTTTACCATTGATCTATAATAATTTATAGTTTTACCATTGATCTATAATAATTTATAGTTTTACCATTGAGCTATTATATTATATAGTTTTACCCTGCAGCTAAACTGCAGTTAAAAGCTCTGATTATTAGCTTTTATCTGTTCATTAGCTTTCACCCGCATCATGGTAAGAAAACAGAACATTCAGTCACGCTGGTGATAAAGTATTCTGACGATTGTTTTGCGGGGATTCTATGTTTTTTACATATTTGAGGCTTGTCTCCTGAATACGTTTTGTTGAAACTTGTGACATAGTGGTTGGACTTGGAGCGAGTCAGAACATCCTATTGTACATGTTTTTATTGGTAGGGGAAACCGGAGCACCCAGAGGATATGATACAGGGAAACTCCACACAGAAAGGCCTGGAGGTTCAATGGAACCCAGGATCTTCTTGCTGTGATGCACAAGCGCTAACCACACTGCGCCACAATTATATCACTTCTGTTCAATATGTGTGTATTATGTCTGTCTTTAGGAGGAAGAATCTGGAGAAGAAGACTCAGTAAGACCATGTGTGAAGCAGGACAGCAGCACCAGCAGCAGTGAGAAGAAAGATGGTACGTGACTCATTTTGTGTTTTTTTGTCTGCCTCAGTTTGATTGATTTGGTTTCATTCAGTCCGATTTCTGAGAAGCAGGGGTCCAGTCCAATCCTGACCCTGGTTTCGATCCCAGTCCCGTCACCAACCAGTGTCCGTGAAGCAGAAACCTGTAGACAGAGGTCTGTTCATTTGTGATAGATGTCCTCTCCTCAGCAGGTTCACACCAGTAAGAATGGGAAAGCACTCAAACACTGACTACTTCATTAAAAGTCTAAACCAAGTCACTCTGAACCAGGTGTGAACAATGCCTGGACCAGGACTGGCTTCTCCACACATCCACAGCATCATAAAAGGACATACAAAGTCCCTCATGAATGAGATCTGCATAAACATGAAGCTATTCTCAGTGGGTTTGACAGCTGAGCTGAGGGGAGAGGATTTAAAATCATTCATAACAAAAAGCATTTAGCTTTTCCAATCAGCATAAAAAAGTTAATAATAATAATAATAATGCATCGGTTTTATGTAGCGACACACAAAAACACCAACCATTCACACACAAATTCATATAGACAATGTGGGTGAAGTGTCATGCCTAAGGACACAATAACAGTTTGGCAGATTTTGTTGGACCTTTGCTTCTCTAGTAAATTGGCGCCTGCCCTCAACTGAAATAGACTTCTGAAACATGAACCAAACCCTTTTCATACTTCTAGTGAAAGAATTATAAATAAGGAACCATATGCTTCCACCCTGACTGGTTTAAACAGCATGTGGCTGTTTATGAGCTCACTTTCCCCCAGCCGCACGCTCACGTAGCCTCAAACTGACTTGGAGTTAAGCACACAGCGTGGCGTTCACCAGCTCACAGCGGCACATGAGACCTGAGAATACACTTTTTTCCATCAATGGCGATCCGTCACATAGAGCCTATGTCCTTGATCCAGAATCGGGCTCTAATAATTTAGTTAACAGTCGTATCCCGCGAGTTAGTCTCACTGTACTCACAGGTTGAGGCTCCTCGTTAACATCTTTTATTGTGGGAATAAAACCAGGTTTCAGGATCAGCTGCGTATTAAGTTCATTTTCCTGGCAACCGTGGTTCTTGAAACAGTCTTTACTGAAGTGTTGCTCGTAGAAAAACAGATTTGTTGCAGATTTCAGCGGCAGAACCCTGTGAAAAAATGTCCAGCCGCATTCGCTTCATCTTCGAGCCAAATAGTGTCGTCACTATTTACACCCAAAAACACATTTTCTCCAAAAAAAGCATCCATTTAGTAGCTCCATGGTAAGGCGAACACTTACCAACAGTATGTGGGACTGTACGCTGGACTTGGGAGAGACTGCGAACTGATTTGCTGTTTTGATTTCTCCCACCCCAGACAAGATCCCAGGCAAGACGACATCTAAGCCCAGGTGTAAAACACAAAGTTAAGTCTGCAGTCATGTTGGCAAAGTCTACTCCCGCACCGCAGTCACATGATCAGCCCTACTCCCCCAGCGCTGCTACAGTCTGGCAGCTGGGGGTAGTGTAGAAATGATGTTTAACCGTCGGCCTCTGGTGACTAGAGAAACCATCCTCTCCAGCAGGAAAGTGCCGATTCGCCGTAACACTACACCAGGTAAGACATTCTGAAGAGCTTTTGCCGACTCCTGGACAGAGTTTACTGCTAAAGCTAAAGTTTACCCAACCTTTTGCGAGTTTGATTCCCATTACTGTGAATAAATGTCTCTGGTCTAAGTTGCAGTCTCTAACCACTTGTGTTTGTGTTTGCAGAATGCAGGAACATCTTGAGGCGCTGCTTGGTGAAAGATCCCAAAAGTCGCATCAGTCTGAGGGACTTAAAGAATCATCTTTGGCTCCGCGATTAAGCTGTAAACCTGCAGCAGCAGTGACTCCTGTTCCTGAAGCAGTGTGATCTGAAAGCTTTGACCTGACTCGCCTCACGCCAAAGGAAGTGTTTTGCCTAAACTCGATCTGAAAGCAATTTGCAGATGAGATCTGCCGCATGGCTGCGTCTGGCTCCATGGTTGTTTCCTTGTGAACCTTTCTCTTTGGACCAATGGGTTTTCTGCACATTTCAGCTGAAAGATCAGCCTGTACTGCTGGAGTGGAGACTTCAGGCGTACAGGACTTGTGCGAGGAGTTGGATTGTACACAATTGTATTGTGCACACTACAACTCCATCACGTAGTGCTTAATGCGTGATTGTACACTGATCATTTCCGATGGAATGTTCCACACAAAGTTCATTGGTTAAAGCAGAGGTGTCGTCATGGAGACAGTGGAACCCTGACTCGACAGTGTGACAGAAGTCGTCACAAACCCTTCGGTCTTGTTTCAGCGACACACTTTGTTGTTGTGTGGTGTTTTGGATCTAGAGCTTTCGGAACACAGCTTTTAGAACGCGGCTGTGTCTTACTGTGTTTGTGGACCTTCGGTGGCTGGGTGGCACAGTGGCTGAGTGGTTAGCGTGTTCGATGTGAGCTGCCTCAGCTGTTCATGATGCTCATGGCAGCTGAAGAAAAGCAAGATGGAGGACATCAAGAAAATTGTTTAAAAATGTCAATTTTGATGCAATTTGAGGAGAGATGTTGATCTGAAAGCGATTTGCAGATGAGATCTGCCGCATGGCTGTGTCTGGCTCCACAGTTGGTACCACGTGAAAATTTCTCTTTGGACCAAAGGGTTTTGTGAACTTTTCAACTGAAAGATCAGCCTGTACTCCTGGAGTGGAGACTTCAGTCGTACAGGACTTGTGCGAGGAGTTGGATTGTACACAATTGTATTGTGCGCAATACAACTCCATCACGTAGTGCTTAATGCGTGATTGTACACTTTTCATTTCCGATGGAATGTTCCACACAAAGTTCATTGGTTAAAGCAGAGGTGTCGTCATGGAGACAGTGGAACCCTGACTCGACAGTGTGACAGAAGTCGTCACAAACATGCTGGGTCTTGTTTCAACATGTTGTAATATGAACATCCGATTGGCTCCTGTAAAATCACACTACTGTATGATAGCATCCTATTGGCTCCTTTCAACGTAGACCGTTGACGTGGCTAACTGTGGCTAACTTGACAGCTGATAGCTTACAACTGTTCTGTCGGGTTGATAATGGAAATAATTAACAAAATCTACTGAATGTATTGACCACATGTAAGAAAACAGCTGTTGAGTTAGCCACAGGACATTGACCTGCGTCAGTAAAATTATGTATGCGACAGTTCACTCGACAAGGATGGGATGCTGTCATACAGTAGTGTGGTTTGACAGTAGCAGTTACTTAAACCCATCTTTATACAAAACTATTACTCTTAAAACTCGTATATCACAACATGGAACCATCATCATCTCGCCTCAAATTGCATTAAAATTTACATTAGTCTCTTTCTTCACTCATATTTAAACTTTTTAAACAATTCAGAGACTTTATGTCTGCCATCTTGGTTTGCCACAGCTGCCGTGAGACGTATACGCAGGTTTGCATTACATCACAAACAGCTGAGGCCGCACAACTCGACAAGCGGCAGAAACCCACAGAACAACGGTGTCCAAACCAGTTCAGAAAGGTCTGCAGACTCTGAAGGGTTAAAATGCTGTAAACCTGCAGCAGCAGCGACTCCTGTTCCTGAAGCAGTGAGATCTGAAAGATTTGACCTGACTCGCCTCGCGCCAAAGGAAGCGTTTTGCCAAAACTCGACCAAGTCTACTCCCGCACCGCAGTCACATGATCAGCCGTACTCCCCCAGCGCTGCTACAGTCTGGCAGCTGGGGGTAGTGTAGGCATGATGTTTAACTGTCGGCCTCTGGTGACTAGAGAAACCATCCTCTCCAGCAGGAAAGTGCCGATTCGCCGTAATTACACTACATCAGGTAAGACATTCTGAAGAGCTTTTGCCGACTCCTGGACAGAGTTTACTGCTAAAGTTAAAGTTTACCCAACCTTTTGCGAGTTTGATTCCCATGACTGTGAATAAATGTCTCTGGTCTAAGTTGCAGTCTCTAACCACTTGTGTTTGTGTTTGCAGAATGCAGGAACATCTTGAGGCGCTGCTTGGTGAAAGATCCCAAAAGTCGCATCAGTCTGAGGGACTTAAAGAATCATCTTTGGCTCCGCGATTAAGCTGTAAACCTGCAGCAGCAGTGACTCCTGTTCCTGAAGCAGTGAGATCTGAAAGCTTTGACCTGACTCGCCTCACGCCAAAGGAAGTGTTTTGCCAAAACTCGACCTGAAAGCGATTTGCAGATGAGATCTGCCGCACGGCTGCGTCTGGCTCCATGGTTGTTTCCTTGTGAACACTTCTCTTTGGACCAATGGGTTTTGTGCACATTTCAGCTGAAAGATCAGCCTGTACTGCTGGAGTGGAGACTTCAGACGTACAGGACTTGTGTGCAATCACGTAGTGTGCAATGCGTGATTGCACACTGATCATTTCCGATGGAATGTTCCACACAAAGTTCATTAGTTAAAGCAGATGTGTCGTCATGGAGACGACAGTGGAACCCTGACACGACAGTGTGACAGAAGTCGTCACAAACCTTCAGAATTCGTTGTCGTGTGGTGTTTCGGGTCTTACAGCTTTCGGAACACAGCTTTCAGAACCTTAGGGCGGCCGCGTGGGTGAGTGGTTAGCACTCTCGCTTCTCAGCAAGAAGGTCCTGGGTTTGAATCCCAGTCGGAACAGGACCTTTCTGAGTGGAGTTTGTATGTTCTCCCTGTGTCTGTGTAGGTTTCCTCCGGGTGCTCCGGTTTCCCCTACCACTAAAAACATTCAAGAAATAATAATAAAAACAAAAAACAAAACAAGGTTTTGCAAATGATGTGTCTCCAGTTATATATATACATACATGCAGATAGCCTTGATTTATCTGAGGGAGTTAAAGACGAAGAAATAGACAGGAATGAGTGCTGTGCATGGAGCGATGGACGCTAGCGTCTTCTGTGTGTGAGGAGGAGGAGGAGCCACTCCTGTGTGTGAGCGGAGAAGGAGGAGGAGGAGGAGCAAGACACAGGTGTCTGAGCTGCTATTACCAATGTTTAATCCAAATGTAAACATAAAAAACATTAAAAAAGCATTAACAAACAGCGTATGCCCAGCTTTAGTGCTCACTGCGAGTGCAGTGGATTTTGGGCATAAAAAGCGAATGTTGTGGTCAGAGAGTGTTGAGGGCGATGACAGAAATGTTATTTGATGGGAATGAAGGAATTCATTGAAGGAATTCATTGAAGGAATTGGGCGACAGTAGCTCAGTTGGTAGAGCATTGACCTTTGGGCCTAAAGGTCGTGGGTTCGAGCCCACCGTAAGACCTACTTCACGACTCCCACTGATGACTGCTGTCGTTGTGTCCTTGGGCAAGACACTTAACCCCACTTTGCCTGAAGCCCCCACTGAAAGATCTCAGCTCCTGTGGACTCACCACCTACAGGAGGATCAGTGAGGGGCTGGTGCTGAGTGTACTGGGTGCAGCTCTGACTGCCACCCCCCCCGACCCAGAAATGGATTAAGGGGAAGAAAATGGATGGATGGATGGATGAAGGAATTCAACAAAAAAGTCTTCCAGATTCCCTTATCCTACTTGTGTTGCACCCTCTGCTCAGAGTTTGGGAGAGGTTTGTGGTGTGTTGTGTAGAAATAGACAAAGGAGATTAATGTTATGTGTAAATTATATACACCTATATTTATATATTTTTAGAATTAATTCTTCTTGTTGTTAAAGGTTTTCAAATCTTTATTTGATGTCCGGACCCTAATCTATTGAACTGATCAAGTAAGTGGACTTCTTGCCAATTTAATTGGGGACCCCTGCTCTACAGAATCACACTTCAGTCTGTCCATAAATGTTGTCACCACTGGATAATATGTACATAGTTATTTTGCTTTCGTTTATATTGCTGCGAGGTAATCCAGCTGATGGATATTTTAATTTAATTTAACTTAATACAAGGGGTCTAAAAGACAATGTAAAGAGGAAAGCTATATTTTTGTATTTTAAAAACTTTAAATGTCACTGTCTCCTTCTTCAAGAAACTCACTCATGTGCCTCTAATGCCACCTACTGGACAACACAATGGGACAGAATCCTTTTCAGTCATGGGACCAACAGATCTGTTGGAGTTGCTATTTGTCTCAACAAGTGCCCGGTGTAGCAGGCCAGTTTAACCCCCCGCCAGAATATACCCGTGTGCGAGTATTTTATTCGTAGGTAGGTTCTGCCCATAGACTATATATTCTGCCACAGGGACCGATTTCAGCCGATCAGAGAGCTAGTCAAAAGTGACGTGTTCGGCAGATTATATTATTACCTAATAATATACACAATGTTTATCTTTATCTTTCATTATTTTTTTCTTTCACCTCACATTGAAAAAAACATGTGTCATTAATTATCATTTTACAAGACACAAACATTGAATAATTCGAAGTCAGGTGAAATACTCCTCTGTGCTGCTCCCCCGTGCTGGCCTGCGCAGCCTTGGTCTGACCCAACCATTTCATCTCTACGTGGACGCAAGCCACGTGGGCGCTGGTGCTGTCCTTAACCGCAAGTAGATAACCTTGGTATCGACAGGCCGGTCATTTTATTTCTCTAGGAAGTTCAACAAACCTCAGCTGAATTAGTCATGTTGAGAAGGAGACCTATCGTTAATTCTAGCGTTGCTACACTTTGACGTCTACCTTGAATGGCAGCGTTGAACAGTGGTCCACACCGACCATAATCCGCTCACGCGTTTTTAGTCAACTTTTAAAGTGTCCAAACCAGCGGTTTAATCGCGTTGGTCACTGTTTATTACAATCATATAACTTGGACAATTCCGCTACATCAAAGGATCCGATAACGTGGGTAGCTGACGCTCTTGGTCGCCGCTCCCGGTGTGATAGTGTTGCCAATGTATTTCCTCATCTTCTTTCTTCTTCGCTCATCCTGTATCCAGGTTTTGTGTGCACCAGTTGGCGGGACGAGGAGTGTGACCGGACGAGTGAGTTGGAGGACGCGCTGGTGGCCGTTCTATTTCTTTTGGCGCCTCTTTTGCAGGGTCCATTGGGAACCTGCATTTTAAGGGCGGGGGTGTGACGGCCCCCTCTTCTGGGCCTGTGGTGGCAGTGTTTCATTCTGACGTTCAGAAGATGATGGGAGGCAGCTGGGAAGTCATGTGACCTCCGATGTCTTAAAAAAGCGGCTTTCCCCCTCACACTCTCTCGCCGCCTGTGCTTCTGGGCACCTGCCGCGAGCCGACTCCGCTACCATTCTGGGCCCCAGTTGGACAGCCGCCACGCCAGTTTGTCTTTCATTTACACGCGCTAAGCAACACAATATATGCACTACAAAAAAACGGTAGTCCTATCTGACTTTCATAATACACATCCTTGCACCCCACAGCATACCATTCACTTACAACTGAATTCAAACCAGATTACTTTATTATTGATTAAATAAATTGCACCACAGAGGTTTAACCTCTCATTTGTCGTGTCCTTCCCCTCTCATGTTATGGTCTCACGAGCCGGGCCGTAACAGTGTGTAGACAGAGATAACCGGAGTTTTTGCGTTCTCAGCACCCACAGTACCCCCCTAAATTCACCTGATCAATGAAGCATGGATCTGACTACCTTAAAAACTGTTTGCTGTGAGATGCTCCGCAGCAGCGAACATCCTCGCTCCACATCAGAGAGCAGCAAAGTGATCGCGGGGACCTACACGCTCGAAAACAACCCAAACCAGGACTTACACCAGGACTAAAACCAGGACTAAACCAGAACCAAACAGGGCTGGAGAAACGGGTCAGTGCTTGTAAACATACGTCTTTACCTCTGAGGCTTCTATGCCTGTAAAAGTTGCCAGTTACCCGGTGTAACAGCCGAGATATTCCTTGAAGAGATGCACTGCCTCAGACCTGGTTATGATGTACAGCAAACCTGCGCATGCGCGTCTCAGCAGCCGAGCATACCAAGCATTAAGCGGGTTGCTAAAAAGTTGAAAATACGAACGTTAAGAACCAAAACGAATACTTTTTATGCAATTTGAGGCGAATGTTGATGGTCCCCCAGTTATTGTCACTAGTGGGTTTTACAAGAGTCAAAGTTTCGTGCAAAGTTTATTTTAAGGCAGTCAACTGCGCCTGTGAAACCACAAAGCTAAATGTTTTTCATAGCAGTCCCGCGGCTTGGCAGACGTAGGCTGAGACTCGTCCTGTTGGCCACTCTACACTGGTCTGGTCGGGTTTGATAATGGAAAATTGGGAAAATAATCAATCTAATTAAATATTTTGGTTGAACAAACTATTGTTAATCATATTAAATACAGTACTATACATGTATGAATGAAATTATTATTTCCATTATCAACCCGACAGACCAGTGTAAGAGTGTAGAGAGGCCACAGGACGAGTTGCCACAGGACGCGTCATCAGCCTTGACGTCAGCAGCCGCGGACTGCTATGAAAACAATTAGCTTAATGTGATTTCACAGGCGCAGGCAGTGCATCTCTTCAATGACAGTGTATCTCGCGTTACACCGGCGTCTGCATCAAAGCTCCGCCCACTTCTGTGTTTTTCCCCAACGCACGCAGAACAAGAAGTAAGAGACAGCACATGTTTGGAAATGTTACGAATGTTGATTGTTAACGCAGATGTGTGGAGACAAATTATTGTTATAAACTGAGGAGGGAATATTTTGGATTTAAAAAAAAACAGGCAGCACCACAGTCAAATGACATCTATGTTTTACTCAGTAATGTTTTAACCCGGACACTTAGGTGACTGCACATGCGCCAACAACCGCGCTCATGCAGGAAAGCTAAACAACGACAAACATGTCAGCGAGTTACACCATTTCTCCGGACTATGCCCCACTGGCCGATTCAATTCAGTGCAATCCTAAGAGTAAACTCGGGTAATGACAAAAAATTTAACATAGGTAGTTGTGTTTTGATGCTATATTGGCTCATGAGCGGTTTTGCATGTACTAAACATACAGTAGATATAAAGAATATTTTTTGAATATATGATTTTGCAATTTTTGTAGTAGGTATATATTTTGACTTATCCTTTTAATATATCGACGCTTCCATCCGTTCAATCTTATAACATTTCCCATTGGGTCCGCTGAAACTCATCCCATGCAGAAAGGTTCCACCGTGTGCAAACTGTTGCATGTTGTTTATGTGTAATTAATTCCTCCAATGAATGCGTTAAAGTCCTGATACTAATTATATCACTTCTGTTCAATGTGTGTGTCTCATGTCGTCAGGAGGAAGAAGCTGGTGAAGAAGACTCCGCATGTGCTGTGTGTGAAGCAGGACTCCAACAGCAATACAAGCGGCTGTGAGCAGGAAACAAGGTATATGACTCTTTAATGTTTTATTTAAAATACTTGTGCTTCAGTTTGAACACAATCTAATCCAATATTATCTTTGGTTTCATTCAGTCCGATTCCCGAGAAGCAGGAGTCCAGTCCGGCCCCGATCCCAGACCTAGACTGTCTCCCAGGCTCGTCATCGCTCCCACTCTGTGACCCTGAGAAATTACAGAGGTTTGTTTATTCACTGTCAGATGAGTTCAGGGTTTTGTTATGTTTTGTGTTGTGCTTATCTGAGCTGGGGACTGGTCAAATGTTTAGGCATCATAGTAAGACTTAAAGTATGTTTTGAGCTTCCAAATATTGAATATTTAGTTTGAAATTCTTAATCATTATAGAAATGATCCTTGACTTCATGACTAAATGCAACACAGAGAAAATACAATTAATGGAGAAAAGTTTGGTTGTACTTCCACGTCCAGATTTGAAAATCTGTGTCTTATATCTTTCTGCCTTTAGGGTGATGAGGCAGGGGAAGAGGCGGGGGACTCCTTATGATCGACCTGTGGATCAGGAGTCCAGCTCCAAATCTAGAAAGAGGAGCGTTGAGACCAAGGCGAAAGCGAGGTGTGAGAAATATACATGCACATACACAAGCGCACACACACACTTACGCAACCTAAGCTATCCATGTTGAGAAGGTCATTCACCTGGTAAATCACCCGGTAATTCACCCGGTTTTCCACCAGTAAATTATCCCCAAGTTTGATAAATGACCGGATCTCTTCAAACACTACCGTGCCACAAATGTGTCTTGACGCACGTGCGCCGAGGTGGACATGTAAACAAAGTTAGCATGGGAAGCGGCATGCGCTGTACTGAGGTGCTTTACCATGGATCTATAATAATTTATAGTTTTACCATTGATCTATAATAATATATAGTTTTACCATTGATCTATAATAATTTATAGTTTTACCATTGATCTATAATAATTTATAGTTTTACCATTGAGCTATTATATTATATAGTTTTACCCTGCAGCTAAACTGCAGCTAAAAGCTCTGATTATTAGCTTTTATCTGTTCATTAGCTTTCACCCGCATCATGGTAAGAAAACAGAACATTCAGTCACGCTGGTGATAAAGTATTCTGACGATTGTTTTGCGGGGATTCTATGTTTTTTACATATTTGAGGCTTGTCTCCTGAATACGTTTTGTTGAAACTTGTGACATAGTGGTTGGACTTGGAGCGAGTCAGAACATCCTATTGTACATGTTTTTATTGGTAGGGGAAACCGGAGCACCCAGAGGATATGATACAGGGAAACTCCACACAGAAAGGCCTGGAGGTTCAATGGAACCCAGGATCTTCTTGCTGTGATGCACAAGCGCTAACCACTGCGCCACAATTATATCACTTCTGTTCAATATGTGTGTATTATGTCTGTCTTTAGGAGGAAGAATCTGGAGAAGAAGACTCAGTAAAGACCATGTGTGAAGCAGGACAGCAGCACCAGCAGCAGTGAGAAGAAAGATGGTACGTGACTCATTTTGTGTTTTTTTGTCTGCCTCAGTTTGATTGATTTGGTTTCATTCAGTCCGATTTCTGAGAAGCAGGGGTCCAGTCCAATCCTGACCCTGGTTTCGATCCCAGTCCCGTCACCAACCAGTGTCCGTGAAGCAGAAACCTGTAGACAGAGGTCTGTTCATTTGTGATAGATGTCCTCTCCTCAGCAGGTTCACACCAGTAAGAATGGGAAAGCACTCAAACACTGACTACTTCATTAAAAGTCTAAACCAAGTCTGAACCAGGTGTGAACAATGCCTGGACCAGGACTGGCTTCTCCACACATCCACAGCATCATAAAAGGACATACAAAGTCCCTCATGAATGAGATCTGCATAAACATGAAGCTATTCTCAGTGGGTTTGACAGCTGAGCTGAGGGGAGAGGATTTAAAATCATTCATAACAAAAAGCATTTAGCTTTTCCAATCAGCATAAAAAAGTTAATAATAATAATAATAATGCATCGGTTTTATGTAGCGACACACAAAAACACCAACCATTCACACACAAATTCATATAGACAATGTGGGTGAAGTGTCATGCCTAAGGACACAATAACAGTTTGGCAGATTTTGTTGGACCTTTGCTTCTCTAGTAAATTGGCGCCTGCCCTCAACTGAAATAGACTTCTGAAACATGAACCAAACCCTTTTCATACTTCTAGTGAAAGAATTATAAATAAGGAACCATATGCTTCCACCCTGACTGGTTTAAACAGCATGTGGCTGTTTATGAGCTCACTTTCCCCCAGCCGCACGCTCACGTAGCCTCAAACTGACTTGGAGTTAAGCACACAGCGTGGCGTTCACCAGCTCACAGCGGCACATGAGACCTGAGAATACACTTTTTTCCATCAATGGCGATCCGTCACATAGAGCCCTATGTCCTTGATCCAGAATCGGGCTCTAATAATTTAATTAACAGTCGTATCCCGCGAGTTAGTCTCACTGTACTCACAGGTTGAGGCTCCTCGTTTGACGCTCTATCTTTTATTGTGGGAATAAAACCAGGTTTCAGGATCAGCTGCGTATTAAGTTCATTTTCCTGGCAACCGTGGTTCTTGAAACAGTCTTTACTGAAGTGTTGCTCGTAGAAAAACAGATTTGTTGCAGATTTCAGCGGCAGATCCCTGTGAAAAAATGTCCAGCCGCATTCGCTTCATCTTCGAGCCAAATAGTGTCGTCACTATTTACACCCAAAAACACATTTTCTCCAAATTGACATGATGCTAACAAAAAAGCATCCATTTAGTAGCTCCATGGTAAGGCGAACACTTACCAACAGTATGTGGGACTGTACGCTGGACTTGGGAGAGACTGCGAGCTGATTTGCTGTTTTGATTTCTCCCACCCCAGACAAGATCCCACGCAAGACGACATCTAAGCCCAGGTGTAAAACACAAAGTTAAGTCTGCAGTCATGTTGGCAAAGTCTACTCCCGCACCGCAGTCACATGATCAGCCCTACTCCCCCAGCGCTGCTACAGTCTGGCAGCTGGGGGTAGTGTAGGCATGATGTTTAACCGTCGGCCTCTGGTGACTAGAGAAACCTCTCCAGCAGGAAAGTGCCGATTCGCCGTAACACTACACCAGGTAAGACATTCTGAAGAGCTTTTGCCGACTCCTGGACAGAGTTTACTGCTAAAGCTAAAGTTTACCCAACCTTTTGCGAGTTTGATTCCCATTACTGTGAATAAATGTCTCTGGTCTAAGTTGCAGTCTCTAACCACTTGTGTTTGTGTTTGCAGAATGCAGGAACATCTTGAGGCGCTGCTTGGTGAAAGATCCCAAAAGCTGCATCAGTCTGAGGGACTTAAAGAATCATCTTTGGCTCCGCGATTAAGCTGTAAACTTGCAGCAGCAGTGACTCCTGTTCCTGAAGCAGTGAGATCTGAAAGCTTTGACCTGACTCGCCTCACGCCAAAGGAAGTGTTTTGCCTAAACTCGATCTGAAAGCAATTTGCAGATGAGATCTGCCGCATGGCTGTGTCTGGCTCCATGGTTGTTTCCTTGTGAACATTTCTCTTTGGACCAATGGGTTTTCTGCACATTTCAGCTGAAAGATCAGCCTGTACTGCTGGAGTGGAGACTTCAGACGTACAGGACTTGTGCGAGGAGTTGGATTGTACACAATTGTATTGTGCACACTACAACTCCATCACGTAGTGCTTAATGCGTGATTGTACACTGATCATTTCCGATGGAATGTTCCACACAAAGTTCATTGGTTAAAGCAGAGGTGTCGTCATGGAGACAGTGGAACCCTGACTCGACAGTGTGACAGAAGTCGTCACAAACCCTTCGGTCTTGTTTCAGCGACACACTTTGTTGTTGTGTGGTGTTTTGGATCTAGAGCTTTCGGAACACAGCTTTTAGAACCAGGCTGTGTCTTACTGTGTTTGTGGACCTTCGGTGGCTGGGTGGCACAGTGGCTGAGTGGTTAGCGTGTTCGATGTGAGCTGCCTCAGCTGTTCATGATGCTCATGGCAGCTGAAGAAAAGCAAGATGGAGGACATCAAGAAAATTGTTTAAAAATGTCAATTTTGATGCAATTTGAGGAGAGATGTTGATCTGAAAGCGATTTGCAGATGAGATCTGCCGCATGGCTGTGTCTGGCTCCACAGTTGGTACCACGTGAAAATTTCTCTTTGGATCAAAGGGTTTTGTGAACTTTTCAGCTGAAAGATCAGCCTGTACTCCTGGAGTGGAGACTTCAGTCGTACAGGACTTGTGCGAGGAGTTGGATTGTACACAATTGTATTGTGCGCAATACAACTCCATCACGTAGTGCTTAATGCGTGATTGTACACTTTTCATTTCCGATGGAATGTTCCACACAAAGTTCATTGGTTAAAGCAGAGGTGTCGTCATGGAGACAGTGGAACCCTGACTCGACAGTGTGACAGAAGTCGTCACAAACATGCTGGGTCTTGTTTCAACATGTTGTAATATGAACATCCGATTGGCTCCTGTAAAATCACACTACTGTATGATAGCATCCTATTGGCTCCTTTCAACGTAGACCGTTGACGTGGCTAACTTGACAGCTGAGAGCTTACAACTGTTCTGTCGGGTTGATAATGGAAATAATTAACAAAATCTACTGAATGTATTGACCACATGTAAGAAAACAGCTGTTGAGTTAGCCACAGGACATTGACCTGCGTCAGTAAAATTATGTATGCGACAGTTCACTCGACAAGGATGGGATGCTGTCATACAGTAGTGTGGTTTGACAGTAGCAGTTACTTAAACCCATCTTTATACAAAACTATTACTCTTAAAACTCGTATATCACAACATGGAACCATCATTATCTCGCCTCAAATTGCATTAAAATTTACATTAGTCTCTTTCTTCACTCATATTTAAACTTTTTAAACAATTCAGAGACTTTATGTCTGCCATCTTGGTTTGCCACAGCTGCCGTGAGACGTATACGCAGGTTTGCATTACATCACAAACAGCTGAGGCCGCACAACTCGACAAGCGGCAGAAACCCACAGAACAACGGTGTCCAAACCAGTTCAGAAAGGTCTGCAGACTCTGAAGGGTTAAAAGGCTGTAAACCTGCAGCAGCAGCGACTCCTGTTCCTGAAGCAGTGAGATCTGAAAGCTTTGACCTGACTCGCCTCGCGCCAAAGGAAGTGTTTTGCCAAAACTCGACCAAGTCTACTCCCGCACCGCAGTCACATGATCAGCCGTACTCCCCCAGCGCTGCTACAGTCTGGCAGCTGGGGGTAGTGTAGGCATGATGTTTAACTGTCGGCCTCTGGTGACTAGAGAAACCATCCTCTCCAGCAGGAAAGTGCCGATTCGCCGTAACACTACACCAGGTAAGACATTCTGAAGAGCTTTTGCCGACGCCTGGACAGAGTTTACTGCTAAAGTTAAAGTTTACCCAACCTTTTGCGAGTTTGATTCCCATGACTGTGAATAAATGTCTCTGGTCTAAGTTGCAGTCTCTAACCACTTGTGTTTGTGTTTGCAGAATGCAGGAACATCTTGAGGCGCTGCTTGGTGAAAGATCCCAAAAGCCGCATCAGTCTGAGGGACTTAAAGAATCATCTTTGGCTCCGCGATTAAGCTGTAAACTTGCAGCAGCAGTGACTCCTGTTCCTGAAGCAGTGAGATCTGAAAGCTTTGACCTGACTCGCCTCACGCCAAAGGAAGTGTTTTGCCTAAACTCGATCTGAAAGCAATTTGCAGATGAGATCTGCCGCACGGCTGCGTCTGGCTCCATGGTTGTTTCCTTGTGAACATTTCTCTTTGGACCAATGGGTTTTGTGCACATTTCAGCTGAAAGATCAGCCTGTACTGCTGGACTGGAGACTTCAGACGTACAGGACTTGTGTGCAATCACGTAGTGTGCAATGCGTGATTGTACACTGATCATTTCCGATGGAATGTTCCACACAAAGTTCATTAGTTAAAGCAGATGTGTCGTCATGGAGACGACAGTGGAACCCTGACACGACAGTGTGACAGAAGTCGTCACAAACCTTCAGAATTCGTTGTCGTGTGGTGTTTCGGGTCTTACAGCTTTCGGAACACAGCTTTCAGAACCTTAGGGCGGCACGGTGGCTGAGTGGTTAGCACCCTCGCTTCTCAGCAAGAAGGTCCTGGGTTTGAATCCCAGTCGGAACAGGACCTTTCTGAGTGGAGTTTGTATGTTCTCCCTGTGTCTGTGTAGGTTTCCTCCGGGTGCTCCGGTTTCCCCTACCACTAAAAACATTCAAGAAATAATAATAAAAACAAAAAACAAAACAAGGTTTTGCAAATGATGTGTCTCCAGTTATATATATACATACATGCAGATAGCCTTGATTTATCTGAGGGAGTTAAAGACGAAGAAATAGACAGGAATGAGTGCTGTGCATGGAGCGATGGACGCTAGCGTCTTCTGTGTGTGAGGAGGAGGAGGAGCCACTCCTGTGTGTGAGCGGAGAAGGAGGAGGAGGAGGAGCAAGACACAGGTGTCTGAGCTGCTATTACCAATGTTTAATCCAAATGTAAACATAAAAAACATTAAAAAAGCATTAACAAACAGCGTATACCCAGCTTTAGTGCTCACTGCGAGTGCAGTGGATTTTGGGCATAAAAAGCGAATGTTGTGGTCAGAGAGTGTTGAGGCGATGACAGAAATGTTATTTGATGGGAATGAAGGAATTCATTGAAGGAATTCATTGAAGGAATTGGGCGACAGTAGCTCAGTTGGTAGAGCATTGACCTTTGGGCCTAAAGGTCGTGGGTTCGAGCCCACCGTAAGACCTACTTCACGACTCCCACTGATGACTGCTGTCGTTGTGTCCTTGGGCAAGACACTTAACCCCACTTTGCCTGAAGCCCCCACTGAAAGATCTCAGCTCCTGTGGACTCACCACCTACAGGAGGATCAGTGAGGGGCTGGTGCTGAGTGTACTGGGTGCAGCTCTGACTGCCACCCCCCCCGACCCAGAAATGGATTAAGGGGAAGAAAATGGATGGATGGATGGATGAAGGAATTCAACAAAAAAGTCTTCCAGATTCCCTTATCCTACTTGTGTTGCACCCTCTGCTCAGAGTTTGGGAGAGGTTTGTGGTGTGTTGTGTAGAAATAGACAAAGGAGATTAATGTTATGTGTAAATTATATACACCTATATTTATATATTTTTAGAATTAATTCTTCTTGTTGTTAAAGGTTTTCAAATCTTTATTTGATGTCCGGACCCTAATCTATTGAACTGATCAAGTAAGTGGACTTCTTGCCAATTTAATTGGGGACCCCTGCTCTACAGAATCACACTTCAGTCTGTCCATAAATGTTGTCACCACTGGATAATATGTACATAGTTATTTTGCTTTCGTTTATATTGCTGCGAGGTAATCCAGCTGATGGATATTTTAATTTAATTTAACTTAATACAAGGGGTCTAAAAGACAATGTAAAGAGGAAAGCTATATTTTTGTATTTTAAAAACTTTAAATGTCACTGTCTCCTTCTTCAAGAAACTCACTCATGTGCCTCTAATGCCACCTACTGGACAACACAATGGGACAGAATCCTTTTCAGTCATGGGACCAACAGATCTGTTGGAGTTGCTATTTGTCTCAACAAGTTCCCGGTGTAGCAGGCCAGTTTAACCCCCCGCCAGAATATACCCGTGTGCGAGTATTTTATTCGTAGGTAGGTTCTGCCCATAGACTATATATTCTGCCACAGGGACCGATTTCAGCCGATCAGAGAGCTAGTCAAAAGTGACGTGTTCGGCAGATTATATTATTACCTAATAATATACACAATGTTTATCTTTATCTTTCATTATTTTTTTCTTTCACCTCACATTGAAAAAACATGTGTCATTAATTAGCATTTTACAAGACACAAACATTGAATAATAATCAATTTTTGAGTCGGGATGATGCCACCCAATCACATAGCACCAGCCCTTCACTGCTCCTCTGCAGGTGGTGAGTCCACAGGAGGATGGCTGCTCTTTGAGAGTGAGCATAGCCTTGATCTTTCAGTGGGGGCTTTTGGGCAAAGTGGGGTTAAAGGTCTTGCCCAAGGACAAAACGACAGCAGACATCAGTTAGTTTACAGTTACAATTACAGTTTTTATGACTGCTATTATCTGTTAATATTATTGCAAATTATATATACATGGTATATGTAATACAGTGAGTACATTGTGCATGTAAATTCATAAATGTTTTATTATTAGGTTGTAAAGTAATTCACCGTGGTCTGCCGGCGCACTGAACGCGTCACTCTTGACTAGCTCTCTGATTGGCTGAAATCGGTCCCTGTGGCAGAACCAGCTACGAATAAAGACCGCGACGCTGACAGGTTTTCATGGATTGCTGACAACATCGGGTTAATAAGGTTTTTAGCAACACTATATTGCTTTTTGATTCAATATCTGCTCATATTGTTTTGAAATAATCATCGTTAATTGTATCCGGGGTCCTCGTGGGTTACAGTGGCAGTATGTAGCTAGCCTGCCTGACCTGCTAGCTATCCAGCTTTTAGACAAGTTTGTTCAATATCGGATTTCTTAAACGTAATCCAACGTTTAGTATTTTCTGTTGTGTTCTGTAAAATACAATATTACTTCATTGATTCATGTAAAAAAAAAAAACGTAGATACATGAATTATAATCTCAGTTGTATAATTCACATATTGCTAAAGTTGTTATGGTTTTGAAATTGAAAATATTCCAACACTGGCCACTGAGTAGTTTAATAATCTAAACTGTATGAAATGCAAGTTGACATGGTAGAATACAAGCACAGTAACTATTTATCAATCATAGTTCCTCATCCAGTAGTAGCAATAAGATACGATAAACCTTTATTCGTCTCACAGTGTCGTCGTTACATTACAGCAGAGAAAGAAGCAAATAAGAGCACTCAGATTGCACACATCAAATAAGTCTATTATTTAAGATAATAGACAATAAAATTAAGATGAAGAATAAAATAAAATAAGAAACTCTGGGCTATAATTGCACTTGGTTCAGAAGTATTTACAGATGTGTATATTGTACTTTAGCAGCGGAGAATTTGAGAATATGAATATGAGCAGAATAAGCATAAAAATAATATAAAAAAAGTAAAGTGGCGAGAGAATAGCAGAAATATCAGATGGACATGTAATACTGCAGTAATAATAACAGGTAAAGTGACTAGTGACAAAGTAACTAGTGTATTATTAGTGACATTTGTACAGACTCAGCAGTTCTTGATACACATTCTCGTTGTACTGCTTGACAGCAGCAGGGAGGAAGGACCGCAACTGGATAGTAATAGTAGTAGTAGTACATTTGCTTGGTTCTCACACGATTCATTTGCAAAAGAAGATTAGGTCTCTTGTGTGTGCGACTTCAACAGCAAAAAGGGCCTAATACTACATAACTACCTACATTAACATTTTAGAGTAACTTGCCCAAGTCTGCCCCTAACCCATGTTCTTGTTTATCTCCAGGCAGTGAAGCGGCCTCAGCATGTTGGACCCGGGTCCGTCCACTCTGCTGGCTGCTCTCTGCGACAGCGATGGGGAGAGTTTGTTTCCTGTTTGGGAGAATGGACACATCGGTTTTTGTTTTAACGCTCTGATCTTAGCTGCTCTGCCTCACGCTGCTTTAGCCGTGGGCAGCGCTGCTTACCTCAGTGTGCACAGGTAAGAATCACCTGAAAGAGCAGCTAGAGATTGACCAATGTTCTATTCATCCCTCCCTTTTCCTTAATCCATTTCTGTGTCGGGGGCTACCAACTGAGCCACTGTCGCTCCACAATAATGTTCTAATTGGGCCTATTTCATAAGATTTGTATGGGTCTCAAATGAAAGAAAGGTTAGTTTACAGCTATTTCGAGTGGATTCCTATATTACTTTCTTACGCCAAGTTTTGGTGTGTTCCAGCAATAATGGCTAATAATGTATTGTTGTTGTATATCATGTTAAAGGCGCTATACCCGTTTCTGCAATGTTTGAATGTTTAGCACCGCCCCCCAGCTCGCTCACAGGCTTCTCATTTCCCCTACGCTCTCATAACACGGAGCCACCTAGTTTTATTTGCGATCTGACATGTATTCTAACATTAGCATTAGCGCAACTTGTAAGCTGTGCAACAATCACTGATGAAATGGTACTAAAGCAATGCACTGCTAACACAATATATAAGTAAAAGAATACGTTTCGCGTCCGGATGTATTAATTTAAACATTAGAATATATTCTAATATTTAATTATAATTTATTATACAGCTCCTCACAGCAGTAGAACACTCCATTGACTTGAATGCAATTCTTCCGATCATTTTTTCTTGATAACAGAACTCTCAAACCAATAATGACCGCAGCCCCAATGCAATCTGTTTGTAATTCAGGTGTGTAAAATACTGCCATTACTTTGCAAGTACAACAAGCTATCAGCGCCTGTCACTACATTGTGCAGTTTTCTGCACACTTGTCTGTGAAGAGAAGCTAGCTGAGCTAGCTGAGCTAGCCACGCTCAATAAACAAATACATATCAATCAATCAACACCATTAAACGTCAATCGGACAATACAGTATACATATACATCCTTAACACACATGCACGGACGATTTCAGAATTTGCTGTCAACGTTTTCATGACAAAAATACTGTTTTAAAGTGACAAAAAGCGATCGCGAAAAACCCGGAAGTGACCATGAAACAACTAGCTAGCTTAGCTGTTACCTGCCTAGCACGTCCCGGTGAAACCTTTGGGAGCTAACTATTTTATTTGCAGTCATTAAATACATTTCTAATTATAAGGGTTGTCTAATATTTGTTCAAATATGTATATATTTTTTATTTTAGAATTATATTCGAATTTTGAAGTCGAAGTCCTGGTGTTAAGCAGCGCTGTAGGGGCTAGAGGACACAGGCTGTAGAGACTAGAGGACGCAGGCTGTAGAGACTAGAGGACACAGGCTGTAGAGACTAGAGGACACAGGCTGTAGAGACTAGAGGACGCAGGCTGTAGAGACTAGAGGACACAGGCTGTAGAGACTAGAGGACACAGGCTGTAGAGGCTAGAGGACACAGGCTGTAGAGACTAGAGGACACAGGCTGTAGAGACTAGAGGACGCAGGCTGTAGAGACTAGAGGACGCAGGCTGTAGAGACTAGAGGACACAGGCTGTAGAGGCTAGAGGACACAGGCTGTAGAGACTAGAGGACACAGGCTATAGAGACTAGAGGACGCAGGCTGTAGAGACTAGAGGACACAGGCTGTAGAGGCTAGAGGACACAGGCTGTAGAGACTAGAGGACGCAGGCTGTAGAGGCTAGAGGACGCAGGCTGTAGAGGCTAGAGGACGCAGGCTGTAGAGACTAGAGGACGCAGGCTGTAGAGACTAGAGGACGCAGGCTGTAGAGACTAGAGGACACAGGCTATAGAGACTAGAGGACGCAGGCTGTTCGCTTCTCGTTCTGTGAGTGGAGGAGAACGAGCGTCCCGCTCAGACTATACTCAGCACTTTTCACTGCCTGAATTTCATACATAGTGGAATCAATGACCTCAAGTTTTCAATTAAATTATGTATTATGATACAACTTGTATGTAGTAAAAAGCATTTTTATGAACTACTTAGAAAAAAAAATCGGGTATAGCTTCTTTAATGCAGCTAAAATCTGGAACAGTCTTCCTGAAAATGTGAGACAGGCTTCTGCTCTGACAATGTTCAAATTCAGGTTATAATTTGTTTCTATTTTTGTGTATTGAGTGGTAGCTCTGACTGCCACCCCCCAACCTAGAAATGGATTAAGGGGAAGAAAATGGATGGATGGATCGATGGAGGGACTACAAGGATAGTAGTTGATTTTCTTCTGTCTTTGTGATTCTTTTCTGTCATTCTTTTCTTTCTCTGCAGGATCAGCAGTCTCCAGTCGTCTCCTCCATGCGGCTGGACATTAAGACTGGTCTCCTCTCTGCTCCTCTCTCTCCTCTTCACCTCAGACCTCGTCATCGTGTCCGTACTACAGCAAAGGGACATGTCTCTCTCCATCCTTACCACCAGCTGTGGACTTCTGGGCTGGACAATTCACTCCGGAGCTGTTTTTGCTCTCCAAAAATCAATGCACAGACGAGGCCGAGGACCTACGATACTTTTTTTACTCGTCGTCGTGTCTATACCAAATCTAATTTTTGTGTTAATGGACTACATTCAATCAGAGGACTTTCTAAACTTGCACAAACCTCTAAAAGTGACGCGGTTAGCTTTAGCGGCCGCCCGTGCGTTTGCTTTATTGCTCTATATTGGGGCCTATATGTTTCCTTGTGTAAGAGATGCTGGATATACTTTATATGTGAATGCAGTCGATGGATCACCGCTTGTTCCTGATCAAGAATTGGACACAGGTAAGAAGTTATGATCATTTGTTTTTATATTTAGGTAGTTTGGTCATTTTCTCTCAGCTTGTTTACAGCTCTTGTCCTCATATTTTTTCATACAAAGATGTTTTTGATCACTTGCAATACAGTATATGATGTCTCTCATAAATGAATTCAGCAAATTTATTGTTTAGGGTGAAACTGTAGAATTGAATTTAGGGTTTTAGGGAGACCAAAGAGGGAGACCAAAGAGAGACCAAAGAGAGACCAAAGAGAGACCAGAGAGAGACCAGAGAGAGACCAGAGAGAGACCAGAGAGAGACCAGAGAGAGACCAGAGAGAGACCAGAGAGAGACCAGAGAGAGACCAGAGAGAGACCAGAGAGAGACCAGAGAGAGACCAGAGAGAGACCAGAGAGAGACCAGAGAGAGACCAGAGAGAGACCAGAGAGAGACCAGAGAGAGACCAGAGAGAGACCAGAGACCAGAGAGAGTTTTCAACTGCCACAGTAATAGTGAAATATGTTTTAGAGATAATTTTGAATACAGTTATGCACCTAAAGCATAGTAGCGCACCAAATAATTTAACATTCAAGTTCAGGAAATTCATAGTGAGTGGCTCCGGATCATATGAAAAAGAGGAATTTGATATGGTAGTGAGTGCCTCAGACCCATTTTTCATGACTGCCACTCTAAAATTGGTTTGTTGACGACAGTGGCTCAGTTGCTAGAGCAATTGCCTTTGAGCCTGAAGGTCGTGGGTTCGTGGGCCTTCTCCACCGACTCCCACTGATGTCTGCTGTCGTTGTGTTCTTGGGCAAGACACTTAACCCCACTTTGCCTGAAGCCCCCACTGAAAGATCAAGGCTCCTGTGGACTCACCACCTGCAGGAGGATCAGCGAGGGGCTGGTGCTCTATGTACTGGGTGGCATCTCTGGCCACCCCCCCGACCCAGAAATGGATTAATGGGTAGAAAATGGATGGATGGAGATATGTTGGCCACTCTTCATTGTTGAATCCAGCCCTAAGGCATCATAACTGGACCAATGAACCAATACTGACTGATTGAGTTACAATAGAATACAATAATGCAGTAATTAAAACCCAGACTACATTTTGATTGTTCTCTTTTGCAGGTGAGATGGTCGCAGAAGACGGGAGCAGTTTCTTTTCACAACTTTTCTACCTGTGGCTTACTCCTTTGCTGCTCCGTGGCCAAAAGGGAGATTTGAACCAACCTGGCAACGTCTACCACTTGCCCTGGGCTCTGCGGACTAGTGTCATCTGCCGCCGTTTCCAAAAGAGCTGGGACCGCTGCCGTGGCCAGACCGCTCCGAACCAGGAAAACCACTGGCCAAGTCCAGTCCGAAGCTCCATTTGCTCCCAGGACAACGTGGAGTTAGAAGGAGATGTTTCGCTCGTTAAAGTTTTGCACAGAGCGTTCGGGTTGAAGTATTATCTGCTGGGTTTGTTGAAGGCGACAGAGGTTGTTCTGTCGTTTTGTGGGCCTCTTCTTCTGAACAGTTTGGTGAATTTTATGGAGGAAAAGGACGCTCCGGTCAGCACAGGGGCCTGGATCGCCTTTGGACTTTTCGCCTCTTCGCTGCTGACGTCTGTCCTCAGGAATCAGTATGTGTTTCAGGTAAGTACACTACAAAATATGCAAAAATCTACCCTGAAAGTTCAAAAGTACTTGATGTTATTCATTCATATTTCTTGTTTTGAATCTTTAAATGTCAAATCCAGCCTCGCCACATGGTATTATGGCTTTAGTGTGAGCAGATTTTTTCGCTTTTTAAATTCTAATACTGTTAACATTGTAGGGATAATTTCAAAAGTAGTTTGCAAAGCTGAAATGTCCAATCATTTCTTCTGAATTATGAGAGCAGATACATCTCTATTTAGTTAAAAAACTCCAGACTAATGACTACATTTTAAACATTTTGAAAGTTCATTGACTTGCAGTACAATTGTGTAATAATACAATACAAAGCATAAAACAAAATATTATTTGCATATTCTATTTGCTTTTCTTGTTTGGCACAATGGGTGAACAGAAAAAAAAATGTATGTCTAATATGGTAGTTGGAATTCTGCTTTGATCATACTGAGATGTGTGCAAAGACGCATTAAAGTATATATACATGAAAAAAAGGAACAAATATAATTTTTTTGTGTTGTTTCAGATTTCCAAAGTGTCCCTTTCGGCCCGAGCCGCTTTGATCTCGTCGGTCTACAGCAAAGCCCTGCGCGTCTGCGGCAGTCGCATCAGCGGCTTCTCTCTGGGGGAAGTGGTGAACCTCATGAGCACTGACACCGATCGAGTCGTCAACTTCTTCAACAGCTTCCACGAGCTCTGGAGCCTGCCTTTCCGCTTCTCTGTGGCCCTCTACCTCCTCTATCTGCAGGTCGGAACACTTATTGTTTGTCTACTTAAAGGTGCAGTGAGCGATGTTGTTAGCTTAGCCGTAGCACCAACTCGAAACCATTCCCCCCTCCCCTTGCCTCTCCACCAAACCTCCAGCATTTTCTTTTCTTTGTCACAACAGGGAGAGTGGGAGGCAAACGTGAAGTTGGCATTTTCTGTTCAGCCATTTTAGGTTTTAGAAACGAGAAACAGGAAGAGGGTGAAGGGGGTAAACGCATCCCATTGGTTTATTTTCATCAGTTCGCTCCAAAATATTTTTTATACATTTTTGGAGGCTACAGGCATCTGGTCAATTCCATTGCTATATGAAAACACATGATAACTTGACTCCTTTTAGGGTTTAGGGACGTTTTCCCACAATATTAAAAAAATGCGTCTGGTAAAAATCACTGACTGCATCTTTAAAGGTACATGTTTTTAAATTTGTATAGCACAGTTCATACACAAGGCAACTCAAAATGCTTAACAAAACTAGATAAAAACAATCACATAAAGCATTAAAATCATAAATAATCACAGTACATTAAAAAGTGTAAAGCCTCCGCATATTTAGTCCTGATCTAATCTAATCTCCACAATGCGAGCTATATACATTTTACATAGTCTCGGCTGATATAAACTCTGGACACAAGTTGATAATTATAAACCTCTTGTCTCTGCGTCTGCACAGGTGGGTGTGGCGTTCCTGGGCGGCCTCATGGTGGCGCTGCTCCTTGTCCCCTTCAATAAGCTCCTTGCTTCTCAAATTATAAAGAATAATAAAGAAATGCTCAAACACAAGGACAGCAGAGTCAAGGTGAGATTTCGTTCTGGATGTTGATTTTTCTTTGGCAACGTTTCTCCATCATTTAAATTCAGTAAAATGGAGACTTTTATTTTATGAGAGATGATGGACCTTGATTAGAAGTCTCCATCCCCCCGTTCACAATAGTATAACCCATCCTCCCTGTTGGTAAAGCTGCCTATCCTTCTTGACAAAAACCCTCTAGTTCCTGTAATTTCCTGGGCTACCTTGCATGTGCTGTATATTTAAGATCTCCCCAGATCGACTAAAATATGTCATTATTTGAAGATAGAAAAACAGTTCGGAACTCACACTACTTTTGTGTATGTTTTTGGGCTGTTTCTCTATTTTTATTCTCTTGTTATAATGTTTTTTATGGACCATTTTATATGTCTGAATTAAAGATTAAAGAACTTTAATCTGACCATTTATGGTTTATAGCGGCTGCCTGTTGTCTAAAGCTGCGGAGAGGCGAGTTGGGTCCAGTTACGATGCAATTTAATTCATAATAAACGCTGCGGTCACAGGCCAAAATGCGTGGTAAATATGAGAGAAAAATTAGTTGATAGAGTGAACTGAAGCCAAAAAAATAGCCAAAAATAAATCAAACAAAACTATACTAGCGGCCAACAAAAATTATGGCCACACAAACAGACTCCTCTCCTGTCCCTGTGCCCCAGCAAGTGTATGTCCATTCATAATCTCGTGCACCGCGCCCAGACACACATGCACGCCCAACATACATTACTCCTCCACCAGCCAAACATGAATTCATTCATACAGTGTCCGTGTCCAAACGTGTCTCCTACATGGTTCCAGGAGAAGAAAGTAATGCAGGTTTCAGGAAAATCTTGCAAAAAGTGATGCAAACTAAAACAAAAGTACATTTCTTCAAAAGACGTTTTTCTTTCAGAATTCTATCTTACTCAGGCATCATGCAAAAACGTCTTATGTACACCAATTTGACATCTGCTACTTGAGAGTGCCAACTTTATATACGGTATACAAGACACTAACAATAAGTAAAAAATGTTCAGAATATGACCGAACTTTGACATTTCTGACTTGGTAAACATTTAAGCACAACTATATATAACAAAATGATGAAATGCTTTTGTCATGTCTTCAGCTGATGACCGAGATCTTGTTTGGGATCCGGGTGATAAAGTTTTACCACTGGGAGCCTCACTTCACGACCCGAGTGTCGGAGACTCGAGCGAAGGAGCTGTCTCACCTGAAGACCCTGAAGTACCTGGATGCTCTGTGTGTGTACCTGTGGGCCGCGCTGCCGGTGCTCATCTCCATCCTCACCTTCGTCACCTACACCCTGATGGGACACGCCCTCACCGCGGCTAAGGTCAGAGACAACAGAAGCCGTCTGTAAAGGAAGACTCAATCAGACAAACATAAGATTCAGGAAATGATTGACAGTCTCAGTGTGGATAATACAGCTACACTTGTATTTTTAAACTCATAATTCAAGCTAGAATCCATCCATCCATCCATTTTCTTCCCCTTAATCCATTTCTGGGTCGGGGGGGTGGCCAGAGATGCCACCCAGTTCACAGAGCACCAGCCTCTCACTGATCCTCCTGCAGGTGGTGAGTCCACAGGAGCTGAGATCTTTCAGTAGGGGCTTCAGGCAAAGTGGGGTTAAGTGTCTTGCCTAAGGACACAACGACAGCAGTCATCAGTGGGAGTCGTGAAGTAGGTCCAAGCTAGAATCATATATAGATAAACATACATACAATCTATACATTCATACAATCTTATACATGAGATAAGAGACATTCAATCAATAAAAGAATCAATAAAGTGCAGTCAGAACTTATAACATATATTATGATTATGTAACATATACAAGAATCATAACATATTTTATTTATCAAACAAAGGTTTCGGTACCCCAAGTTTTGCTTATGATTGATAAACATTTTGCAAATTTCCTCAAATAACACAAGAAATATACTTTTTTTACTTTTTTTCTTTAGATTTTTTTTTCTGGTAGATTCAGATTCAATCACAACTGGGCTAAATATGAGAGCTGTATTGGAAGACTGAAAATATCAATAATGAAATAATTATAGCTTCACTACATTTCAGTTAACCTTTTAGAACAGATTAAATTACATGGTTGTTTTCCTGAAAATAGTAACACATTTTTAAATCCAAATATCTCTGAACTACTTTTATCAAGAAGTATTTGAAAAGAGCATGATTTATCATTGCCTTTTGACAGATTAGGGCCCTTTAATGATGACTTGACATGAAAATCTTACATATTGCTACTTTAACTTTAAAAAAATATATATCTTTGGCCTAACTAAAATTGTAACCACAATTGAGAACATTAATTTTTAAATGAAATATAACATGCCACAGTAGCCCGTTACCATCGAGGCTCCAAGTTACTCATTTCTGGTGCCACTAAAATGGTCTTCCTCCAGAGTTTGACTGATGCTTGAGTCTGTTCTTCCCCGTTCTCTGTGGCAGGTGTTCACGGCGCTGGCTCTGGTGGGGCAGCTGATCGTACCTCTGAACGCCTTTGCGTGGGTCGTGAACGGAGTCCTGGAGGCGAAAGTGTCTTTGGACCGAATCCAAAAGTTCTTCAGACTCAAGAACCAGGACCTGCAGGCTCACTACGCTCTGGGTAACTGCAACCTCTCATTATGTATGTTCCAAAGTTAAAAGTACAAACGTTGTAAAGTACAATTTTAGGACAAGTTAAGTTTGGACAAAGATATATTTATCAGTCTTTGTTTTCATCAAACCTACCAGAAAATAATATCCAAACTCATGTACAAATATAGTTAAACACTTCTGTACCGTGTGTATCTTCTTCTACTGTCGCTTTAGCCTTCTCTGGGTTTGCTAAATATCTATTGTGTCAACTTAGTGTGCACTTATGTAGATTTTGTATACAACAAACCTTCATATCTGTTTTACTCATTGATTGCACCATGAGTCAAAGCAAACTCCAAGATTCTTCCTGTTACGTACAACGGCAATTAAATAAATCTGGTTCTGATTCTGATCTGGACGGGAACATTTTAGTAATAATAAGTGGCTGCTCAGAAAATGATGCATCGTTGTGAATATTTTTCCAGTTTGCCCTGAAGACGACCAGACCTGTATTCTGTTGAACCAGGGAACTTTTTCATGGCAGAGTCTAGATCAGAACCAGGACCAAGGATCTGAAAGAGCAGAGAGACCAGAGAGAGAGGCCAAAGGCAGCCTCCTCCTGCAGGGTCTAAACCTGCACGTAACAAAGGTAAGAGAGTCAGCTGCTGGACTTTAGATTATGTCTTTGTCCAGATTATACATTTATTTTGGATTTTTCTATCACTGGTGTTTAAATAAAATGTATTGACTTCTTCAGTTCATTGTAATCTGGTGAATTCCAGGGCTCTTTGGTCGTCGTTGTGGGAAAAGTGGGATGTGGAAAGAGCTCTTTGTTGGCGGCTCTCACTGGGGAACTGCTCAGGTATTCATTTTTGTTTCTTGTACATACATATTATATAGCTAATAGCTGAAGTATCCGAGTATTTTTAGTTGTTTTGGCAACAGGCCTCCATTTACTGCTGTTGTCAATAATTCCTTTGGATTAACCAATTGCCCAAATGCTGCAAATCTGCCAAAGAGGTTGTGTTTTCATTAGGGCTGTCAAACAATTAAAATTTGTAGTTAATTACACGGTCACATGCATATTCTTTTTTAACTTGAATTCCCAGAGGGCCTATCTGCTCTGTCTACATCTTACACACGTGTCCGTGGCATTCTGAGTGTTATTATGGGATGCAGGGGCGGGTCATTCGATACATGCGTCAAATGTGTTTTTTAACGCGATGAATGAAAACATGTAATTAATGTCCAGTAACGCGATAATTTTGACAGCCCTAGTTTTAATTGGTTTTGATGGTTTATTAACAAGCCAAAAACGTATATGTTTTACGAAATGTTCAAGAAAAATGGATCAAGGATGGATCGAGGATGTTGTAGAGTGCTTGCTCGTTCAGATTATCATTTACAAACTAGGGATTGACCAAAATGAAACAAACGAAACACATTTTTTGATTATTATTTCTATTTTTATTGTTATTATTAAAGACAACAAAACACAACAACATTCAACAAGAACACAAAACAAAAACACAACACAAAAGTGCAATCCCATACGGAACAAACATGACAACAACAAAAACTACATAATATATAAATAAATAAAATAAACATATCACATACCAATCCATGTTTTCTGGATTTTAAAAGTAATAATTAGATGGGTGGATGGACCAATGGACAGTAGAGTCTGCTGATCCCTTTTTTCTTGTTGATGCATTTTAAATGTCCTTGTGAATTGTGCTTTACAAATAAACTTGCCTTTATCTGAATCAAAGCGGCTACTGTCCTCTCCTCTTCAGGTTGAGTGGGGTGGTGTTTGTGGCCGGCCGGGAGCAGGGTTTCGGTCTGGCCTCTCAGGAGACCTGGATCCAGCACGCTTCAGTCCGGGACAATATTCTGTTCGGGAAAAACTACGATCCAGACTTTTATCAGCGAGTCGTCGAGGCCTGTGCTCTCAGCGACGACCTGAATGTGAGTTTATGTACGGTTTATCCAGTAATATTGTTATATTCCAGGCCTCTGGGAACACTGGGGAATGGCAGAGACAAGACTGCAGAAAGGAAACGAGGGTTACGTATGTAACCACGGTTCTATGAATCCCGGATGACCGCCAGAGGGCGGTGCATAGCACTGAATGTTCCCTTCGCGCATGCGCAGTTCGAGTAATAATACCAAATGAGTCACACCTGTGACCCCCTGGGTGACACACCGGAGGTAATAAATTCCAGCGTCATCCAGCACTCTGTTCCTGCAGAATCTTCTCGCGGATGCAAGTACCCTGAGTGACAGAGCGCCTCTGGCGGTCATCCAGGATTCATAGAACCGTGGTTACATACGTAACCCTCGTTCTATTTCATCCTTTCAGACCGCCAGAGGGCGGTGCATAGCACTGAATGACCTTATACCAGCTATGTCACAAAGGATCTTGACCACACACCTCACGGAGGAGAGCCAGAGGATTCCTGAAGGACCACGCCAAGAGGAGCCGGAGTGGCCACATTGATGTTGTAGAATCCGGTGAACGTGCTTGGTGTAGCCCAAGACGCAGCAGCACAAATAGTTCCCAACGGCACCCCGCGCATAGCGGCCCAGGAGGCAGAGACACCCCTGGTAGAATGGGCCCTCACCGTGGCTGGCGGGTCGCGGCCGGCCGAAACATACGCCTGACTGATAACGTCAACCACCCAGTGGGAAAGGCGTTGCTTCGAAAGTGGACTTCCCAGTCTAGCATCACCATAAGCAACAAAGAGCTGGTTTGAGCGCCTCACACCTGCCGTCGCAGCAACGTAGGCCTCCAATGCCCTCACAGGACACAGCAGGTGCAGTCTGTCCTCACCCCAATTCAGGGGGGACACAAACCGCGCCAACCTCAAAGGCCGGTTACAATAGTCACGGGAAAGCACCTTAGGGAGGAAAGTGGGATTAGGCCACAAGACCACGCCAGCCCTCTCAGGATCCCAGTGTAGGCATGAGGGACTGACAAAGTGCATGCAACTCACCGACCCTTTTTGCAGAGACCACAGCCAACAGGAAAGCAGTCTTATAGGAGAGCCACTTGAGGTCCGTTCGGGCCAATGGCTCATACGGAGGGCGGCAGAGAGACTCCAACACCAAGGCCAGGTCCCAAACCGGAGACCGCGCGGGCACGCGAGGGTGCAGCCTACGAGCTCCGCGTAAAAAGAGAGACACCAGGTTATGGCCCCACAGTACAGTTATCAACCTGGCCATGATAACATGAAATAGCAGCAACATATACCTTCAGAGTAGATGGGGCCCGACCTTCATCCAGGAGAGACTGAAGGAATTCCAGGACAACCGCCACCGGGCACGACACGGGATCCCGACCGCGGGAAGAACACCAGCGGGAGAACAACTTCCACCTGTTCTCATACAGCCGCCGAGTAGAGGCCGCCCTGGCATTCAGGAGTGTACGCCTGACAGGGCCAGTGACATCGAGTGCCCGCAGCTCGGGCCAGCCAACGGCCATACCCATAACTTGAGGCGGTGAGAACAGGGATGCCACACCTGACCGTCCAGCTGTGAGAGCAGATCCCGCCTGGGAGGGAGAGGCCAGGGAGGGAGAGGCCAGGGGGGAGCCCAACAAAGTCTGAGTAGCAGTGGAAACCAGGGCCGTGCAGGCCAAAATGGAGCCACCAGTAATAAACTGTGCCCCGCCCGAAGGACCCTCTGGAGGGTTGGCCAGATCAGAGGAAAAGGGGGGAAGGCGTACAGGAGGGCCTGAGGCCAACTGTGCGCCAGGGCATCCTGGCCGAGAGAGCCCGGAGCCCCGTCCAGGGAAAAAAACTGAGGGCAATGAGTGGAGGCCACCGAAGCGAATAGGTCCACCTGTGCCCGACCAAAAAGGCCCCACACCCTCTGGACCACACCGGGGTGGAGACACCATTCCCCCGGGGCAGGCCTCCCGCGAGACAGGGAGTCCGCCACGCGATTGCAGTCCCCTGGCAGATACGCTGCACGCAGTGTAGCCAGGCGAGGCGCAGCCCAAACCAGCAGAGCCTGAGACACCTCGAGGAGCCGAGCCGATCGGACACCCCCTTGATGGTTGATGTGATACACGGCCGAGGTGTTGTCCGAACGAACGAGGACATGTTTCCCCAGCAGGCGAGGCAAAAACCCCTGGAGAGCAAGGTGGACGGCCCGAAGCTCCAGTACATTTATGTGGTCTGAGCGCTCCGCCCGAGACCAAACCCCTCGGGCCAACCTGTGCTGCCACACAGCACCCCATCCCGTACGGCTGGCGTCGGTGGTGACCACTTCCCTGCGGCACACTACCACCCCCAAGGGGACCCCATGTGACAGGAGACCCCGGTCCCTCCATGGAGCCAAAGCACGAAAACATGCCCACGTCACCCGTAACCGTCTGTGGCGGTGACGAACGGCATCCAAACGAAACCCGTTCAGCCACCTCTGCAACGGGCGAAGCGAAAGCAGCCCGAGTGGAACCACACGAGAGATCGAGGCCAGCTTCCCCACCAGCTGTAGAAAGCTGACGTAACTGTGCAGGGTGCCAAGACCGAAACGGGACACCACACCGTGGATGTCGACCAGGCGGCGCACGGACGGACGCGCCGTCATAGTCACAGTGTTCAGACTCAGGCCAAGAAAAACAGCGGCTTGTGAAGGCACCAGGCTGCTCTTTTCGAAATTGACCCTGAAACCCAAGCGGGCGACATGAGTCAGAAGGCGCTCCGTATCTTCCAAGGACCGTGCCCTGGACGGGGCGCAGATCAGCCAATCGTCCAGATAAGGCAACACCTTCATGCCACTGGCCTGCAGCGGAGCAAGAGCCGCCTTCACGCATCAAGTGAAAACCCTCGGAGAGAGAGAGAGGCCAAAGGGAAGAACCCTGAACTGCCAGTGAACGCCCCGATAGGCGAACCGGAGGAACCGCCGGTGGGGCTGCGCAATGGGCACGTGAAAATACGCGTCCCTCAAATCTACGGACGTGAACCATTCCCCGGCCCCAACAGTCTGAAGGACTTCCGCAGTCGTCAGCATGCGAAACGGAATGACCTTCAGGAAATGATTCAAGCCCCTCAGATCCAGAATTGGTCGAAAACCCCCCGTCTTCTTGGGCACGAGAAAATAACGGGAGTAATAACCCCTGGGTTGCAGCAGCGGATCTACCGCCTCGATGGCACCCTTGGTCAGGAGGGCGGAGAGCTCCTGATCCAAGATAAAGGCTTTTGCCGGGTCCGAGAACAAAGTAACCTTGACCCGGCCCGACAAGTGCGGCCGGCGTCGGAGTTGCAGACGGTATCCGTGGGTCAATGTGGCAACCACCCACGGATCCCGAGCTCGAGCAGCCCAACACTCGAGCTGCTGATGGGAAAAATGTCCGACGCTCGGCCCTGAGGCGTCAATTCCGCGCCCCCCGCCCCCTAGGGGCTCTGGGGGGACCTCGCCCAGGACCAGCCGCGGCGCCACTTGGCTGGCGGGTCGGGCGCCTATGTACGGGTGGGGCACGAAAATTCCCGGCAGGCCTGACCTGGGGAAAACGCTGAGTACCAGACCAATCCCGAGGAGGCTGCCGAACACCGGGGGCCACCATCGGGCGCAAAAACTGCCGGGGAGGGCGCACCACCCTGCTAAGGCTAGAAAGTTGCTGTCTAGTCTGACCAGCATGGACAGTCCGGTCCAATGCTTCCTGGGCCGCCGTCCCAAACAACTGACCCGGCTCGACAGGCACGTCACGGAGGGTCCTACGACAGGCCTCAGTCAGGGGAGACTGAGCCAGCCATACCTGCCGACGAGCCTGTACAAGGACCGACATGACCCGTCCGAGTTCCCTGGTCATCAAGGCAAAAGCATGCAGAGCTGCGTCGCTAAACGCAGTAACATCAGTGCCCACAGCACTACCCTCTTGGAGGGAGGCAGACAGGGCAAGCAGCAGATGCGCTAAGGAGTTACCAATACGGCCAGCTCGAGCACCAGAATTGTAGGCCTTTGTTAGCAAGTGATCCGTCGCACGACACTGGCTCCGAGGGCACCTCACATTCTCCCGCAAGGACTCCTCCGGGGAAACAATGAGGGAGGCAACCGCCGGCTCAACAGCCGGCATGCAATCCAGGCCAGCCGAAGAGGCATCGTGCATCGCGGCCAAAGCCCGACCCTCAGCCGAAAGCTTAGAGAGACGGCTCCTTCAGCACGCGTGTAGCTCCTTCAGATACTCCGCGGACGGGGGCACAACAAAAGCAGGAGACGAACCACCACGCCTGAAAAAAGCACTGCCAGGGTCAGCCTGTTCCGACTGGGGAAGTTCCACCTGCAGACGGGATAAGGCCCTGCGAAGAACCTCCTGCATTGAGCCGTCACCAGACCGGCTGGACACACTATGTGCGGAAGAATAAGCATCGTCCCCCGAAAGGGACCGCGCGTCATCCTCGTCCCGGAAGCACGAAGCAGATGCCGCCAGAGAAAGCACATCCTCTTCCGGATGGAGGGATGGCATGGAGCAAGAACCAGCCCCAGAGACGGCATCAGCAGCACAACGTGCCTGGAATGCAGATTTCATTGCCTCCAACTCTGCAGATAACTGCTCCACCCTCGACACCAGGACAGCATCCGGCTTGGCCTGCTTGGAAGGACCATGGCCATCAGACCGCTCCCCTGAAGCACAGGCCTCAGCACGGCGGTTAGAACGCCGAGGGGGCGGAGCCACAGCAGGTCCCACTGGCAAACTACCACCGTCGCCAGACGAAGGCAGCTGAACCAGCCTCGCCACCCTAACAGCCCAGGGCAAGCAGCTGCAGTTCATGCACGGGTTATCGGACACTGCCTCCCTCAAGTGAGTGGGGCCGAGGCACGCCGGACACAGGTCATGGCCGTCATCAACATCGAGTGCTGACCCGCAGCCCACACACGCATGTGACCCGTCCATAACAAGGTGGTTTTTTTTTTTTTTTTTTTTTTTTTACCAAATTATTATTCTTGTTTCGTCTGTCTGTGTCGTTAATTCAATATGTAACTAATCCCAAACGGTATACAAACTGCAGAACCGAATCAACGTACTGCAGTTCCACAACAGAAAAGCCAAATATAGCACGGTGGAGGAGCGGACGCGCGAACAGCAGCCTTCACACCACACAATGCACCCGCAGCAAAATGCCACTCGAATAAAGTAGTGATGGAGGAGAGGGCGCGCGAACAGCAGCCGTCACACCACACAATACACAGGAAGCAAAGGCTAACCCAAATAAGAACCGATGGAGGAGCGGGCTAACGAACCGCAGCCTCACACCACTCAATACACAGTTAGCAAAAGCTAACTCAAACATGCACAGGCGGAGGAGCAGGCCAACGAACCGCAGCCTTCACACCACGAAATGCATGTACCAAAAGAAAGTACTGACGGAGGAGCGGGCGCCACAGCAGCCTTCACACCAACCAATACACACGCATATAGTACAGAAAACACCAATAAATACCCGAAGGACAACGTCACCGTCGCGCCCCACGGAGGGCGAACCGCAGCTCCGATGAAGAGGGCTTTCAGCGACAGACGTTGACGAAGTTCAAGCAGCAACGATTCGAACCGCACGCGAGAAGAAAAAAGGAACAGAGTGCTGGATGACGCTGGAATTTATTACCTCCGGTGTGTCACCCAGGGGGTCACAGGTGTGACTCATTTGGTATTATTACTCGAACTGCGCATGCGCGAAGGGAACATTCAGTGCTATGCACCGCCCTCTGGCGGTCTGAAGGGATGAAATAGAACTACAAATTCTCAATAAAACTTTAGTGTTCCAAAATAAAAGTATGAGGATGAGGAGCATGTGAATGAGGAATGAGGATAAGGAAGCTGGTATAGGTTCCTGATCTACATTTGTCGTTGTTGTTGCAGGTTTTGCCGAACGGTGACAGGACGGAGGTCGGTGAGAACGGAGTGACTCTGAGCGGAGGACAGAAAGCCAGACTCGCTTTGGCTCGAGCGGTTTACATGGTGAGCTCACAGTACTGAAAACTCTCACTTCATTAACATACAAACATTATCATCTTGGGCAGGGGTGTCCAAACATTTTAGTAAGAGGGCCACTATAGTTCAAGGCTTTGACGGTTCTTTTATTAAGACAAGAAAGTAAAGAAAGCTAGTACTGCTTACTTACCTGACTCAGCTGTTGTTGCCGGATGTGGTCAGTCTGACAGATCTCACAGATCCGTCAGACTGACCGCGTCCCCCGCCATGTTGTAGTCTCTGGAGAAGTGAATCCCAAGTGTGAGCCAAGGTGAAAGCCCCCTCGTCTCTGTTGATGGTCTGTGCACCCCGCTTCCTGATTTCAATCGCCTCTCGTATCCATCTTTTGTGTTTATGTTCTTCTGTTCCTACTATTTTTGAATTGTCCCAGTTCATTATATGATTTTCTCTTTTGCAGTGGTCTGATATTGTCAATTTGAGGTTTTCCTGTGTTGCCTTTTCCTTGGTTGTTCATGTTAGTCGTGCTGCCGTTTCTTTTTCGCATTCCTTTTTTATGTTCCTTTCACTATGGCCACTATAGTTCACCAGACTTATCCAGGGGCCAATGGAATGTAAAACAGTTTGGACTGGATTTGTACTGTTCGGGGCTTTAAAATGGAGTGTAATCTCTCCCTTTTGATTAGCGTCAAAGCTACATTAGCGTCATATTTGAAATCTTGTGACGCAATCAAAAACTTTCAATCTATATGGTTCAAATGTCACATAGTTTTCATTTTGTGTCCAGAACAAACAGATCTACCTCCTGGACGACCCTCTGGCGGCTGTGGACGCTGATGTGGCCGAGCACCTGATGAAGAGGTGCATCATGGACCTTCTGAAGGACAAGACCAGGATCCTCTGCACCCACCGCATCGAGTGTGTGGACAAAGCTGATCTGGTCGTCCTGATGGAAGATGGGAAAATTATCAAAACAGGTGGGAGGCTACTTCCTTATGATACTCCATTTTGCTCTTACCTCAAAGCTGGGATACGTAACTTTTAACTCACAATAGATTTAACTATGCAATAATATCTATCGCTCTATATCTATGTAGTTACTCTCTCAAAACGGTTTCATTTGTTTATGTATTTGAAAAAGTAAACAAGAAGATCTGTGCATGGTTTGAAATTAAGGGATTGGTTGAATCAAAAAGATTATTTGAATCCAATCCCCTCCCAGTCATTCAGACACATACTACAATACTATACAAAGGAAAAGAATCAAAACCCTACAATTCCCACCAACAAAACGAATGACAGCTAACGACATAAACACACACACACACATTCACTCACTCTCACTTACTCACTCACTAACACTCTCACACTCACTCACTCTCACTTACTCACTAACACTCTCACACTCGCTCACTCTCACACTCTCTCACTCACACTCACCCACTATCACTCACTCACTCACACTCACTCACTAACACTCTCACACTCACTCACACACTCACTCACTAACACTCTCACACTCACTCACACACTCACTCACTAACACTCTCACACTCACTCACTCACTCACTCACACTCACTCTCACACTCACTCACTCTCACACTAACTCACTCACTCTCACACTCTCACTCACTCACTCACTCACTCACACTCACTAACACTCTCACACTCACTCACTAACACTCTCACTCTCACACTCTCACTCACTCACACTCACTCACTAACACTCTCACTCTCACACTCTCACTCACTAACACTCTCACACTCTCACTCACTAACACTCTCACTCTCACACTCTCACTCACTCACACTCACTCACTAACACTCTCACTCTCACACTCTCACTCACTAACACTCTCACACTCTCACTAACTCACTCACACTCACTCACTAACACTCTCACTCACTCACTCACTCACTAACACTCTCACACTCACTCACTCTCACACTCACTCACTCTCACACTCACACTCGCTCACTCACTCACACACTCACTCACTCACTCACTCACTCTCACACACTCACTCACAGTGTTGGGCACGTTACTTTGAAAAAGTAATTAGTTATAGTTACTAGTTACTTCTCCCAAAAAGTAACTGAGTTACTAACGGAGTTACTCCACTATAAAAGTAACTAGTTACCAGTAAAAGTAACTATTGCGTTACTTTTTCGTTTTGTTCTGGAACATAATGTGCACCCGACGTGCGCATTTTTACCTTTAACAGTGCCAATATTTCCATCTAGAAAAAGCTGTTTTGCTGCTGAAGTCCTGTTCACTCTTCATCTCTCACTGTGCTGTAAAGCCCGCCACTGTGAATGTGGAAACACCGGTGACGAGCGGTGAGGCTGGTGAAGCACTGACTTCAGTCCAATCAGATGGACATATTTATCATATAAATCAAGTGGACAATTTGTTTGGCTACAGCAAAATATGTTTTATGCCCGCATTGTTTGTTCATACAAAACGCAAAACTATGAGTTATGGGTCTTACCTTATGCTATACCTTATAAATGACCTGCACAGTCCACTTCGGTTCAGACCAGTTCCTTGTTTAAATCCAGTGAATGGTTTGAGCGTAGATATGTAATCCTCCATTTGGAAATGAGTCCAATGAGTTTTAAAAAGTAAAACAAAACGCGTGTGTCCTCCATAAACTCCTGTGTTTTGCTAGCGGCAGCCGAGTGCATCCAATTTCTAAAATCAACCGTCTTACACTTCACCTCTCTTTCTTCTCATTCCTATAGTAATTGAAAAATTACCCTAAGTGCATTTTAGATTATGTAAAAATGTGTTATATGTATGTTAGCCAAACCTGTTGCTGTCCTTAGCAGATAAACCAGGAAGAGCAAGGAGCTTATCGATGGAATTGTATGCAGCCGACTTCTGCGCTCACATGCGCTACTCTGTGGCTGACCTCACGGTGATACAAGCCGTGGTTTAGCGCAATTAAGACCCATATTTGTTTCAAAAACACAATTTATGAGCCATCCTCTCAACTGTAGACATGTGGATTGTAAAGGAAATATGATTTACATCAGCCAATAATTGCTGAGAGGTTTTCTCATCCTCCCTTCTCTCATGACAACACGTTCATTGAGTAACGCGCAGTAACGGGATGTCGGAAATGATAACGGCGTTATAGTTACTGTCAAAGTAATTAGTTAGATTACTCGTTACTGAAAAAAGTAACGCCGTTATTCCCATCACTGCTCACTCTCACTCACTCACTCACTCACACACTCTCACTCACTCACTCACTCACACACTCTCACTCACTCACTCTCACACACTCTCACACACTCACTCACTCACACTCACCCACTCTCACACTCACTCACTCACTCACACATTCACACTCACTCACTCACTCTCACACACTCTCACACACTCACTCACTCACTCACACTCACTCTCACACTCACTCACTCACTCACTCACACACTCACACTCTCACACTCACACTCACTCACTCACACTCTCACACTGACTCTCTCTCTCTCTCACACTCACTCACTCACTCTCACACTTACGGCAAGAGACAAGACCAGACCAAGACAACACTGAGACCCAAAAACACTCGCTAAGTTTTGTTCTACACTAGTTTTCACATGTATGTACTTTTTTCTCTAAATCAGCTTTTTCAGATAGAAAAGTGAAAAAGAGAGAACCACCTCACTCAGCCAATCAGCTTTCAGCTCAAAGAATCAAACAGTGACTCACAAGATTCAGCCATGATCATTATTATCCATGTTTTCTAATGACATTATGTATGCTGTGGTCTGATTTGTTCACACCATGTTATGTTTACAATACTATTTCTGTTGGTAAAACAAAATGTAGTATTTATAAAAAACAAAATATGAATCCCAGCTTTAAAACTATTACCTCTTTTAAAAAACCAAGTGGGATTTCCTTCTTTATTCTTCTTATTCATCAATATTTGTACCTGTTTGTGTGTCCTTAGGGTCTCCAGCTGAAATAATTCCTTTGGTAGAGGTTGCACCCAACACTCGGAAGAATAAGGACAGGACTGAGAGTGGTATGTGCGTTCCATTTATAAAACCTTTTTTTTTTTTTTTTTCTTTTTACTTTTCTCCCTCACTAAAGCTGTTTGTAGCTTCATTCGTGATCATACAGTATAAGGAACTTCTGTCACAAATCAAACTCATTACCGTGTCTCTTTTGTCTAAATGCACATGATTCCAACATGACAGATCCTTACACTCATGAGGTTTATGCTGTACTTTAGTTTGGGGAATTTCTCCAGTTAAATTACATTCTTTACAACATTCTTCAATTGGATCATGTTAAATCGCAGGTAGGTAATTCCCTCTTCTGCCACTAAATGGGAGGTATGTGCTTTCTCCTCATGTTTACCCATATAATCTCCATAACAAATTATTATTATTTCTCATTATAAAACATGAAATGGCAAAGAAATAGCACAGATAATGGCCATAGTAAATATTGTACATAAATATAAGGCATTGTGATTGTTCTTTAAAGAGACATTATAGGGACCGGGTCAAACGCAGATACTAATGACTGTTTCCTGTTGGTAGAGAGAAATATATTATCTATAAAGTAATACTGATGTCTGTGAAAGGTGCTATATAAATAAATATTACATACTTACTAAGGATCTCCTTAATATTGTTGTGATTTTTCAGATGATGTAGAACCAGAAGAGGAGGGGTCAATGTCGCCGCTGTCTGACCCCAGGGACAGTGAGTTGTCTGGGGCAGAGCAGAAGGCGGTGGGGGGGCTGGCCTGGAGCGTGTGCCGGTCGTACTGGAGGTCTGTGGGAGCGGCTCTGGCTTCGTCTGTGCTGCTGTCTCTGCTGCTAATGCAAGGTTTGGATCTGCTCTTCAGGCTCAAATATTTATGCAATCATCCATCAGTTTTCTTTCGCTTTATCCGTCGCCGCGTTGACACTCTATGTGCAATATATATATAACATTTTCTAAACTTTCACACAGTACTCACAATTTTAAGACATACTTTGTTGGCCTTTTTTCCTTTTCCCTTTTCCCTTTCTATGTCTTACATGGAAAATATTTTGAATATTTATATATTTATTTCATATGACAATACATGACAATACATAACACTCACAATAACATTTCCAAAAATTGTAGGTTTTGTCTCATGAATGAAAAGAAGCAGAAAGAGAAAAAAATTGGCTTGTGTTCATTACATTGCTTCAGTCAATCAATCATTTTATAAAACTTGTGAAATGTATTATTACTATTTCACAGTATTTTTATTTTTTCATAACCCTAACCCCTAACATTTAAACTAAGGCTTGTTTCTGTCTATCACAATAAAATTATAGCACTTTTTTCTATTCTATTTCAGCCTCCAAGAACGTGTCCGACTGGTGGCTGTCCTACTGGATCTCACAGCTCAGAAACAATGGTTCTCACACTTTGAATGGTTCCTACTCCAGCGTCGACATCTCTCCTCATCTGCTGCTCTTCTCCCATTACCAACTTGTGTAAGCTTCTCAAGCAGGCCTGTCCAAACTCAGGCCCGTGGGCTAAATGCGGCCCCTCTGTGTCATTGTATGTGGCCTTCTGACTTGCTAATACAAAGTAGCCATTGAGGTACTTTTACAGCGTCATCCAGCCAACTTTAGCTCCACCAAAACAGACATATTATATCTTGTTGTAAAGCTGGGAACCTTTGGAATCCAATCATAACTACAATTCAATTTACTCTGGCATTGCCCTAAAGATCACAACAGTAGTTATTATCTCAGAGGACTTTACAAAATGATTCATGTTGATTCGCCAACACAAATTAGAGAATCAAATGGTTCAAACACAAAGATCAAAAATACATAGAGCCATTGGTCTGTGAGGGGGCGGAGACCGATGTTCATAATGTTGATTAAGTCTATAAATGTCAGTGAATATTGACATTTTAGATCAGAAATGTTAAAGCCCCGAACAGTCTGATCCCAATCAAAACCGTTTTCAGAATCAGAATCCTTTTTATTGCCATTTAGGTAACAGGAAGTGACAGACTAGGAAATGTCTTTGGTTCTCTGTGCAAACAAGTCAAGTCGAGACTAGAAAAAAGGCATAATGAAAATCTACATACATTTCTGAAAAATAAAAAAACAATATTGTCTGCCTCTGGACAAGTCAAGGTGAACTAAAGTGGCCGTCTGACTAAAACATTTGGATCTATAGCGATACTGGATGTTGTAAGTACACAGCCTTATTCCTCTATTGTCCACCCCCCCCCCCCCCCCCCAGGTCTCCTCTGCCGTCGGTTCAGCTCCAGAACGCCCTGAGTTCCGATGTGAAGTTTTACCTGTCTGTTTACGGAGGCATCGCTGTGGCTAATACCGTGTTCACTGCACTGAGAGCGTTCCTGTTCGCCTACGGAGCCATCTGCGCCGCCACCGCCGTCCACAACAGACTGCTGGACCGAGTGCTGAAGGTAACGGCAAAATTGTGTAAAACATGGTAAATATGCACATCATGAACTTTAAACAACTCTTTAACACTAATATTATGGCATAATATCTGTAAGGCCAGTCCCACTGAGAAACTTGGGTTGAAACCACTCACTGAAGCGTGTTGAGAGAATTGTGCGACCGAATATATTGACAAGGAAAGTAAACCAACCCATAAACCTGGAAGGGTTAATTAAAAAGAGATTTGTGATTAGCATACATTCTCTTATACGGCCCTTTAATCAGAATCAGAATCAGAATCATTTTTATTGCCAACGTAAGTAACAGGAGGTCACAGACTTGGAAATTGCTTTGGCTCAGTGCAACAGTCAAAAAGAGATAATAAAAATAAGAATAAAAAACACTTCTAAAGAATAAATTTAAAATTTAAAATAGAGTTACAGTTACTATTTACAATATACAAGTGCACATGGTGCACACAATGTAAGGTGACAGCAGTACAGTGAAGTAAAGTGACGTATGATGGGCAGTAAAGTGACTTTAAAAGGGCGGGGGGACAGGTTAAGAAGTGTTCAAGAGTCCAACAGCAGAGGGGAAGAAACTGTTCTTGTGGCGGGAGGTTCTAGTCCTGATGGACCGCAGCCTCCTGCCTGAGGGGAGTGGTTGGAATAGTCCATGTGCAGGGTGAGAGGGGTCGGCTGTGATACGACCAGCCCGGCCTCGAGCTCGGGCGACGTACAGGTCCTGCAGCGATGGAAGGCTGCGGCCGATCACTTCCTCTGCAGAGCGCACAATGCGCTGTAGTCTCTGTTTGTCCCTGACTGTGGCTCCAGCGAACCACACGGTGATGGAGGAGGTGAGGATGGACTCGATGATGGCCGTGTAGAACTGCACCAACATCTGTGCAGGCAGCTTGGCTTTCCTGAGCTGCCGCAGGAAGTACATCCTCTGCTGGGCCTTCTTGATGAGGGAGCTGATGGTCGGCTCCCACTTGAGGTCCTGGGTGATGGTGGTGCCCAGGAAACGGAAGGACTCCACAGAGGTGATGGGGGAGTCCATCACGGAGGGTGGGGGCGGGGGGACAGTGCTCTTCCTGAAGTCCACAATCATCTCCATTGTCTTCTGGGCGTTCAGCTCCAGGTTGTTACCACTGCACCAGGACACCAGCCGGTCCACCTCCCTCCTGTAGGCGGACTCATCGTTGTTGGAGATGAGTCCAATGAGGGTGGTGTCGTCCGCGAACTTGATCAGCTTCACGGAGTCGTGGCTGGAGGTGCAGTGGTTGGTGTACAGGGAGAAGAGCAGGGGAGAAAGAACACAGCCCTGTGGGGCTCCTGTATTTATAATCCGAGAGTCCGAGACATTCTTCCCCAGACGCACTCGCTGCTTCCTGTCCGTCAGGAAGTCAGTGATCCACCTGCAGGTGGAATCGGGCACGTTGAGCTGGGAGAGCTTGTCCTGGAGCAGGGATGGCAGGATTGTGTTGAAGGCAGAGCTGAAGTCCACGAACAGGACCCTGGCGTAGGTCCCCGGGGAGTCCAGGTGCTGTAGGATGTGGTGGAGGGCCAGGTTAATGGCGTCGTCTACAGATCTGTTGGCTCTGTAGGCGGGTCCAGGAGGGGGGAGGTGAGGGACTTGAGATGGGAGAGAACCAGGCGTTCAAATGACTTCATGACGACAGACGTAAGTGCTACAGGTCTGTAGTCATTGAGTCCTGTGATCCTGGGCTTCTTCGGGACGGGGACAATGATGGAGGATTTGAAGCAGGCCGGGACATGGCAGGACTGCAGAGAGGTGTTGAAAATGTCCGTGAACACAGGAGTAAGCTCACTGGCGCAGTGTCTCAGAGTGGCCGGAGACACGTGGTCCGGGCCAGGAGCTTTGCGGGGGTGCAGCCTCAGGAAGAGTTGTTTAATCTCTTTAGCGGCTATTGTTAGGCTGGGGGCAGGGCTGATGGGTGGGTCGTTAGAGTAGTGGGGGGTGGGGGAGGGAGAGGTGTCAGGGGCAGCATCAAAGCGACTGAAAAATAAGTTCAGATCGTCAGCTAGCTTGTGGTCATCAGCACAGGGGGGGGGCTTTGGGTTTGTAGTTGGTGATCTCCCGTAGGCCCCTCCAGACAGAAGCAGTATCGTTGTTACCAAACTGCTCCTGTAGTCGTTCTCTGTGCCGGGACTTGGCTGCTTTCAGTTCTTTCCTGAACTGATATTTAGCTGCTTTGTAGCCGCTGCGGTCCCCCTCCCTGAAAGCAGACTCCTTTGCTTTCCTGAGCTGCCGGATTTTAGCAGTGAACCAGGGTTTGTCGTTGTTATAGATGACCCTGGTTCTTGTTGGAATGATGCTATCCTCACAGAAGTGAATGTATGACGTCACAGTGTCCGTGTATTCATCCAAGCTGTCTGTGGCAGCTCTGAAAAGGTCCCAGTCTGTAGATTCCATGCATGCGCGCAGCTCTTCCACAGCTTCATCAGACCACACTTTGGAGCTCCTCACTGCAGGTTTCGAGAGCTTTAGTCTCTGTCTGTAAGCAGGAACCAGATGTATCATGGAGTGATCTGAGAAGCCGAGGGCTGGCTTGGGAACAGCGCGAAAAGCTCCGCGCACGGTGGTGTAACAGTGATCCAGAGTGTTCTCCTCTCTGGTCGGGCATTTGATAAACTGTCTGTATTTGGGTAATTCCTGGCTCAAGTTTCCCTTATTAAAATCCCCCAGGATAATAATCAGAGAGTCCGGGTATAAACGTTCCATACACAGTACTTGCTCTGCGAGTGCGCGCTGAGCCTCGCGCGCGTCCGCGCATGGCGGTATGTAAACAGAGGCAAGAATGAATGAAACAATTTCCCGCGGGGAGTAATATGGTTTACAATGAATGAAAAGATATTCCAGAGCAGGAGAGCAGTGCTTGGAGATCACTGTCACATCGTTACACCAGTTTGTATTGACGTAGAAACACAGCCCTCCGCCTCTGCTCTTCCCTGAGAGCGCACAATGGCGATCCGCGCGGAACAGCCCAAAGCCCTGCAGCTCCAGAGCACAGTCCGGGATCCGCTCATTTAGCCATTTAATAGTCCTTCAAAAACGTATGTCTCATATTAGACACTCACAAACTAGAAAATTACTTACTAGAATATTAATAAATATATTTTCTTTACCTATAGCTACTTGCGTCTTGGTGCTAGTTTTAGTTATTGACTTATTTGACACCCCACCTACCCCATATACTTTCTGCACTTTCTCTCTCCTCCTATTAACTATACTAGTGACCATAACCTTGCCTGCAAGCTGAATTCTCGCGGTATTTGTGAGTTCACAAACACTCAAGAATACATCTTGTCCCGCTCCCGCCAACCCTTTTTGAGTAGAACATCTCGGTGTTCAAGCCAATCAAGCGCCAGTCTGGGGGTTTAGGGCGGGATATCCGGGTTTGACGAAAGCAAGAAGTGCCGGGCCGAAGCAAAACAAACATGGCTACGCAGGAGGACGGACGCGTAGCTGAGGCTATCAAGTCAGTTTTAGCAGAATCTCCAATTTCTTTTTTGAAAGATGAACAGCGAGAGGCGCTTTGTGCATTTCTGGACGGCAAAGATGTTTGTGCATTTTTACCTATGGGTTTTAGTAGGCGGGCACACAGCGTGACTTCGCCCAATCAGCTTGAAGTATTCTGCTGCTTATCCCTCCTTTCCCCGAAAGGATTCTCCTGCAGAAGTCCCAGATTTATATTGTGGAGACCGCATTAGAGTTCTACACAATCATCAATCTGGCTCTTGCCAGGTTAGGGTGACCATGGTCTGTAAAAAACGCGCTTTATAATAAAAATAACTTTCTTACTTACTTACTTACTTAATATCACTGTAACATTATTTCTCCTCAGGCCACAGTGAGTTTCTTCGACACGACTCCTCTGGGACGCATCTTGAACCGCTTTTCCTCCGACGTCTACAGCATCGACGACAGCCTGCCCTTCATCCTCAACATCTTTCTGGCCAACGTGTTCGGTCTACTGGGGCTGGTGGTGGTGGTGAGCTACGGTCTGCCCTGGATCCTGCTGGCGCTGGTCCCTCTGGCTTTGCTGTACCACAGACTGCAGTCCTTCTACAGACACACGTCCATGGAACTGAAGCGCCTCTGCAGCCTCACCCTCTCCCCCCTCTACTCCCACTTCTCTGAGACCATCACCGGACTGGCCACCATCCGGGCCAGCCGCAGCTCAGCCAGGTACGCACTGTTTAGTAAAGGTTTTGTCACGGACTATTGTGGTATTTTCTATCTTGCTTGACTTGGGTTTAACCAGACAACCTTTGAAAATGAATGAAAATGATCAGACACCTCTTCTTAAAGGTATACAGGAAGATTTTCTACTTCCAGGTGGATTCCAAAGACTATTTGTCCTGATAATTGTCAATCATTCTGGTGATACGTGCCCGTCAAATAAGACCAGAGAGTTTTGTTTATACAGAGAGGGCGGTTCTTTCCTAAAATTTGGGGTTAGGGTTATAGGGTTAGTGTAATAAAGAAAAATGCATATATGTAAGATAGAGAAAAGTCCAAAACACAAGCCATAAAGCTTGGCCTGCGGAACCAATGGATCATGGCGTTATGGTTTCTGTGAAAGTAGATAATAGTAGTTTAACGTCGCTCCTATCGCAGAGACACGTACCCAAAAATAACAATTGTGAACCGCTTTGTGACTGGTGTGAGAAAGGCGCTATATAAATAAAGATTACTTACTTACTTACTCAGATCTTGGTTTGATTAAGTGTGTTCTCGACACTTAAAAAAAATAATAAAACAAGGAAAGATTGGGTAGCCTATATAAGACAGTCCGAATACTTTCTTCTTTGTGAGGATTGGATTAATATAAACTTTTTGCTTCATCCAATGCATTTCCAAACATAATCAAGGGGCATTTAGAACAGGGAAATAAGGAAACGGCGGAATCGGACCCCTTCACCCCGTCGCTACAATTTTCCGATAACGATCTGTGTTCTTTACATTATCCCAGTTATTATACGGCTATTTGCTAACTGATCTTTAATGAAAGCCGAAAGGTTGCGTTGGCATTGGCTGTGGTCAATATGGTTTTGAGAGGTCCGTTATCAAGAAATAATGACCGGTAGAACATTCTGAAATTACACTTAATTCTACGAAGCGTTCTACGTATGACTCTGTGGTAGCTTCTGCCATTTACTACGCTGCCGTGTGCTGGGCCCCGGGAAGCACAGAGCGGGACAGAAACAGACTGAACAAGCTGGTCAGGAGGGCCAGCTCCACTCTGGGCTGCTCCCTGGACTCTGTGGAGGAGGTGAGGGACAGGAGGGTCTAGTCAAAGTCACCTCCATCATGAACAACACCACCCACTGCACAGGACTGTAGAGGAGCTGAGGAGCTCCTTCAGTGGAAGACTGAGGCACCCTCAGTGTAGGAAGGAGCGCTACCGCAGGGCCTTTATCCCCACCGCTGTCAGACTGTACAATAAGTCACTTTAAATGATCACTGTGTGAAAACCTGCACTACTATTGACACTGTTTCCAATTGACACTTGTCACTTTTGTTGTACATAATTATTGTCACTTTTATTGTACATATATATCCTGCATGTAACATGTTTGCACATTTCCTCCTTTTGCACAATCTGAGTGTTTCTATCCATGCCAAATGTGACATGTAAATTTCTCCTATGTGAGATAAATAAAGCACATCTTACCTTATCTTATGTATGATAAGGGACATTAGTTGCGATTAGATATTTTAATTGTTTGACAGCACTAATATGAATACAATATATATTTTTCCTGTGTTTTTTCTGCAGGTTTCAGGAGGAGGGCGTGCGGCGTCTGGAGCAGAACCAGCGCTGTCTGTTCGTGTCCAGCGCCGCGACGCAGTGGCTCTACATCCGGCTGCAGTTTATTGGGGTTGCTGTGGTAACCCTGCTCGCCGTCATAGCCGTAGTTCAGCATTGGTTCAAGTCGGTCGACCCCGGTGAGGAATTCATCGAACAACTGCTTGAAAATATCACTGGGCAAAGCCATAACAAACCAATAACTCTTAAGAAATTGCATAATTAGTCACTTCCTTTTCTATTATTGCTTTGTTGCTAGACAGATTTAAATATTCTTGTTCCCCCTTTCAAGTTATCATCATAGAAATGTTTATTTTTTATGGCTAGTAGTAAGTCTGTGATATCTAAACAAAAAGTATATATTATCTTTGCCCTTAAACTTGATGGAACTTATTTTTGTAAGTAAAATAAATTATTAAGTAGAAAATATATGGATTTATGTGTGTCAAGTTTAAAACATATGATCTTGGCTTGTAATTCTCCTCTTATACCACCAGAGGGAGGAGTTGAACATCAATTAGTTCCTCATATACAGCCATACAGATGTAAAGAACATATTTCCACCAATGACTTCACCTAAACAAACTAACTAGCAATAGATTTGTTTGAAAATACATTTGTTTTATCCTGTTTGTGACGTTGTTCCACTGTTATAGTCAAATCATTCTTTTAACAGTGATTTTTACCCGTGTTGTGTGCCCCCTGCAGGTCTGGTGGGGCTGTCTCTGTCCTATGCCCTCTCTGTCACTGTGTTCTTGTCGGAGCTCATCTCCAGCTTCACTCAGACAGAGATGCAGATGGTGAGTGTGGAGCGGGCCGAGGAGTACTGCACCGAGCTGCCCACGGAGCCCCAGGACCTCACCTCCGACGTGAGACACTGCAAATTTCTCATTGGTGTTAGCGTAGCATTAGAGGTAGTTAGCCCGTTAATATAATAGATCCATGAGTTGGTTACATGTGGAGGACTGTATCTTTTTTCTTTTTTTTTGTACTAAATCTAATCCAATCTTTTATAAAAATACCTGGATTGGCAGCCTAAGGATGACTAAAGAACTCAAGACTTATCTTATCAAAATTATATTATAGTGTAATCCAATATTTTATTTGCTGAAAAATGACCCATTATTGCCCCTCATGTCTTCAACCTTAAAATCACAGTATAATTCCCCTGTATACAAAAAAATTCAAGTGGAAATGGTTAATATGTTGCTGTAGTAGTTTCAATTTGTATCTGGTTCATGGTATTCTTGGCTTTAAACCAGGGGTGCCCAAACCTTTTGCTTCCAAGGGCCAAAGTAAAAATTTGCCAGTCGGCCGCGGGCCAAATACACCGATATTTTGCATGAAACAAAAATAAATGTAGATTTGATCAAGTTCAATTAAATGCATTAATTATTGTCTATCAGTGCAAATCACAGCTGAATGAATGAAATCAACACAGTCTTAGTGAAGTGGAGACTCCAGGGAAATATGCAGGTTTGAGGAGACTACAGTACGGAAAGATTCCGGCCGGGTAATCAGGGTCCAGAGGAGGGAGATTTTCTGTCATGGCTTATTTACAGCTTAAAATCATATAAAAAACCTCTAAAAGAGAACAGAAACATACATTTTCTATGTAACTAAACTGTTTTTTAAACGCCACTTGTAAACAAATAATGTTCCTGCTAGTAAATGAAAGTACTAATTTATATTAAATAATATCATACTCCCAAATTAAATAATCTATATTTTTAACCTGCTCATGTCAGTAAACTGTTTGTTGAAGACCTTTTTCTAAACAGTTTTGCATTACTATATAGTGATTTATAATGTATAGGTTTATTGTACTAGCAAATGACATTTACTTTAAAAAAGTAAAGCCTATTTTCATATATTTATTTTGAACAAAAGTTTTTAACTACATTTGAATCATATTACTTTATCTTAGCTTTTATCAAAAAAGGGAGACATCACTGATCAGTAGATCTGGTTTTAGCACACTTTTAAACAATACATTTTAACATTAAGTCAGGGGTTCCCAAAGTTTTTGGAACTTTGGGAACAAACAAAAAGCCCTTCCGTCACATGAAATGAGCATGTATTTCCTTGATACGGAGTAGCGCTTTCTAGAGACTCACGCCACTACCGAGCTGCACTGTCCAGCCCAAAAAAGGAGGCTTGCATATTTTTACTCATGTAGTGACACAGTGATGGGCTTGGTGGGCTCCCTCCTCAGCAGAAGTGGAGCGCATTTCTTGCGGCTCGCCCTCACTGTTCTCCTACCGCGGTAAAGTGGGCCGGCTTTCCGGAGTCAGCGGTAAAGAGGTCCGCACATTAAAAGCGGGCGGCCGCTTTCTGCTGTTACTTTATGCGGGTCATCCCCGCGGCTTCTCTTTCCAAAGTTACTGTCAGTAAAGGCATAAACCGGCCACCCGCTTTTAATGTGCGGACCTCTTTACCTTTGACTCCGAAAAGCTGGGCCTCTTTAACGCGCTGTCCTCCCTCCCTCCCTCCGCTGCCCTCCCTTCCTCCGCTGCCCTCTCTCCCTCTCTTCGCACCATCAGCAGGACCCCTGATACAAGTGACTTTTCTCCCCCTCCGGGTTTTTCTGTTGTGGATATTAACCACGTTTCATTTTAAAGCAGGTATTATTTATTTGTAGCCTCCAAACACCTTTAGTTTTAGCAAACAACAGCAGGACACGCTTTGTCGCTGCGCATGATGTGAGCTGTGTTACGTGATGATTTTGATTGACGCTGCAATGACTGGGACAAAATTACTAACGTTATTAAAATATATTATAGTCTCCAAACACAATTTAACAAGTAGTCCTTTTGAATCAAATCAAATGCTAAATAAATATTTAAGGGCTTTATATTTGCTCAAAAAAAAAAATCTTTTTTGTTTGTTTGTGTGGAAATCATCTTGCGACCCCCCTAGGGGCTCCCGCGACCCCCCGGGGGGTCGGGACCCCCACTTTGGGAACCACTGCATTAAGTAATGAATTTAGGAACATAATTGCTAACTGCATTTTCTAAACATGATCAGGTTTTAACTCTGTTTTAACTTAATATTTTTAACATAGGACAAGTATTCTCAATTAGTTGTGAACTGAATATTAAACGAATCAGACTAGTTAACCATGATTTGTTCCTGGAGTTTGTTTTGTTTTGCCTAAACACACCACAACATTTATAAACAATCAAAACAAAGTAACTGTTAAAGAGTCCGTGTTTCCGCTCCTCCAAAGGGCTCTTGAACTCATCATAAAACTCTGCGTAAGTTCTGACATTCAATGATTGCGAGTGAGGACGGCGCTTACCGGCTTCTTTCATGGGGTTGTAGAAGGGTTTGTTTTGCGCAGTATTTGTTGCTTCTACTTACGTGGATCGTGCGCTGCGATCCCTGCTTGTCCTGCTTGAACTCACTCTGAAGTGTGTGTGTCCGTCTTTTTTAACACACCGGGTGGGTGCGGATTGCACAGGTGAATAGTTCCACTCGCCATTTCCCTCCGGTGAGGAGGGGGAGTGGCAGTTCGCCAGCACAATCCTCTCAATTTGATAAAACATTAAATTGCTCAAAAAAATTATAATAGTAGGCTGAAAAAAAAGAACATAAAGGTGCCTTGCACCCAATTGTTTTAAAAGATGTGTTTGATTTTAAAAAACATTTTAGTGCAAGTAGATGTGAACCATGAGTGAGGAGTGTATCTCCATACAACAGTAAAGTACTGGACAGATTCAGTTCAGAGGGCTTTGGTGCGCCCGCGCGATCTCAGACATGTCACTGTTGTTCAGTGAGGTTGAGGGACGCAGTTAGAAACTTACAGCGGAGGTGGGCAATGTTAGGCGGGCCAACTGAAATGGTCCGGCGGGCCAACTTTGGCCCGCGGGCCCCACTTTGGGCACCCCTGCTTTAAACTCTTAATATATTTTTTTTTCATAACTTCTATTGAAAAATTCATGGGAATTTAGTAAACGTGCTTCAACGGTGATTCAAGGTCCATTTAACACTTACCATAAAAACTACAATGAGCCAAGATGTGCACAATGCTACTTTTACCTGCTAAATGCAAAACTCCCTCTCTCTCTGCTCAGCTGCCCCCCTGCTGGCCGGAGCAGGGCTGGCTGGAGTTCCGGAACGTGGTGCTGTGTTACCGAGAGGGGCTTCCCAACGCTCTGCAGGGGGTGAGTCTGGTGGTGCGTCCCGGGGAGAAGGTGGGTGTCGTGGGCAGGACGGGCTCCGGGAAGTCCTCCCTGTTCCTGGCTCTGTTCCGGATGGTGGAGCTGGCGCAGGGACAGATCCTGCTGGACGGAGTCGACATCCGCACGGTCGGCATTCACCAACTCAGGTGGGACGTTGTTTTCCAGGTGGGGACGGTATTGGGTGGCAGAGTGATTAGCGCTCTTGTATCTTAGCATTAAGGTCATGGGTTTGAATCCTGGTCAGCACAGGGCCTTTCTAAACGTCTTTCTTTTTACATTGTAAAGTGCTTGGTCTGTAAAATGTGCTATGATCTCATATTGCACATTCTAACATTATTGCAACATTATCTTTTTAACATTATTGCACAGATTCATGATATCATCCTTAAAAATGTACCGAAGTTGAGTAAGTGCCGTTACATGGACTAAATTATCACCAGAGCCATTGAAGACAGTGATGCAGAGTCCACACAGTGATAGAGGAAAAGCCTGAAGCTGCAGTTTGCGTCCGTACTTTAGTTTCTGACTCTGTAATAAAACCTCCTCTTCACAAATTCCATAAAAACTTCTTCATAAATGGATTTCATTTTGTAACTGCATTAGTTTAGAGCAGAAATCTCAAAGGCAGCACAATATTTAGAACAACTCTCTTTAAAAAGTATTGATTTGAGATTATTCTGTTTTGAGTTCAAGTCAGGAGAAGTAAACATGATTGTGGGTTGTGGGCGCCCCCTGCAGGTCTCGGCTGGCCATCATCCCTCAGGACCCGTTCCTCTTCAGTGGCTCTGTGCGTCAGAACCTGGACCCGTGTGAGCGGATCTCGGACCAGAACCTGCAGGACGTTCTGCTGCAGTGTCACCTCAGCGCCGCAGTGCACCGCATGGGTGAGGCTGCTGTCATAGACGCAGGGAAACACTATTGGATGTTATCTTATTTTTTCCAATGATTCAATTTGAACAGGGGGGATTAAACGTTTTAGCAAGAAGGCCACTTTAGTTCACCAGACTTGTCCAGGAGACCAAAACCTGGTCGGCACAAGGCCCTTCTTAACATCTTTCTTTCTTAACATTGTAAAGCGCTTTGGGTGACCTTGGTCTGTAAAATGCGCAATATAAAAAAAAAACAATACTCACTTTCTTTCTGTGTGGAGTTTGCATGTTCTCCCCTTCTCTGCATAGGTTTTCCTCCAGGTGTTTCCTCCGGAGCACCTGAAACATGTGATCAAAAACAATGTCCATGCTAATCCATTAACTTCAAGGTGAATTTTTTTGAGTATGAGGTCTATGTGCACATTGTGAACGCCAGTACCCGTCGGACCTCTGAAGCTAAGCAGGGCATGGCCTTGTTAGTACAGTGATGGAAGACCTTTGGGAACACCAGTTGCCACAGTGGGGTGGCTGCGGCTGTAAAGTGCTAAACTATCTGGTGTGTTTGTGAATGTTTGGTGGTAGTCGGAGGGGCAGATGGCACATTCTGGTTGCCTCGCTTCTGTCAGGCTGCTACAGTCGTAGATTATCACCACTCTGTATGGAGTGAATGAATTATGACTTGTGTCCCAAAAAAGTGCAATATAAAACCAATGCATTGTTATTATTATTCACGTCTTTACATTTGTGGTCGTATCATGACACAATGTGCAAGATTTCAAGCTGTAGCTTCAGAATGGGTCAAATGCCGAGGATGAAGTGCCTGGGGATAAATAAAGTGCACTTTAGAGATGATCTTTTTTATATATCCAGCAGAGGGCGATTACGCTCTGAAACAGACTCAAGAACTCCAACAAGACTGCATCAATGGCTGCTTTGTTACCTTGTGTGTTGTAGTGACTTTATTAAACCAGTAAGAATGCAAACTACATATGGTTCCTTTTAAACAGTAGTTAAACTAGTATTTCCACTTACAGGCCTCCTTCAGTCCATTTATTTGTGTAGATCGTCACATTTCTGCAGCTCATCCTTCTGTAATGATCCCTAATAGTCTTTAATACACTATCATTGTTCTCTTTGGCAAGGCGTGTCGGCTTCAAACACGGACTGACTCACTGCGTTTTACTGTTTTCACTCCACCCTCTCCACAAAACAAGTTCTCAATGTCCTGTCGCAGCAATGGAAAAGTCAAACATGACGACAAATCCTCAACCCGGCCTTGTTCAGACTTGTTAAGGCGAAACAGGTGAATAATGAGCCTGAAGCAACTGGGATCGGCCTCAGCCAGAAACTAACTATAGCTGCCTTAAAACAGCCTCAATATTCGATTCAATGTATTTTTGTATAGCCCTAAATCACAACAGCGGTCGGCTCGGAGGAGTTTGCAAAGTTGTCGATTCAACAACAATAGATCAAAGAATCAAATTGTTCAAATACAGGAAATGCAATAACAAACCAACCAATTATTTGAATAGTTATATTGTAGTTCTTTGATCTTTTATCCCCATCCCCATTAGTCACTGAGGAGCAGTGGCTATTCTTCCTTTTGGTTGATTACATGCTTTTATACATACACACGCACACACACACACATATACTCACATATACACTCACACACATGCACACAACAACATGAAAGTGCCTTAGGGAAAGACATAGATACATACAGATCTATACGTACAGATTTGCATAGTAAATAATCAAATTGTGGACTGTTGTAGAAAAGGGTAGAAAAAAACATCTTCAGGTCCAGTTATAAGAAACTACAGTTCACCTACTGTATGGTTCTTACTCACTGCTGTAATCGTGTCAACAGAATTTTAATGACACAGATATTAAGGTTTTAACCATTTGAAATAATATGTTTTATTTTCTGTGTTGCAGGAGGACTGGATGCAGATGTGGGGGAGAGAGGGAAGAACTTCTCAGTGGGACAGAGACAGCTGCTGTGTTTGGCCAGAGCTCTACTCACCCAGGCTAAGGTACTGCTGCTGCTGCTACTACTGCTACTGCTACTGCTACTACTACTGCTACTACTTCTACTGCTACTGCTACTACTGCTGCTGCTACTACTACTACTGCAGCAGCTTCTATTACTGCTACTGCTACTACTGCTACTACTACTACTGCTACTACTGCTACTGCTACTACTACTACTACTGCAGCAGCTTCTATTACTGCTACTGCTACTACTGCTACTGCTACTACTACTTTTACTGCTACTGCTACTGATACTACTGCTACTGCTGCTACTGCTACCACTGCTACAACTGCCACTACTGCTACAACTGCCACTACTGCTACAACTGCTACTACTACTACTACTACTGTTACTACTACTGCTACTACTGCTGCTACTACTGCTACTACTGCTACTACTGCTACTACTACTACTACTACTACTACTGTTACTACTGCTACTGCTACTACTGCTACTGCTACCACTGCTACAACTGCCACTACTGCTACAACTGCTACTACTACTACTACTGTTACTACTACTACTACTGCAACTTCTATTACTGCTTTTACTGCTGTTATTACTACCTCTACTGCTATTACCGTTGATGCTGTTGCTACTAATAATATATCCATACTACTAGTGCAATGGTTTAATAGTACTTGTCTTATATATATATATATCTATATATATATATATATATATATATTTCTTCCCATAGTTGTTGTGCATAGATGAAGCTACTGCAAGCGTGGACCAGAAAACAGACAAATTTCTACAACAGACGATTAGAGAAACCTTCAGAGACAAAACTGTGCTCACCATCGCTCACAGGTGAATATGTTAAGAATAAAACATTTTATATTCTACTGTTTGTAGTAAATCAAGTCAAATTAGTATTATCGGCTAGTATTTTATGTATAATTTGGAGAAATATCTGTAATTTCCAGGACCAACACGATCCTGGACTGTGACCGTGTGCTGGTGATGGGCGGCGGGAAGGTTCTGGAGTTCGATTCCCCTCAAACTCTTCATCAAAACCACAACTCTGCGTTTCACAGACTGGTGACAGGAGAGAGCTGAGACCCGAATGTATTTTACTTTTATCTAAAATATGACGAGAAACTGTGAAAAAGCGTAATGAGAAAAAAGCATTTAGTGGTAGTGCTTTGGCTGCTACTGACATCTCCTCGTATGGACCTCTCGTTCTTTTATTGTTTTTACCGGACAGAAGTTCTGTCTGTGTTTTATGTATTTTACCAATATTTCTTTTTCTACCCAAACCCAGTGATGCCAAACTGGTCCTGAAAATCCTGCCGGGTTTCATCACAACAGACTCTACCCATTTCCTCACATGACTCCAGTCTTCACCTGAAGACTTGAGGAAATGGGTGGAGTCTGCTGTGCTCCAGCTTGGTTTGTGTGAAAACCTGCAGCCACACCGGCCCTTTCTGGAACCGGATTGACACCTGTCATGTTGTAACGACTAGCAAATGAACAGACAATAAAGTCAGTGGTAATTATGGTTTTAACAACAACAAAGAGAAAAATTTAGGTTTCAGAATTGAGGTTGAGGCTTTAGGCTTGAGGGTTGAAGCAGAAGGCTGGAGGCAAAACTGGCAGTCGAAAAGTCTGGACTAATTAAATTCCTCTGTGGGCATGAATATAAAAATAATATATATCGAAATAGAAAAACCCGGAAAGAACAGCTACATGTACTACCAAAAGTAATCATGACTTTAATAACAACAAACATTCCAAAAGATAAACTAGGCTTGAAGCTTGAGACTGGAGGCAAAACTGGCAGTTGGCAAAGTCTAGACCAAGAAATCAATCTTGAGGCAAACTAATAAAATAGATTGGCAAATGTATTCTTTCTTTCTTTATTGAAGGGACAGAGTACACAGACATAAATCTCACAGAGACAGATGTGTTCTGCACCAGATTAAAGCTAGATGCTAGTTTCCATCTGCAGTCGCTGGTTACTGAGAAATAAATAGGAAAACCAGGATTCAAAAAAACAAGTCAAAACAGTAAAATACCACAGAGGATTTACTGACAACTTGGCACATGGTGAAAAGTAAAAACTTTTTACTGCAGAGATGACTATGATGATGAGGCTGCATGTGTGAAGAGGGCTGAACCAATGACTAAACCAGGACTCCAGACTCCCAGCTCCAGGCAGACACAGAAGAGAGGAGGGAGAACACACCGGACCCAGAACTCTGACACCACATCAGCTTTATTTGTATATGCACATTTATAACAACAGCAGCTGCCCAAAGCGCTTCTCATGCACAAGAGAAAAAACAAAACTAAATACATAATAATAATAATAATACATTAAACTCGTATAGTGCTTTTTGGACACTCAAGGAGGCTTCACAAAGCATAGTCGAGAAAAAATATTTAAAAGCAAGCTAAAACAGATGGGTTTTGAGCAGTGTTTTAAAGTTCTGTAGTGTAGTCGGAGTTTCTGATTGGTTGAGGGAGTGGGGGCAGTTGTGGTCCCCCAAGGTTCGGTGTTGAGTCCTGAGTTGTTTAGTGAGGAGGTTGGAGTCTGTGGGCCAGAGGCAGCAGGAGGGAGGATGATGGAGGAGGAACTTGTATTTTTTGCGGTATGGAGCAGGCAGTCAGTGGAGTTGTTTGAGGACAGGGGTGATGTGGTCTCTGGAGCTGGTGTGGGTGAGCAGCAACCTGTATTAGGTAAAAAAAGCTTGGTTGTTACTTAAAGCCGAGGCACAAATGTGACTTTAGACTAGATTTAAAAACCGCCAATGAAGAAGCTACTCTAATCTACGGAGGTTAAAGTCTCTATGTAAATCTTTCTACTCGTTTATGATAATAGTAATGCCGTGCTATGTATATGATTCAGATTCTAGTTTATGTACGTACTTAAGTTTACATGTATGTACATTATAAACCCGTCCTATTTGATTTTGTATCATTTGCACCTTATTTCTCTGTTTTCCCCTCGTTTTTTACTATAATTTTGTTACTTGAATAATGTATGTTTACAAGGGAAAGGTTGTTCGTTACCGGTTTGTTTTCCTATTTCTGCGGAATAATTGTTTTGTATATTCTCAACACTGAAGTCAATAAACTCTATATTGTTTTATATGATTTATTTTGTGTGTGGGTTAATTGTGTGCATCGATGTGTTGTAATTGTATATTTTCATTAACACAAATGTTGAAAAGGTTGTGCTTTATCAGTTATAAAGAGGAGGGCGGATCAGAGAAGTTATACATTGAAGCTGATGAAAGGAACACACAACTGCTGCGTAAGTTTTTGCATTTTTATAATGAAAATGATGAAAATGTATTTTATTCCAGACAGTGTTGTATACTAATGAATAACAAAAAGAATGCATCGGTTTTATATAGTTTTTATTCACGTTTTTATTTTCTGGACGCTCAAAGACGCTTCACATGTCATTATTCTTACACTCCAAACACCGTGGGGATAGACTACTACTGACGCAACAGCTGCCTTGGGGCACACTGACAGAAATGTGCCATTGGCCGGCCGTCGTAACTGTGACCAACAGAAAAAACAAACAAGACGGAGGAAAAACGAGGAGGAATAATTCTTGTCCAATTGTTTTTAAAATCCATGTGTGTATTTTGTTTTTAAAGTAGGTTTGGCTAAAACAAAATGTGTTGTAGAGGTGTTATAAAATACCAATTCAGTACAATTTGCAACATATATAAACTATTGTATTGTATCAACTGCTGCTGGGGGACTTCAGATGAAAAAATGGCCTCTTGCCGTTTTTACTCTTACTTTTACTTTAACAATGTAATCTTTCCTAGAATCCCTCAGTTGTCCGAGTCAGCTGTCCACTTTTCCAGTTAAAGCTCATACAACATTTCTCTTTATTGTCGTGTGAAACATTCAAAGTCACTGCTCTGTTTATGCCTTTGTTTAGTTATTAGAACATAGGGCGGTGTCTGTGCTGCTTTAAACGTGTCACAGGAGTGTGTCTGTGGGAACCATGCATCTGGCAACATGGCAATAAAAAAAATCTGATTCTGTATAACATTATTATTATTTCTGTATGAGTGCTCCATCTTCCTGTTTCTCCACTGGAGGATACAGTTGATGGTCGTAGTCATTTGCAGCGTCAGAACTTGCTTAATTCGTTCTCCAATCCAATTTCACTTACAATTAATGTTTGTATAGTGTTGTTTTATAGATATAATGTAGAAATAAAATAAAGCATATTCTAGAAATCATCGCAACTGCCAGGTAGTATCCCTCGACTGCCATTTTGGAAGATGGTTTTAATTTGACCATAAACCTCATGTGGCCTTAAAGATGGAGCCTTACCTAATGAAACCACAGAAATGATTTATGTAATATAATCCATGCTCATTCCTCACGCTCAGAACAGGTTTGGTTTGGTCACTATTTTTCACTTGTATGTATTTTTGGTCACATTTTTAGATCAGCTTTTTCACTGAAAGAGAGAGTACCAGCCCTCACTCGGCCAAAGAAATATCCATATATGACTTTCAATTCATGAAAATCATAGAAAATCCCAAAAAAGTGGGTTAGTTTTCCACCAGAGGGTTTAGCACTTACTTTAATAAGTGCTAAAAATGGTTAATATAACTGAAATACAGCAAAAACAGTTGAAATGCTATGTGTTGCTATGGTAACAGCACTGGCTCTTCTCTGGTGGGAAACAAAGCTGAACCAGAACCAGTCCAGAACCTTTAACTGCCACAGGATGTTTGTTGCCAAGCGAAATTCTACAAAAAATAAAAGATAATTTCATAAAAAATAATGGCATAAACAAAGGAATAAACTACAAATAGAAACAGAAAAAGTCACAAAGTTATGAAGACCAAAAATGACCATACGCCGAAAAACTGCTCTTGGAGTTTTGGTGTTAAAGAACAAAAAATTCCCTCTCCAGACAGAGCTTTTCCTGGAGTTTGCATGTTCTCCTCGTGTCTGCATAGGTTTCCTCCGGGTGCTCCAGTTTCCCCATTACCACTAATACATGTATGGCGACCCCACTTCCATCATTGCCTGGAGTGAGAAGAAAAATGCCCCCCAAAAAAAACAATTCTAGAGTCTGTTTTAGGCGCTATATACATACATATTTGTTACATATTTAATTAAGGGCTACATAAAACAAAAAAAACAAATTATTCACCAATCACACAAATTAATTTTCGATTTTATTGCAATATCACTCTAAAAAAAAACAGACGTAAATGTTGTGTTTCTCTCCACAAATGTGACTTGTCTTTTATGACCAAAAAACGGACATATTCCCATTCCTCACATTCTTCCAGCAGTCGGTGTGACGCGCTGCCTGGACGTGGGGCGTGTTTGTTTAAAGGTGTGTCTCTGTTGACAGCGCAGACGGGCGGAGCTTCAACCTGTTTGACGACCTCGGCATAGTATCTGTCCCACGAACCAGGACCCGTCTGTCACAGGACGCAAGGAGCACAGCATGGACTGAACCAACACTAAAACTACTACTGCTGCTGCTACTGCAAGAAAACACTCATGGAGAAGGTCAGTGCAAGCTTTTTTATTTTATTTATGTTTAATATTGCTTCATAAAGGCTACAGCAGTTACATTAGACAGACTAGATGCATGTGTTATAGCAAGAATAAGATAGTTTTCATAGTTGGTCCATAGGAGACGATTCAGGCACAAAGAAAACATTAAAATCTACAAAATTATATTATTTATATTAAAAATTGATATAAAAACATATACAATTCTGTCAATGTTACTGTCGCTTTAAAAAAAAACTTCTACAGTATATATTATTCTGATTTTTCTTATTTGTTTTTGTTTTTTCTCATCTTGGACCTGAACAAGGGTTATATTCATGGGTGGGCAAGGTTGGAGGGGGAGTTGACACACTACTCTACAATGTTGTTTTCCAAGATTTAAATGTTGTACGTCTGTTATTTGTTGTTGTAAAATTAATAAAGTTGGATTAAAAGTATGCTAAACTTCAGAAATAGGTTTATCAGAAAACGTAATTTGAGGTCTAGCGTTTTAATAGGTTAACCTGAGATACTGGAAAAGCTGTAAATTTATACTAAGATGG